AAATATTTATCACGATATACATTTGAAAATTTGAAATAACGATATAACTGACGATATAATTGACACTAGACAAAATACTTTACGACTCCACAACTTTATTAGTGCAAAAAAAAAAAATCAATGTATTTTCACTTAAACAAGCAGCTGTTTTTTTATGTGCATTAAAGTTATATAAACATTTAACAGTGCAAATGCAAATTCCTCGCTGACAGTTTAACCAAAAGGCATTTCCAGTGGAAACTGGCCGACATATCCTCATCATAACCATGTATAATATCCACAAACCTTAAAAAGAGGTTATACACACACAATACGGTAATATTATGTTGAAGCGCAGTACGTATCACTCCGCGAGGCTCCTGCCTACGATAGCCGTAATGCTCCGACAATCCATCAAGCATCAACTAAAACATTTGACAGATTTCCGAGCGCCGTGCACATAAAATCATTTCGAGGTCAGTAAACACAACCAGAATTCATACATCAGGCACACGGGATTATAAGGGGTACTGACGACTTTCAGAAAAATCAAAGGATTGATTTTAAGTGTGTCGTATTTTCCAAACAACACGGTAATAACGACGGCCGCTAGCATGCGCTACCAAAAATAGTGCTTTGTTGTGTATCTGACAGACGAAAGCTAAACCAGTTCCACACCACTGAAGTTGCAGCATTTTTACAAACCAGTTCTGGTTCATCCGTTTCATTCAACGTTACGCTTTCGCCCTTCTCATTCTCTGTCGCCGCCATGTGCGTATGTAAACAAAGGCACTGCGCCCATATTCTATCGCGATATTTCATTTCCTTATCGTTGCTGAACATTATAGCGGTATTACTGTGAATGGTATGATATGGTCCAGCCCTATTCTGCATACAGTCAGTGTAAACCTTAGCAGAGAGTGACAAAAAGAAAGCTCATATCTCATATTTAATCTCAACTACAATTCCCCCATGGGCATGTGGGACACTCCGAGGTCACAAGTCTAAGAAGTTTCTTCACTTTGATGGGTCTCGATGTTGTATTTTACGCTGCACGTCAACACAAAAACGGCGCATGGTGGTGGCAGGATCATGCTGTGGGCTTATTCTTTACAGCAGATCCTGAAAGGCTTATAAGTATACAGGGAGAAATAATGAAGCAACATCATAGAAGATCCTGCCAGACAATCTGAGTCAGTCTCAGAGAAGAGATTTAACTTGCACAAGAACAGTGACATAAAATGAACAGCAAACGCTACACAAAAATGCTTTAAGGTCAAAAATGAATGTTTCAAGGTGGCCGAGTCAAAGCCCAGACCTGAAACCTCACAGAGCTTCAGCAGTTTTGAAAAGACGAGTCTAGTCAGATTGTGCTGTCCAGACGTGCAAGCCCATCTGAGCCCTATCCATAAAGGCTCAGTGATGATTGGATGTGACTCGAAGCGGGTGAATGTTTGTGCAGTCACTTATTTTGCATCATAATAATTAACTGCTAATTTTAATTAACAGACAGACAGAAATGTATCCATTGCTCTGTGCATTTGACCAGGAGAAATGTTTAATGTGCTTCAGTGAAGGATGTGAAAACAAAACTTCCTGCTGTAAAATTAATGCTGTTTTATTACTGGCTAACACCCGAATGGTGGGTTCGAAAAATCTGTTTGTGGGAAAACCCTGTCAGTGTGTTAATGCAGTTAATGTAGTTAGTTAATGCAGCCTATTAGAGCAGTCCACTTTTCAGGTATCAAACCTCAAATATCTTTATTTATGCTGGTTATTTGGAAATTGCAGTTTAATGTTATTGATTTCATTTCCAGAACTAAATAACAGCCCACTTACCCCCAGAGACAATGAGTCAGTTTAATGAGCAGATTAATGAGTAGATCCTGACTATGGAGGTCTGTCTCTAACCTACTTTAAAACCCGTTTGTTTAGTTCGTCCTCTCAGGTGTTTTCTCAGTATTTCACCTTCTCTGTACTTATCTAATTTCTTTACTCCCAGAGGTCAAAAGCAATGAAACTTCCATGAGCATGTCATTTTCTTTGCACCTGTCTGAAAGAGATTAGATTGTCTGTCTACCTAATGAGGCAACACAAATCTCACATGGAAAAAAACTAATTAGATTTGTGTATTATCCAAGAAAAAATGGGAAATTTACAACCTGGAGTGCAGCTGCAGGTCAAAGAACGTTAGACATCTGGGGATATTAGCCATGATTCCAAACAGGTACCTTTGATCGGTTTTATTTTGAAAAGCGTGCTGTTTCTGGGTATGAATGTCCTTGAGAGACCTTGATGTTCAGCCTGAGAGTTTGATAATCTCGTGGATGATGTGGGCTGTGAGCTAACAGCCTGCCGTACTGACTTGTGTGTTTTCTCTTCCTGATCTGTGATTCTTTGCCTTCTGCTGCCACACTAAAATAATGTGATTTGGATCAAGCAGGCGGCAGGCAGAGGAGCCACAGATGGTCAGCAGGTTGTTATCTTCAAACACAGAGACCCACATTCAGCATCGCACACCTGTGTGCACTCTTGTAATGCATTACCACCTACTGCCACAGTGTTTATGCCACTGATATGCTGATTATCCCCTGCAGTAAATAGCCAGGTGTGTGTGTGTGTGTGTGTGTTTGTTGTGATTAAAGCCTAAGAAAAACCTCTAAACTTCCTAAAATAAACCTGATACTGAAGTAATGTGACTGTTTAACTCTCTGAGATCCAAGTACCCCTCACCCCAATAGTACCAGATTATGCATTTTCTTCTGCTTTCTCTTTAACTTTTCCCACCATTTTTAGTTCTTTCTCCCACAATGCATTTCACACTTTATAAATGACACGCTGTACCATATTTTTATATGTATTTTTTTACAGTGTAGCTATAGTATTTAATATTATATGTAGTGTGGTTTTATTAATGTATGTGAGAAAGCATAGTTGTGCCTCCTCAGCTGAAAATAATGTAAAATTACTTGTAGAATTTGACCCATAAACGCCTGTACTGTGCAGGTAATTTCTATAAATATGAACCTTATAATCAAATGCATAATTTATTGCTTATGTTAACGTATATCCATGATGTCTATCTTTTCTAGACATCCGAGAAGTGTGTCATATCTGTTTTTATTTAGACAGCGGCATGACACAGTGAGCAAGAGGTCTAGTTTCAAAACCTCCCCGACAGCAGGAATTGTCTTTGTTGAAATGCCCTCAGACGATATTGACTCATCCACCAACTCTGTGTGCTCTCTATAGCTAATCCTGCTCTTTGTTCTCCTGGAGGGGGGGAACTCTGTCGTGGATCAATAAATCATCACAAAAATAAGTGATTGTGAAGTTGAGCTGAAACTTCTCAAACAAAGAAAACACATATTGAGGTTTTTTGGAGCTCAGGGTAGACTCACTGCACTCAGGTGATGCTGAAGCTGGCAGACAACTTCATGAAAGGCTCACAAACTTGATTTCAGGACAGATGTGGATTAAAAGAAGCCAAACAGTAAAGTTAGACTGGCATCGAGCTGCATCTGAGGATGAAAATTAACTGACACTTATCATATTGTATAGTTTACTGTGTCTGAAAGCTAATTTAATGTAAACGAACGTGATGCCGCTGCACCTGTTTCAAGTTTTACATAAGACCTCCAGTAAATACCTGGCGTCTGTGAAGATTTCAATGGTAATCAGCGGATAATGTGTTTCATTTATTTATGGTGAGTGGGATTGGATCCCCCATAACTGTGTTTTCAGTTTTACAGTGTTCTGGAGAAATCCACCATTAGATGGTCGTTAGAAATGGATGGATGGATGTTGTCCTTCCAAAATGTTGAGAAGCAGTAAGACAACTCGTAAAAGCACATGTTTATCATCCACTGAGCGTAGTGTGCAGCCCACAATCAGCTTCGCAGATATGCTGAATATGTAAGTTGCACTAATTAAGCTTCTTAAGCCTGTTTATAGTTCCTGCTCGGCTGCAAGCTGCTTTGCAAGCCACCTCCAAAAAAGATCCTCCTTTTGATGCGATGTTTTATTGTTGCCGTCCCCGTTTTATGCTTCCCATTTATGCATGCTTTTGGTTACCATGGCAACTCCAAACTGGGAGCCCAGTTCAGTCGTCACCTTAAAATTGTAAATTAACCTCACTGGTAATCCATTTGAACAAAATACAACTTGGTGTTAGACGTGTGAGACGAGGAGATTATTGACTGACCACTTTCCCAAACATTCATTTCTACCTTTGCATTAAAACTCTTACTGGACGATGCTGACAGCAACAAATGAAAACACCTGGGTTGGTGACAGGTGTAACAGTTAGTTGGTGGATACTTCCTAAACTGTAAATAAACTTTTACTTTGAAGGACATCAAGGTCTCAACAGAACGTACCAAATGTAGAAGTGCAGATACAGATACTAATTTAATGATTTCAGTCAGCTTGAACATCTATTATGGAGAACACAGAGAAACATAAAGGGTAAAAAATGAGCTTGTTGTAGACATGTGACTTTGCCTGTGAAAAAATGAATATGAACATGGTGAAAGAAATCGCTCAGAAATAAGTTGGAATAGTTTCTATTGAGAGCTCCAATAGATTTTGTTGTTTAATTCAATTCATCGAGCTATAAGCAAATATTAGATGGCTCGTGTCCAAGCCATAGAGAGAATAAAGGTGGTATAAACGTGGAATTTAGTGAATAAATATAATCGTCATTAACATGAAATCATTATCATCATTAAATTAAGATAAATAAACACCACTCGAATAAAGAAATCCAGAAATGACAGAAACAACATGTGGGATGACGGCAACGCCTGAACAGAAGCTCCGACTCAATTTATTGTATTTACCACCGCATTCGGTTTCAGAGGACGTGTGAGGACGTCCCAGAACTGAAGTAAAGCAACAAATATAAATTAGAGTACATGGAAATTACTTCTCTGGGCTTTAATGTTTCCCACAGAGATAATGTTAAACTATTTGAAATTCATTTTGATTAATTTGATGTGTGTGTGTTTGTTACTTTTCAGCCTGGAGACTCTCCTCACATGCTGTCCATCCCAGTGACCTGGGTGAAAGAGGGAGGCATGGTGCGACTCGATAAAAAGTACCTGCAGACAGACTTCAAAGGAGTCAGCACTGATAACATTGTCTACAGCATCCTCCCCTCAGAGGGGCAACCCAAATATGGTACCTTAACACTCAGTGACACTTTCCTTTAATATTTCCAAACAAGCTGTTTTATCTGCTGTATGATTGTAATATTGTAGATTTTCCAACAGTTAGTACATAATTAATTTCAAATGTAATTTCTAAACTTTATTAAACATAAATTTTAACTCTAATTTTGCTTTTAAGGTAAATATAACATCTTACTCACCTTCTCCGTCCAGGTGAGGTGTTGCTGGTGTCCATGCCGGCTGACGGCCCCCCAGAGGGTTGGCTTCCCTCGCTAACAGACGACCGCAGCTTTACAGCAACGACTTCCTTCACGCAGCAAGACGTGAACGACGGTGCGGTCTGGTACCGCCACTTTGGCACCGGCAGCAGCGGTGACTCCTTCCTGTTCCAGGTCAGTGCTGATGCACCCTGTCCACAGAGGACCAGTTTCACACATGCCTTTGTTTTGGCTCCTGGCAGCTGAAATGAAAAGATTATGTTTGAGTTTAAAGCATTTTACACATTTATACAGGTGACAGATTAAAGGAAAAAACCTCTAACTCCTGCAGGGAGAGCCTACAGCTCTATTAAAGCTCTATCCACACTGTCTTATTGTTTTGTATACAAAACTGAAACAAAGAAAGCTGCACCGTCAAAACTGAAAGTGAACAGAAAACCAACTCGAACCATCACAGATTTCTTCTTTTATTATGAAGTCGTTGCAAAGCAAAACCATCAAGTGTCAAAACTTAAAGTAAACAAAATGCAGATGCATTAAAACATGATTAATACAATGTAACAACAAAACATATTTACACGTTTATAACACATAAAATATGACTTTCATTATTTTCTGGATATTTATGTTGAACATGACAAAAGATTTTAGATGGTAAGGTCATATTATGTAAGCCATTATGTGGATAATAATGTGGTCATCTCAGGCATAAGACACACCCATCTGTCATTCAAACCTTCTGTTTGTGAAGGGTAGCCAATCAGAAGAAAGCTGGCTTAAAGGACTGTATAAAGCAGCTGAGTTGCTGCACCGAACCCAGTTTAAGTCAAATAGGGATTATTTTTGAACTGAACTGCGGGGGTTGAGATATTTTTGCCACTGACTTTGTGCTAATACCACAGCAAGGTATCAATATTTTCCAAAACCCGATAAAAGAACATGAATACGAACTGCGCCGTGAGATGAAACTTCAGGGGGATAAGAAACAAGAAATGGAGATGATGACAGGCACACATTTTGCCACATTTTCCTTGTAATATTTTTGCTTTTGTGGCCTTGTTCTCTGTTGTGTTTCTCTGTGTTTATCTCTTCTCTCCTTTGGAAACCAAAAGTCTCCAACCTTTCCGACATCTCTCCCTCCAGCTCGTCTTTCACCACTTACCGCCTCTGCTCTTCTCTTCTTTATTCTTGTAACCGTTTGAGACTGTGTGGTTTATAGGATGCTATAAAAATGTTCTTTGCTTTTTATTTGAGAAAGTACAGCCTGCTTATCATTCAGCATTTGTTTTATGCACCAAACACTCCACTACTGGTTTAGTGTCTGTTAATGCAGCCGGCATTTTGGCTGGATTTATGCCTCCTGGTTTGTTTCCCTCTTTCCTCGTTCCAGTTTTTTCACTGCAGATTTCTTCCCCCTCTTTTCAAACTTTCCGTGTGAAGCATAGGCACTTAAAATCCACCCATAGTGGCCTATCTCAATTAGCGTTAATGACACCAAATTACACTGAAATTGTTTTCAAATTCAAGACAATTGCACTAAAACCGATGGCGCATTCATCACACCACGGTTAGAGTGTTTTCACGCCAGCCTCGGCTTCACATCACCTCCATTAGAAAAACAAAAGAGGCAGCCAAAAGCTTGTAGCTACATCTAATCATCCCTCACACTCCGTCCAACCCCTCACATTTTGGCTTCATCCATCAGAATAGATGCATTTCAATTTACACAGTGCTCAATTCAAATTAAATTCGAAAGTGTCTCATCATTTCTCCGGGAAGTGGTGAAGACGTGACATAGAGAAGCGAAACCCATCATCGGTGCGGTTTGTTAAAGGTAGCGATTAAACTTGACGGCTTGTCAGGGTGGTATTATTGTCCTCCTCTGGATTTTTATCAAAAGCATGCGATGCCTTCTTGGAATGGGTTGATTTGAAATTCACTTTGGTTCTGCAACTCTGGGCTCTGCAGCAGAACGGAGGGTGCTCAGCTGCATTCTGCACATAAATCATAAACCACGTTCAAACCAGACGGATCGGAATCTGTGCCCCTGCAACTTTTTCCTCTCATGCTTGACTTTTATGTTGTTGTTTGGAAGCTGAGGAGTATCTTAAGCGGTTTATCAGGTTTGTTAATGGGAAGATAACAGACAGCTATGTTACAATCACAGTAAGTAGACAGCTCCAAAAACAATTTAAAAGATTTATTGACAAGTTATTTATCTTTCTTTAAGCAGGAAAATATGACTGTTGAGATTAAAAGAAAAAAAGAAAAGTGTGCAGCAGTACAGTCAATAGTTGTTGCATGAACTAAATACATACACAGATACACACAGTTTCAGAAACCACCGAACTGCCTGCACTAAATGTCTACGCCCTGTCCTGTGGGTGCTGGACTGACAGAAGCCCATCTGGGCCCCGTGGGCTAAAGCCCTGCCACTAAACCCTCATCCTGAAGCCATACCCCGGATCTGGCTCCAGGTGAGGTCCCAGTAGCCCTGTCTCATGCACAGTACAGGATTATAAATCAGTTATAATCAGAGGCCATTTGAAGTCATGCAAATTTCAACGCATTTTTCCAAATTCAGCTCAAATTTAAGGACAAACATAAGGAACGAGTCTTGGGACTGAAGACAGTAACTTCACACTTGAATGATTGCTCAATTGTATGTTTAGATTCAATGCGGAGCCACTGAGTCACCATTTAATCATTCTCAGGGAAAGTTAAAAGTCATGTTCAATAAGGACAAATCCTTTGATTTTGACAAACAGTCACACGGGGTGCATTAGTTTTAATGTGAGGATGTGGAGAAATTGTGAAATGACTCATGCAGAGAGACTCATCCACATCCATCACCCGAAATACTCAATCTAAAGGACAAAGGTTAAAGCGCTTGTCATTATTGTATGCTGAGCAGAGAGGGGAAATTCATTTTTCTTTTACATCATCTTTTTCTTTTGTATAAAACTAAAAGATTTAAGACAATATGTGAATAAAACGCAAGGAAAGTACATGTTTTAAGAAAATGGTAATTATTAGAACTACAACAGATGTTGATTGATGAGAACCAGGTTGTAGAAAATCAATTTTAACTCTCAGCCTAAAGTTACAATAAAATGAAACAAATAAACTGTAACAGTAAATCTGCCAATTTCATCTGAAGCTACAAATGAGCCTGCAAGACATTCCTGATTTTATCAATGCCAATTGTCACTTTATTTCAAATATTTTGTCTTCCTGTGTGCTCTTGTGCCTTGTTTTCTTTTCTTTTCTTTCATGACCCCAAAATCCTGGAAAACACCCTGCTTACCTTACCGTTCTCTTTTAACTGACACGAATGGGTTTTTTTCTTCCTACAAAAAGTCCATATTAATTTTTGATGTGTATTCCCGTTGCATGGAGGTCCTAAATTTTATTTAAAGTGGTATTAAAAGGTCTTAAATTTAACGTGTAGCAGTCCTGCAGTATTCTGGCAGCGATAAAGCTGCTGAACCTTTCTTTGGAAGTCTCATGGATTGGATTTTAAACCTTATGAAGATTATAAAATAGGGTATGTCTTTTTATGTTGAAGCAAATCAACATGATCAATAATTTTCTGCAGCAGCACCAGCTTCAATAAATCCAGCTGACTCAACACTGCCTCTCATGACAACACATTACTTGTGATTGGTGCCGCTGACTCCAGGCTTCATGCTGCTCCTACATTACTTCTGACTGACAAAGCTGACTACAGGTTCTTGAACTTTCCTTCCTGCAAATGCCACTGATGTGACAGGAACAAGCTGCAGCGGAATAAGTAAGTGGGGACAGAAATTGGCTTTTAGAATGAACAGCCAAGGCTTCTGCCTCTGCATGTCTATCAGGGGACTAAACAATTTATGGCTACATACGTTAGAGGGCTCGAGTAAGACAACAGTGCATTCGCTTAAAAGTTTTCAAAAGTGTTGCGTCAGCAGACAGGAAGAGAGCTAAATTTCAAATCTGGTTTTGTTCCAGTGAAGAACACAGAGACGATTAGACTGATCCACTATCATCTTTCTCTATTTAGCAATTCAATTAGGGTAATCTTAAATTCTAATTGAAACGATCAGCTGCTTCATAAACACGCAGAGAGGTCAAAGGTTATAGACTGAACTGACTAACAAAGACACAGATACTTATACATAAAGTACTGTAATTAAATACCAAAGTAAGGGACAGATTTCAACACAGTGAGCTGTAATATAATTCAAATAATTCAAAAAGTATACCAACAGCGACTCGAGCATCAATCAAAGTGGCCAAGCCTCTAACTCCAGTTTTCATATGGATGACCTTTAGTTTTGAAAGGATATTAGAGAGAGAGAGAGAGAGAGAGAGTCAGGGGGAGTGACGCACAGAAAATGCTCCAGGGAAGACTTGAGCATCAGGCCTTTGCAGGCTTTGAGCATGTGGGTTATCTGTTCTCAACCAGGTGAGCAGCGCCTACAACTGTTTCATTCCACTGTCAGTTTGAACATTTAATATGGGAGCCAGCCTTAAGTGGACATGAGAGGAAGTCCAGTACATGCAGTACCTGGCATGTTCATGGCATATATATATTGAGATATAGATATATTTATAAATAGATCTTACAAAGGTCCATTGGGTTTCCGGACCGGCAATCCATGGAATTACCAAAAATAGAGAGGGGATAGCTTAACGTGTGAAACAGGACAAGCCTGCCGTGTAATCCATTTATTTCAACAAAGTAACTGTATTCTGTTTAACGGTAACTGTAACGGAATACAGTTACTCATTTTTTGTATTTTACACACGTAACGCTGATGCGTAAATTCCGTTACTCCCCAACACTGAACATATATGACACTAAATAAAACCCAAGGATGCAAAATCACCAAAGCATAGATTAAAATGTTAACATATAACATATTAAACAAACATCAAATATCTCTTTAGAACTAAAATGCAAACGCAGAAACAAAATCACTGAAACACAGACAGTAATGCTGAACCACTTTTCATTTTGCTTAGCCGAAAAAAAATTATACAAAAGTCAAATAAGTGCAAATGTAATTACAAGTACACTTACTACACCACAGAGTAAATATCTCTGACATCACACATCCTAAACCAGATCTTTAGCCTGAAGTTCTAAAGTTTGTATTCATCAATGCAACAACATGATTGGCTCCTACGTTTCTTGGTTCAGCTGCTGATTGGCTCTCAGACGTGGAACGACCTCCATCTTCAGCATTTCAGGATTTTCCCTCAGATTTCATTTCAGGCTTCTTTGACTGTTTTATAAAGTCTGTGATATACGGGTGTTATTCCAAGTTATTATTTTACCCACTGAATATTTTCCTTGCAACACAAACAGTAACTGCACGTGAGGTGACATTTCCACAGTTTTTCAGTATGAGAGATGACAAATTATTTTTAATTTGTAAGTGATTACTTTAAGTTTTTACTTCACAGACACATCAGCCTGAAGCATGCGTTGAGAAACAGAACAGCTGTCCACTGCTGCTCCTTAACAAAAACCCTCAGAGGCTCCATCTGCGTCCTTTTTTTAAAAGTCTTGAAACACGTTTAGTGTGGATTTCAGAACATCGTTTAAGAGCAAACAGCAGTGGTGTGGCTTCAGAGTAATAACTGCTCCAATGCTGAAAGAAAAACGAAAACACGAGCTGAATTTTACTCAGATCGACGTCTCTTTTTTAATATTCTCACGGTGTAGGCAGTGATTTATGAAAAGAAGCACACTGAGTCTCTGTGGCTCGTTCCTGCAGTGCAGCCTGATGCCAGGCTCACTTTATGTTCCTGTTCAGTTATTAGACTGCAGCTTGTTTTCATCAAAGCGGTTGTGTCTTACTTCTGGTGGTTCTCAGGAGTATGTCATCAGCTGTGTCACTCAGAAATTAATTATAATATGCCTTTGCAGTGGAAAAACAAGACATTGTTTCAGCTGGTATGCTGCAGATTGAGACTTAAGGCTTTTCAAGCCTTACAGTGAGCAGAGGCAGACTAAGGATGCTGAGGTGGATGGAGTTTGTTGAAGATGCGGCTCATATAGGAGGCTGTGTACCTGTTTGTCTGTGCAGGTTTCCACAGAGGCAGAACCAGTCGTTCAGAGCGATGCTCAGACCTTCACCATAGGAGTCATGCCTCAGATCCCAGGATTCCCACAGCTGGCCCCCGACTGCGACCTACAGATCACGGTGAGAGGAAAACACACAAAAAGACACCATGGTGGAAGCCATGACATGCTGTATGAAAGTCTTAGAAAACAATGGCTTCAACAACAGATGATGTTGTTGTCAATTATACAGCTACTATAATGCACATTCTTTTTTTAATTTACTCTGTAGACCCATTTATTGTATTATATTCTGCTTTTTACATGAAAATGTCACATTTAGATTTTCACCTCTTAAGCCATTTTATTTTATTGTTCACTGTTTTGACTGCTGCAACAGTAAAATACATTTTTTCCTTATTTTGCACTAAACTACATGATTATTTGTGAAAACTCAGCAATAGTTTTGACTGTGAATAACCATCAGCTGATCTTTTTTGGTTTCTAGTCTGAAGTTTCTGTCAGCAGCACGTCCTCAGACATCGCCCTGACATCCTTTCTGTATGTTTTCCTGTTAAACAAACCCCCCAAAAATGTTGCTTTTGAGAAGATTAAGAAACTTATGAGAAGATGCTTAGCGACCAGAGAGACTGGTGACCTTTCACCCTGAAATCTGTTTCTCATTCCACTGAGCTGAGTGACCTTGACCATTTATACATAAATAAATGTGCAATCTGCTGTATATTGTTCATTGGATGTAGGTTCAGCTACAGAAAGGTTGACTGGGGAGATAATTCAGCAAAATCCATGTTTAAAACTCGACTGTGTAAAGTTCATTTATAAAGTCTCGTACTCGACACAGCGTTGATTAAAAAAGGAGACATTAGAGTGGCTGCAAGAATTAGCAACTCGGACGGCATATTAGAGCTTTTGAAGGTAATAAGAAAATGTAAGTGGTCTGGGGAGTGCTTGTAGTTTTTGGAGGGAAAAAACCTTCAGATTTTGAGATTAAAGTAATAAATTTGTGAGGGGAAAAATGACAGGAAATTTAAGAGAATAAAACTCATAAATATGTGAAGTTTTTTCTTGTACATTTGTAAGAGAAAACTTCAGAAATTTTAAAGAAAGGAGCTCATAAATTTACAAGAGAAAAGATCACAGTGAGGTTGAGAAAATGAGAAAAAAATGATTTATGATAAATGGAATGAATTCACATATTTCAACTTCTGGAACCAATAAATCATACAAATCATTTCTAAACACCAACAGCGCTCTTTTCAACCACATTATTTCAGCCACAACATCAAATCACCAACTCGCTTTCATTGTGGCGAGTTGGTGTAAGTCCACGATGGAGTCGTCCTCCATCAGGGTGTGAGACGATAGAGACGAGCATGTGGGGAATATCTGTAAAGTGCAAATCCAAAAAAATGTAACATCAATATTTAAGATTGATTTTATTTATGAGGAGAGAAAAACACAAATTTATAAGAAGAAACTTACAAATTAGTCCAAGAATTCCCACTAACAGAGTGCAGTGTCACCAAAACGACTACACACATCCAGGTTGTCCTGTGAGTCACACAACAATTAGTTACAATTACAATTTGTTTTTTAAGTATTCCTCTGAATAATTTGGGGTTTTTTTTTAATTGTGAAGTGGCTTTGGTGACATTATCCTGTATTAGTGGGTTTGTTTTGACACATTTTTGAGTTTCACTGTGAAAAGGGAGCAGCCAAAAGTTTTTTTCTTGCATCTTACAACTTTTTTAGTTTTTTTCCTGGTGAAATGCTTTCGATCCTAAAGAGACTCCTTATGTTTGTGGTTGTTTTCTGGTGATTTCTGCCTAGAAATAGAGGATATAGAAGCTTACCTCGTTTCTCACCTTAATGTGTGTGTGTGTGTGTGTGTGTGTGTGTGTGTGTGTGTGTGTGTGTGTGTGTGTGTGTGTGTGTGTGTGTGTGTAGGCTCTGGAGGCTCAGGTGACAGAGATAACGCCTTCAGCGCTGTCCTTCGTCGACTCTGAGACTCCCAGCGAGAAGCTCGTCTACAGTATCACCAAACCTCTACCATCGGGACAAGGTCAGCCACACACGCACACACTCGTGCAGCTTTTCCCTCATAATGTGGAAAAGATTAACAGGATTAAAATCTAACTCCTGTCAGGGGGTAGGAGCCTTATAACTAGATACAGTGGGTAAGTTTCTGAGTTCATGTTTGATTTTCAGCTCAGAGCTGGAGAGGGAGAAGTTAAAGTGTCAAGAAGTTATACTGTTTCTCATTAATTATCACTTAAATAGTCACAAGTCGGGTGCTGTTAATCCACAATTTGGTGGGATGGAGCGGTGCAATGAGGCAAAGGTTTCTTCCTGTTTTTTTGGGGGGGTTGTTATAAAACTGGAAAACTCTTTGCATCCAGAACATCTGTGGAAAAATGCAAATAGAGATGAACTGCTCTGTGCCATATTCGACTGGAGATAGACACCTTACAGCCAAATTTTGGTCAGACACATAATCCACATGGTAGTGCTGTCATATCAAAATTAGACATGATTAGACCAAATTATGTGTCACAGAAAATGAGCCAATTTACAGAGGCTGCAAAAACATAACCAAGCACACGTGAAATGCACAGAGAGACACAGAGTAAAAGGTTCCTTAGCAAAGCATACTGGGAAGCCTGGACTGTGTATGCACACAGAAGGCTGATTAGTGATAACCACAGCTGGGGAATGAGACACAGGCACAAACAATCAGGACACAAATGAAAACCCAAATCAACACAAGAGGAAACTAGCTGTCCGAATAAAACAGGAAGAGAGCTACGACCCCAACTGAAACAAAAAAGACACGGAAATATAAACGAACTAACTGAGGGGGAGAATGCAGAAATTGAAGAATTCACAACTACCCCAACACATGAAGCAGAACTTCATAATCCAGGCCCACTAAAGCTCAGAATACTAGAATAACAATGAATCAAAACACGAGCCTGCAAAACAGAAATGTGATGACCAAAACCACAAAAAATGAAATTTAGTATTGATGAGAATAAACCAAAAATGTAAAGCAGCTGTGAGAATGGACAGAAAACTACAGCAAATCATGAGAGGAAGCACCAAGGCTCAGAGTTTTTACCTGAGATCTGCAAATAGGTACAGAGACCAGGAGTTTTATACTTGTCTGGAAGTCTTACATTATCTAAAATGAGGGCTAAGTACAGTCACATCTTTTGGTATTAGAGGATAACAGAGCACTGCAGACAATCTTGTCTTGTTCTTTCTGAGTAAGCCATTACTTCTTGTTAATTTCTTGTTTGCAGAGGCATCAAATATTTGCTGAGGAGTTGAAATGTTGTCACATTTTATTATTGGTGCATAATGCATGAGGTTGTTACAGAGTTATTTGTACCTTGATAGAAGAAAACGTTACTTTCCTGCAGGTTGAGACCTCGTAGTGCTCAGTGGAAGTTACTCTGGGGAGACTATCAGGACATCACATCCTTGTTTGTTTATCACACGGTTAATTTGTCGTTTGATCAAAGAAGTAGGTTAAAATATACAACTGATCATGTTTTTTTAAGACTTGTCACCCAAAATATTCCTTTAAAATGCTGACCTTTATTTCATGTTGTGTTTAATAACGAGGAACGGGGGAAAATAGGAACAAAGTACATGCACATCATGTTACGACACGCTTCTCTTGTAATGTGTCCAAATTAGTCTCCAAGAAAGTCATTTTCCCTAGAGTGGTTTTAGCTTTGGATAGTGGCATCCTTCCAATCCCATTTTCTGCCAATTATCCGGATCAGTTTGCAGGGATAGCAGTCAAAGCAGAGATGCCCGCACCTCCCTCTCACCAGGCACCTCCTCTAGCTGCTCGGGGGGATATCCAGCCAGCTGAGAGATGCAATCTCTCCGTTGCCTGAAGCACCTCATCCAAGAGGCTGGACCACCTGAACCACCTCAGCTGGCTGTTTTCGATGTGGAGCAGCAGCTCTGATCTCTACCAGCAGTCTTGGTTTTGTTCCCAGCTCGCAACAGTAGGCGAGCGTTGCAGTGTACATGGACCAGTACATCAACACAGACTCGCACTGCAGCCATATCATTTATATCACACCTGGATCTGTGGTCATATGACCTGATGTGGTTTAAGTGGCCTCATTTCAGTTTCACCAAGTGAACCAACTGTGTAAAGGCTTATTGAATGTGTTACCCACCAACCTCAGTGTTTAACTCACTATTTTAAAGGCTAATCCAGATATAATTTAGTGTGTTACAGCACAAGTGTTGTATACTTTAGAATGAACAGCAGTGTATTAGATCATAATTTATGTGTAAAGAGCCTTATGAGGCCATTCTAATAAAGAGCATATAAAGTGCACCTTGTTACATTTTATTAGTGTATAATAAAATAAAGTGAGACTACAAAGTTTAGGAAGGGGGATCATGTTCTGCAGAGCACTTAGCTGTAATGACTGGCTCAAGAGTTTGGCTTTTCCCAGCTTGGAGTCGCAGAAACTACCAACCTTCTGCTTCCAAGTCTGCTTCAGTAGCGTCGCCGCCCTCCAAAATAATTTCATTATCGTCTTTCCGTGTATAAGGATGAGCATTGCTTTCATTTTTGCAGAATTTAATGTGCCGTTCAGACATTCATTTCATCGCTGGACCATCTGTCAGAGTGCTGCATCATTTTCAGCTCTCTGTCTAATGAAAGAGAAAAGCGATTTACAATGGGTCATATTCATCAGCTAATGGACTGATAAATTTGTGTGTAGACTTTTTGAACGGCGCCAAACAGAAGGAGGAGGAAAACTTCTGTTTTTGTGGGAATGTTTTTCAGGATTTTTAGTTTTTTTTTTTAAAACCCTGAAAGTTTTAGTTCTTTTTAGTTAAATGACAATATATTGGTCAAAATAAGTTTGAAGTTTCCGGTTTTCTGTAAGAATAAAGTTGGAAGTTAAAGGATTTCACCAAACATTTTCAGAGGGAAGAGCTGTTTGGGAGAAATTAGCATCCTTATTGTTTTAATTAAAGCATGGCATGCAGCTTTCCTTTACTACAAGGTAGCTAACAGCCTTCTAACAAAGTCTTGTTTAAATGTTGCCTCAGACTCCAATGTGCAAAAACCTCCTGGGTACCTCGTATCTGAGGTATTTGGGGCATGTCCGGCTGGGAGGAGACCCCGGGGCGGGAACACAGGCTTGGGAACATCTCAGTGTCCTCTGAGAGGCGCTGGCAGAGATGAACTGGCGAGAGGGACGTCACAGCATCTTTGCTCAGCCCCTGTGACCTCACATCCTGCATTTCTTTATTTCCGATATTAACGTTTTGTTTTTCTGTTTGGCCTTTAACATCTTACTTCCAGCCTTATTCTCAGCATCTTTAGTGACCCGGTCAGCTCTCTGTTCTGTTTCACTTGCTACACGCTCAAACAAAATCTCATCATGTGCTGATTTTTTGTTTCCAGGGACCATCGAGCATCGGGACAGGCCATACACACACGTGCAACATTTCACTCAGGCTGATGTGAATAACGGCAAGATCATCTACAGACCACCGCAGGCTCCATCACACCTCCAGGAGCTCTACCAGTACTCCTTCACCGGTAAGATGTTACTCACACTTCACCTCCAGCTCCTTTATGCACCAGATCAGCCAGATGTACTTAGTTCAGAGACCTGTCACTGAATTACACTGTTTTACCTCTTTGATTGTTGTCCTTGTTTTTGTTTAAACCAGCGGTCCCCAAACTAAAACAAAGGGTTTGAATAGTCTTATCCACTGACAGACACCATTTGCACCACGGTTCAATAATCATTTGCCATTAGCAGCATCCACACGTCGTATCAGGCCGACTGCAGAGCCTGAGGGTCACACAGGTGCTATCAGTAAACAGTCAGTGTCAAGTCTGAGTGTTTTTGACTTGTTTTAAAAAACAACTCTGTCCTTTTCACCTGGATGCTTCTGATAAAAGGGTCACTCTGGGCTAAAATCATGCCTTTAAAACCCCTCATGACAGTCCACTTTCTGGTCATTAATTTGAGATTTTAATCTCTAATTATATTACACCTTTTTACACCAAATTGTGACTTTACCCCACTCAGAGTGGACCTCGTCTACACTAGCTAACTGTTAGATGTAAAAACAGATATCCTAACAGCTTTTAAAGCCTTACATGGCTTTAATAGTTTGTCTAATTACATCTGAGCTTCTGAAAATGGGAGACTGTGTGTAAAAATTGTTAAACTCCTCAAACTTCAATCACATATTGATTGCTTGTCCCAACAAATGGTCCTAACTGAACGTTTATATTACAGTATTACATGTTAATCATTATTAAAGTTTGAGTCTTTAGTGTTTTTGTCTTTTATTGCCACTCATGATCACCTTTTTTCTTGCAAAGCTTTTAACAATAAAATTAGCCTTGCATGGTTAGTAATTGAAGAGGTGGATGGGTTGGACAAGGAAGAGCAGAGTTTTAGCATTTCGAAAACTATCAGAGGACGCTAAGACGTTTCCAGAAGCACAGACCTCCGTTTAAAAAGATCTTCCATAATCCGAGATCAAAGCATACTTTTATTTTCTTAATCTGGGTTTATGGAGCTCCAGTGGAAGCTTTGCATCAGTAAATCATCCTCATTGCCTCTGAGTTTATACAGTATGGGCTTTTCTCTTTAGTGAAACACCGTCACCTCTGCATGAATCCTCTGTTTTTTACTTTTATCGCTTCCTGGCTGTAACTCCTTTCTGTTTTTAACCCCAACAGGCCTGCCGGAGTCGCTGAGCGTTTATTTCACAGGTAAATACTTCATCTCGCTGAATTTAAAAAGTAAGAGGAGGAAGAAGACAAAAGAGAGGCAGTTTGTCTCCTCCTCACCCAGTCCTCTCCTTTCTCATCTTTTTCATTGTAAATCTCTCAATCCTCACCTCCTCCTCCACACTCCATTTTCTCCTCCCGTCTTCTCCCCTCTGCTATCAATTCCTTCTTTTTTATCTTCCCTTCTTCACTTCCTTCAACTTTTCTCCACCTATCCTTCTTCTCTCTCCCCCTGTGTCGCCTTTTATTCGTTTCTCTCTCATTTCCACTTTTATTTCAGTTCCTTTCTTAATTATATCGCTTTCCCTTTTCAGTCCTAAAGTTCTCCTTTTCCCTCTTTTCCACCGTACATTTTAGATTCTTCTCTCTGAATTTCACCTCTCTGTTTTGCTCCTCTCCTACTCCTGTTTCCTGTTTCCCCTCTCCTGGTTTTTGTCTTCCCCATAAATGTTCCTCCCCTTGGATTTTTCCTCACCTCTTATGTTTTTCCTGTTCTATTCATCTTTCTCTCAGCTTTTAAGTTCATCACCTCTCTAATCTCTCCTCTTTTCACACCCAGTGCTTCTCTCCATCCTCTTCTCCTCTTTCGCTCCTTTGCCATTAGTACACTGATCCACTTCAACTGAAGTCGTCAGATCCTTTATGATTCTCTGTTTTCGAACTTTGACCTTGAACCTTAAGATAAAAACAAGGCTTACTGAACATTTGGAAGCGTGCCATCACTCTCTAACTCCACCCCAACAGCAGTCTGTGTTTACAGGTGTCACCAAAGTGTTTTTCACTTTAGTGTCGGTCCTCGGGAGCACACAGTGCTTTCAGCCTCTGCTCCAGTTCAGTCTTAAGTGACTTCTATAGGTCCCTAAAAGAGAAAAAATGACCTTTACCCAAAGCTCAGCTGCAGTTATCAGGACACTGTTGCTGATCTGCAGCGCAGAAGATAAATTACATTTACCTGAACAGCTGCTGTACGCGCTCAGATATTGTTTTTATATTTAATTTTGAGCATTTAAATTTTTTTATCAGGTTCATACCTCTTGTCTTCTTCATTATGTAATCAGCAGACTAGCCAGTTAACTGATTAGTTACAAGCACACCTTTCATTAGTAATCAGCTTTTGTTAATTGCATGCATTTGCTGCTTTCCTCTTTAAATATTTTTTAATACAAAAACACGGTGGCAGTTTTCTGGCTTTAATCCGTTCCAAATTATTCATCAGCTCTCAAACTGAGACATTAAGTCGAACTTTCACTCACTGCGCTGTTTCTGTTCTGGTGTTTAACTTTAATGACAGGAGACCTGGAGGCTGAGAAAGAAAGCAGCAATACCTAAAACAAGTGCAAAAACAGGCACCGGTCATACATGTGAACGGTAGCGAGCCAAACAGATCTGCAAGGAGTAAACAAAGGAAAATTCCTGGGAAAAATCCAGGAAAGGTCGTACACGAGAAGCTCAAGTGTGACCTCAGAGGAATATAACTAAAAACAGGAGTGCTGGAAGACTTGGCTAAACAAGAAGGAAAGATGATGCATCAGCGAGCACAGAGATGCTGCAAATATATAGAATAAATAAATAAGAGTCATAAAGGAAGTAAAGACAACAGTGTGATCAGACTAAGACTTCCAAAATAAAACAGGAAATTGCTTAACAGACACACAACACTGAAGTCCACTTGTGAGTTTAGACTAATTTACAGTGAATTACAGCACAGCTAACAGCTAAGCAACTAAACAGCCCTCCAAAAAGCAATAACACCAGTTTTATTGTATTGAATCTGACAGACAAATGATTGTAATAAGTCTGTATTGCAGTTTAACTCAGTTCAAACAAAGGTCACTCTACTTACACTGTAAGTGCAAACAAACTCTTACTATGATAAACTATAAATATTGCAGCTCTCAGTCAGCTGAGCTGTGTGAATAAGTTTTCATCAAGTGTCACGATTTTATGGTGTTTCAGAGAAATCACCCTCTCAGTTATTCCAATTACTCTAAGTGATCAAAGTTTATTCATCATTAAAATTAATAACTGTACATAAAACACTTCATAAACAGTCATTATTGGATTAATCTGAATCAGATTGATGACTTCATTCATGTTTATCAGTTTAACCGTGTACTTTGTGTCTGTGCTCATTTATTTTTTCTTCATTCATTGATGCAACCATGAACTATAATAATAAATGATTTAAAATGATAATGTTGGTTCAGCTTTTAAATGCAGACAACAAAAACAGCTCCTTATAGCACAGAGTGTGCCTCGTATCAGGGTAAGCACTGATGGTTAGTGCTCACCCTGTTCAACCACGATCCATCATTACTGCAGCAAAGACAAAAGCGCGACTTCATTCTAAGAATTTCTACCTGTGGTTAAAAGTTACAGCAAATAAATGTTGTTTTAAAGGTTTTGTAGTTTTATTTGTATCTTCATTGAAATGCCTCCGTAGCCCTGTACAAACCTGTGCTTCTAAATGAATTGGTTCTTACTGTGGGTAGAGAAAATTGTCCCCTTGTATCTTGATAATAATGTATGCTTCAGCATAATTCAGCACTATTGTGGGACTGTCGTTTCAATTGCGGCCCTTCACTTACTTTCACGACAGCACTCATCTAAAGCCTAAACGTTTCAGTCTGAAGGAAGAAAATTTGAGTTTAAAATGATCAGAAATGTGTGGAAGAGAGAAAATATCTCTGTTGCCACTCAAGTTTTACCCTTGCTGACACAAACCCGAAGGGTATTTGTGTCTCCAGCTGGAATCAAACCAGCAACCTTTTACTTGCCAATTAAATGTGTTAAGAGCTACACCATCAGAGTCACACAGTGGTGAAAACTCTCGGGAATTTTGTCTTTTTAATTCAGATTATTGAAGATTGTTATAAGGTAAAACAAAAGAGCAGCAAAATAATAAAATCATAATATATTTTTATATAAAGCTGTTTTTCCCCCTCTCATTTATGTCCAGGTGACAAAATTGACAGTTGTCTTGTTGCTGTTTCAATTTTAAATCATGTGTTAATGCAAAGCGACAAGTGGCCCCATTAAGTAGAGTTTACACTCTAACACCTTTTTTGGCTTGATTCTGTTTTTTTAAAATTAATTAATAACTTCAGCCTCTATGATGTGCTTTATTTTTATAATCTTGACTTTTAGGTTGTTAAATTTCCTTAAAAAGATTTCTTTGTGAAGTAAAAGAAGCTGGGAAGCTCATTAGCGGTGATGTGTTAGAGGTGTGCGTTTGTTTTTGGACTAATTTGTGTCTGTGTGTTTCCTCTGTGTCATGTATGATCTGTGTGGTTGCTTTAATGATATTCTTCTTCTCCTCCTTCTTGCATGCGTGTGCTTCAGTGTCAGATGGCGAGCACAACACGCCTGAGCTGGACTTTGCCGTCCTGCTGCTGACAAACCACCAGCAGCCGCCGGTGTTTCAGGTTCTGGACCCTCTGCTGGAGGTCAGCCTCAGAGGACAAGCTGCCATCGGTAAGATTATATAAACGCAAAAACAGGCTCGTACAAAAACTATTTAAGAAGAGAACTTGTTGAGGGCCGGCTGTTCATGCTTCTAACTCTTCTCCATTTCTGTGGCGCATGCAGGCGGTCAGCAGCTGGCCGTGAGCGACGTTGACACGGCTCCAGATGAGCTGGAGTTCGAGGTGGTAGAAGCTCCCGTCCATGGAGAGCTGATAAAGACTGACGGCAACACAAAGATTCGCATGACTAATGGTAAAGTACAACACACTGACACTGCTGGGACCAGAGGAACAGGATGGACATTTATTTGTCTGATTTTAGTTTTAGTTTAAATTATCACATCATTTGATGTTCAGCTAATAGATTTTAACACTGCATAGTCACATGAGGCTGGCTCGTAGGGCTCGTGTCATTTTTACTTTAGTCTCAGCTTGAGTTGAACTGCACACCAGCTTTAAAGTTAATGTGAAACAGAAGCTTGGCCGCCCGCTTAAGAAGAAAGAATATTTTTATGGCCTCAAAAATTTAGTTATTGTCAGTTTTTTTTGTCCTCACGTCTTCTTTTTCCCTGCTTGTATAACCGCGTCTCTGGTGGAAAGGTAACAGAAAAGCAGGCGGACTAAAATCAACACATGAAACTACAGTTGTAACATCCACATTTCCTCCGTCTTTTCAGGTGACACCTTCACTTTCAGCGACGTCACCCGCAATGTCCTGCTCTACCACCACTCCGGGCTCTCCACCCAAGATGATGCCATCACCTTCTCAGTTAGCGACGGTATCTCCATGGCTGCCACAGTAGTGCAGGTGGTGGTTCTAGGCGCTGGAGGCAGCGGGCCACAGCAGGACCCCATCGCCACGCTCTCGCTGGAAGTGGGCGAGAAAAGCAGCACTGTCATCAGACGCTCACACCTGGCTTACACGGTGAGTTAGGAGAGCTGCGTGCCAGTGAGAGTGTTTAGTGTTTGAATTACGCTGAGCTTTGGTTTATGTATTACGCAAGTGTCATGGGGTCTTGTGTGGAAAAGAGAGGTTGTGCAGGCAGGTTCAGAAAGATATAATATTAAAAAGAAAGACATGGTGTACAGAAGAAGAAGAAGAAAAAGGAGAAGAATACATATGGTGATGCAGGAAAGTGGAAAAGAAGCGAAACACAAAGCATGACTAAAAAAGGATTTTAAAAAATCCAAGCAGCAGGGAACACACCAAACATGCATGAAAATCCACAGTAGGATCTGATAATGGGCTGTCCCCGGGCTGTGTCGCGTCCTGGTTTGGGCTCGGCAGTCGGAGCTGATTGCACGCACTCGAAACTATGCTCGCAGTTCTGTGAGACATGAGCCAGCAAATGCATATTGCACGAGCTATGGTTCGAATAGATGATTTTAGGGCCTTTCCGGGCCTGTTTGCTGCTTCTGTGGCCTGGTGCTATCTTTCAAAGTCCAGCTGTCCATCCCTATATCAGCCCTAGAATAGACAGGCATATGCACTCAATGATGGAGAGACATATTCAGCTTATTTTCAGCTCCATATTTTTATTTTGGACTCCATTGGAGAAACTTTGCATCGTTCACAGTTTAAAATCATCTTCATTTATCTTGCTAGTACATGCCTGTGCTACAGTATGGTTTGATGTGGTTGCATAGAGAAAAATAAAAAATATAGGTGAGTGTTGTTGTATATATAAATAAAGAATACACTTATGTGTTTTTCTTAGTTTAAAAACAATCAGCCAATTTGTGTGTCTCTCTTGCAAGGCTGAGGTTTTGCTGTACTATACAAATGTCACTTTAGTTCATTGCTAAGTGGTTGCCAGGCAACATGAAGGCCTTATATCATTTATCTCATAACATCCCAGTTTTGTGGAAATAAATGAGATGATATTGTTGTGAAATTAAAATATGAAGCCTTTATAAAGCTACATGCTGATGGACAACCCGATGATTTTATAATGTGTGATATAGATAAGAATCTTCAGGGGCCTGAGATGTACCTGACTGTTAGTCGATCCACTGACTGAAACAAGCTGTAAACTCCGTCTTCCTTTAAAGCTAAGTCACCTTTGATGTGACTGGGTGACCCTTATTTAATAAACAGAGCCAAGTTCTTGTTGACGCCTACAGTATAGGTAAGGTTAGTTTTCTTTAGCAGGCTACCAAAAAATTACCAATCCCAAAACCAAACCTGGATATATTAGAGAGAACCCATGTCTGTATGGGTTCTCTCCAGGTACTCCAACTTCCTCGTCCAATGACATGCATGGGGTTAGATCACAGCAGGTAGTGATTCTAAATTACCAGCATGTGTGAATAGTTGTCTATCTTTATGTGATAGCCCTGTAAAAGATTGGTGAAGGGAACGCTCCAACCTCCCAGGTACCCTGAATTGGATAAGCAGAGGATGGATGCGCAACACCATCCAAGGGCCGGGGGTGACCGGAGGAAGATAGGCAATGTTTTATACATTGTATCCTATGTGTGTGACATGAGGGAAATTTTACAGCACAGAATAATTTTGTGAATGAAGAGTTGTAGGTGAGACTTGCTGTTTTCATTTTAAGTACAGTATCACTAAAGTCTGTTTGGTCCCTCAGGATGACTCATCTCCAGATGACCAGATTCGACTCCAGCTGGTGTCGGTGCCAATGTACGGCATCCTGACCAGGAGCCAGTCCCAGCAGGAGCACCAGGAGCTGAGGGAGTACTCCTCCTTCACAATGGAGGACATCAATAAGCACAGGATCAGGTATGGGTAGCAACAGCTACTCGGTGGGACTAGTTAAGACGTTTAAAATCCTCCAGACAACGAGGACAGCATTTAGTAAATGTTGCAATGGTGTGTTTTTATGTGACCTGTGAAGCACTTTACCCCACCTCAAAGACACGGGTGTTTAATTACGGCTTTCTGTGAAGGTTTAAATGTTTCTTCAGAGACTTACAAAACTGTAATATCAGTATAACATCTGCACTTGAACTAAAAATGACTTTCAAAAACCCTCGGTTGTCCCCAGAAGCAGTCAGTGAAAATGCGATAAAGATTCACAAAGCTCGATGGGAGTCTACAAAAAATGTTAATATTTTTATTAACGGCTGCCTCACGGCGACAGCGTTTGAGTAACTAGGAGTAGTTATATGTAAAAGCTGAGGTCTTATCACCTTCACCTGCAGGCCTGCTCTGGTTTCATGTATTTTTATTGGGTTGAGTCAGTTTTTTTTTTAAATGTGGCACATTGAAAACAACATGGAGTGAGGTAATATCTGTTCATCTAGTATACACAAGCACACATGATAAACATAAATGAAATTAAAGAAAAACATATTTTAAAAAAAGAAAGCAAAAATGACAACAATAAAAATAATGAATAGATGCTTAGACTGGTTTTCAATAGCAGGCAGGATTCACATTCTCGAACAAGCAGTGGCTCAGAGCACCGTGCAGCTCTGAGCCACTTGGGTTCGGACTTACTTAGATGTTGAGGTGTTATGGGTTCAACCAGAAGGCAAGCATGGGGCAGACACAGGACATGCTGGGGAGAAAAAGTCTTTCTGCCAGTTGGGAACATTTTGGTGTCGCCCTGGAAGTGCTGGAGGTGGTGGCATTGGACAGTGAGGCATCTGCATCACTCGTTGGACTGCTAAGCTGGATAAGCAGTAGAAAATTGACGGGTTGGGGGTAGAAAAAATTTAAAGAAATAAAGAAAAAGCTTATACCCTTTTGGTTTTTAGGTGAGAGGAGGAGGTTTTTTAAGCCTCTAATAAAGAGGCAGCTGTAAAGGAATAGCCTGGTGTCGAGGCCACTCTGTGCAATAAAACACCGTCTCGGGTTCTTCAGTCTGCAGTCGTACTCACGATCAATTTCTCTGATTGCAGCTCGAGTCAGCGGGAATCACTTTCCCTGTCAGCTTCAAGCTGCAGAAGACGCTGTAACAGCTTGCAGATCCATTTTGCTTTCCTTTAATCCTAATGTTTCTTCTCATGAAATGAGAGCTCCACAGACATTAACCAAAACCCGGTAAGAAAACAAACGTATTAACTGGAAGTTATTCAATAGTCTTTCTCCCGTTGCGTTCAATGAATCAGCCTGTTGGCATTAGCAAAGCCAATTAACTTAGCTCTGATTGTACCTGCAAGTGGTAGTAAGGCCCCTATGAGAGGCACTAAAATGAAGCATAAATATTCACGTACTAGCTATTTCATTTCCATAACGCAGCCCCTGATTAGCTGCGGCACGGGCCGATCTCTGGGGGCGAACGTCAAACCGGCTGTATTAGTTTTGTCTCTTTGGTGCTGGCTCTTACAAACAAGAGCTGGGAATTGTTTTAAAAGAATTGAATGGGATTAGAGGAGATTACACTGGCATGGCTTTCAGTTTTATTAGTGCTCTGCAGAGATTAGCAGCTGTATCACTGTGAGAGGGCTAAAGCGAATCTGTGCCAAGTCCTCTATCAATCCACGACTTAACACATAAACAGATAATTATGTACCCATTAAAAGAGAATTATTGTATCAGACAAAATCATTATTAAACACACACTTTAAAGATTAAGAAACCTTTTTCAAGAATTTTTGTAAATGTCAGAGATTTTGATTTAAAGTCTAGCAGCATTTGCATTTGAGTGATTCTCTGAGGGAGGCTTTTCTTCTCGACTTCCTTTGATTATCATGGGAATGGAAAAATAAGACTTTTGTTTCTTTGTTTGGCTTCAGGTCTTTTTTTCCCTTGTATTAGCTCAACTGTTCATCATATATATATATATATATATATATATATATATATACATACACATACACACACACACACACACATCGGGAACAACAACATCGGAGATCTCTGTCCAGAAGAGCGCAGTCCTGGGAACAGCTAAGATACTGCGCAGGACCCTCAAGCTCCCAGGCCTCTGGTAGAGGACCCGAGCTTGAAGGATAAACCGCCCGCAGGGGCGTGCTGGGTGTTTTTATATATATATATATATACATATATATATATATATGTGTGTGTATATATATGTATATGTATTTAAAAAAAAGATTTATGGTCTAATCTTTATTCCTGTCCTCATCTATGAGGTGGAGCTGTGTATTGTGACCAAATGGCTGCAGTTTCAGATACAGGTGGTGGAAATGATCTTCCTCTAAAAGGCGTCTGGGCTCAGCCTTAGGGCAGTAGGATGGGGAGATTAGTAATTCAAGAAGAGCTCAGAGTTGCAGTGCTGGTACTCCACAATGAAAGGAGCAAGTTGAATTCAGCATCTGACCAGGATGCCTCATTGAAGCCTCCTAGTTGAGGCTCAGAAGAGAGATTTTGTCTCTTGGCTTGTCTGGAAACACCTCCGTGTCCTCCAGAAGAACTAGAGGCGAAGGCTTTTTGCCTCATTAGTAAACCATTAGTAAATCTGGCCATGTGTCTCTCAGCTAAAGGCTTGAGAGAAGGAAGTTGGTGCATCTGTGCAACCCAGACCTGGATAAGAAAATGGAAGGATAAATGAAGAAAACAGAAACTGTGATTAAAACGGGTTTTCCATCTGCAGGTACATCACTTCAATAGAGACGGGAAGTCAGCCAGTGACTGATATCTTCCACTTTGTTGTTTATGATGGAGACAACAATCGCCTTGACAACCAGATATGCACCATCACCATCACCTCCGCACCAAGACAGCCGCCGTTGGTCACTGTCCGCAGCAGCATCAAGGTACGCACACGCTATGTCCTGCATACAAATGTGCAAGTAAGAATCTTACACACTTAACGGAGGTGCACACAGCAGGCCAGCTGAAACAATATTTACCTTTAGTCAGAAGAACATCTTAAGTACAGCATCGAATCATATTTAATGTACCTGTTTTATATTTGAGACAAAAGAAGCGAGGGACTCCTGTCACATGAACTCCATCAGATCGCTTGAGGGTCTTTGTTTAAAAAATAGCTCCAAATTGAAAGTTGCGTTGATGTCTGCTGGATTTCCTTCATCAACATGTAGCAAATGGCATCTACGTACCATGATGTTTGAGTATTGTCCTCTGTGAGTGGGAATAACAGATACGTACTCCTCTACTTCTGCTTGCTTTGTTCTGTCCTGCTGAGCTAACTGGACATTCAAGTCCACAAACTACAGGCTCATGGATAAGGGTAAAGGTATGCACTGTCACAGTCCAGGGGCTAATACAAATGCAGCAGAATATGGCATCAGCATGCTTTTATATTTAACACATTCTCCCCTGTGTATGTGTGTGGACATCTGTCAGTCTCATTGTGTTACACTAAAGAAATGTGCACTTCCTGTCTTTCACTGCAAGATAACAATACGATAAGAGAAAGAGCTTTGCATCTGCAGGCTGTACCTGGGATATGATGTCCCTCCACAAATTCCACCCTTCATCAAGGATACGAAGTCAAATCTCGCCCCAAGAAATGTCTCGTTCTTGGATCTATTTATTTCATGGCTGTGTGGGGAGAAATTTTCTGGGTCAGCCAATACATCTCAAAGTGGGACCTCTTCTGTGGGTTCACAGCTTGTCTTGTTTCTGGGTAAATTAAAAGAATACAATAAAGGTAGAAAAGAGGAAAAGCCTCACGGAGCACTAAATAATTTAACATCTACTGTCTACTCATCCTTCAAGGGTCTTGTAAAGATTTGAATTTCCAGTTTTTGTGAGTTTTTAATCATGTTCAAATGCAGAAAGGGGATTTGTTTTTCTGGAGTTGAGATTCTGATTTTTTTTATGAGCCCACTCTGAGTTTTCTCAGAGCTTTAAATATATAATATGATTAAAATATTAAACAGACTATATTGTATTAACTATACTTTAGATTCAAGTGAGAAAACTAGGATCTCCCAATTAAATAATTTATTTTTGCTTATTATCCATGTCTAGGTCGAGGAAGGCGGTCGCGTGCAGCTGTCTACCAATGACATCACAGTGTCAGATGTGGACACGCCCCCGAAGGACCTGCTGATTTGGCTTGTCAGCCCTCCTAAATATGGTTTTATTGAGAACACCAGGACAGGTGAGAAGTGCCTGTGTGACGGTATGCAGATATTTTGGAGTGTGGTCACTGTTGCAGGAAGCTGAATTGACTTTGGCTCATGATGTGACAAACTGCAACTGTTACTCTGAATAATTTTCACATTTCAATTTGCGTCACATTCCTGTGCACACAATGCCGGGTGAATTCCCCGCGGTACCAGTGCCATCTGTCTCGGCTTGATTGTGCTGTGGATTAGAGCCGCCAGATAGCCAGGTACAGATGGGGCAATTGTTGAAGTTTCACAATGTTGAGGCTCACTCAACTACTGCTGCTCTTTCTTCTGCTCCCGAGAGGAAGCGCTTGGAAAAATGACAAAGGTGACAAGAGTTGAAGAGGAACTGATTCCCTCTGGGGAAACTGTAACATTGCAAGTGCAGAAGCTGAAACAACATGAAATGAAATAGATATAAACACAGTAGGAAGAAAAGTCATATTGAGAATGAATAATGAAAATGGTATATCTTGCTGTAATTGTAATTTTGGTCTATATATAAAAAATAGACAGAGCGGTGATGTCAGCCACTGGATTGTGAAGCCTCGTTTTTAGTATTTTGGCTGTTACCATCTTGTTTTTGGCTTTCTTCTTTTTTCAGCCAGAAGAAATCATGCTTGTATGCAGATGTGACATTATGAGCCCACATTAGCAAGAACAGGTTGTAATCAAAGCTGGGCGTAGCTTAGAGAAAAGTGAATCTTACGCTTTCTTCTCTTTCTGATGGCCAAGGTGACTTCTCTGGTTGCAAAGGCAATTATGGATGTAAGGAAGTTGGCTGCTTTAATCAAAACTCTCAGTAAACATTTTCCTGATGAGCGTATCAGTTTATTTTATAAAATATGGTTCCGATTAGTGTCCAAAAAACATGATAAAGCAGGGTGGGACTACCTTGTGATTTAAAAGTTATTATATGATCTGACCTACACGCCTCAGTGACCCAGGCTTAGAGACAGATTGGCAACCCCCTGGCAATATCTGGTCACTAGGGAGAAATATGTATTTCCTGAGCAATCAGTCTTACTGCTTCAACCAACATGTTTCAAAAGGTACAACTTTAGTGTTGAAGGGGAATATTCTGTGTTTCTGAAGCCTTAACAAGCACATCCCCAGACTATTTGGGTCCTTTAAATAAAAGATGATCTATTGGTTTGGGACGTATTTTAAATCTTCAGCATTTAGATTATTATTTAAATTATTAAAGTTAAATTATAGCTGACACTATCAACCCTGCTCATCATGCCCACGTGCAGCACGATGGTTAGCACTGTTGCCTCACAGCAAGAAGGTCCTGAGATCAATTCCACCAGGGTCTTTCTTTGTGGAGTTTGCATGGTTTCTCCCCGGGTACTCCAGCTTCCTCCCACAGTCCAAAGACATGGAGTTAGTGGGGATAGGTTAATTGGAAACTCTAAATTACCCATGTATTTGTCTATGTGTTAGTCCTGCGACTGTCCAGGGTGTCCCAAGACAGCTGGGATAGGCTCCAGCGCCCCCCGCGACCCTGAAAAGGATAAGCGGAAGCGAATGGATGGATGGATGGAATGGACTATCAACCTTGGTTAGAGAGCTGCATTCATGTGCTGTGTGACACGGTTGCTGTTTATCTTTGACAGACTCAATGAAAGCATCTGGAGTTGCATGATCTGCACCATTCAGGATATCGACTGCATGCAAAACCTGCAGTAAATGACCTGAATACTGCAATGCATTTAGAAAACATGGATTTACTCCATGGGATACACAGAATAAGGCAGTGAGTGAAAACTCCAAATCCAAGAAGAAACCTTTGTAAAAATAAAATCTCATTAAAACCAGTAAATCGTATCATATTGTTGGTCGGATTTTAGCAGTTAAGAGCAGAAAATCATCATACTGATCTGCATATGTAAAGAAACTGTTCATTTTTAATGGGTGTGTAGCCATAGCTGTAACAATAATAAGATAATTAGGGCGATTGTGGCTCAAGAGTTGGGAGTTCGCCTTGTAATTGGAAGGTTGCCGGTTCGAGCCCCGGCTTGGACGGTCTCGGTCGTTGTGTCCTTGGGCAAGACACTTCACCCGTTGCCTACTGGTGGTGGTCAGAGGGCCCGGTGGCGCCAGTGTCCGGCAGCCTCGCCTCTGTCAGTGCGCCCCAGGGCAGCTGTGGCTATAATGTAGCTGCCATCACCAGTGTGTGAATGTGTGTGTGAATGGGTGGATGACTGGATGTGTAAAGTGCTTTGGGGTCCTTAGGGACTAGTAAGACGCTATACAATTACAGACCATTTACCATAATTGGCCTTCTCTATTACACATTGTCTGCAGACATAATGAAGGATAAATTTGTGGGGTCAGATATTTATAGTGTCTGCAGCTGTAGATAACCAGCTGGCACCAATCTTTTCTCTCCGTGTCCCGGCGGCCCGTCCTTGATGGCAGCTGGAGTCGTTGGTATTCAGCAGCATCAGCCAGCGGTGATGGGATTTCTGCTGTCACCGGGGCACAGGGGAGGCCAGTCAGTGTCACCGTCAGTGTGCTGGCAACAAAACCAACATGCACAGGTTTTTTTAATGTTGATATGCAGATGCACCATCGCACAAAAGACACTGACTTGCATGCTGATGTTGTGCATTTGCATGAATCCAGCAATTCAAAACATGCACATGGAAAAAACAAAAATCTCACAAACAGGCAGTGTTTATGCAGGAAATGGCTTTTCCCTTAACAAAATACATAATAGTTTGGTGATTAGCACAGAGGAAGGCACACGTACTGCAATGCAGTATAGACATTTTCCAATTTGAATTTAAATAATTACTTTAATATAAAGCTGACATGGAAGGAATACGGCCAATCTCATTTTGGCCCCTGAGGTCCTAGAGTAAGTAAACAACTCCCAGCCCATCTTTGTCACTCCCCATCTGTTTACATGCCGCTTTGTCTCCTTGTGTTAGTCTTTCTCTGTAGATGTCAGGAGAGGAAAAGAGACAAAAGTGACTCCCTTCCTGGTTCTGTTGGTGGTTTCTTCCTTTCTTTTTGCCCACCATCACCAGTTGCTGTTCGTAGCAGATTGTCTGATTGTTGGCCTTTTCTGTCTAAAATTATAGTACAGCTGGTTTGGGAATGCCTCAGTGTTCCAGCCCCAGTTGCTCCCCCTGTGTAAGACTCAGATAAGTGGCAGAAAACGGATGGATTATTCTGATTACTCACTCCCATGATTATTTAAACTCCTTAGATCAGCGGTCCCCAACCCCCGGGCCACGGACCGGTACCGGGCCGAGAGAGTTGAGGCTCGGGTGTGAAATTTGTGATTTTCAATGTTTTTATCGTCTCCTGTGTCTTATTTTGAAAGAAAATTTTACCACCATAGTTACCATAGCAACCAGAGAGCATTAAGGGCAGAGAGGAGGATGTTACTCTTAATGTTGTCGGCGCATTTCAGGAGGACGCTGCTAATAAAGTTACACAATTACACAGTGAAATCGCGTTTATTATCATATTTACAAAATACATAGTTTTTGTCTTGGTCGTGTCATTTTATTTTGTTGTATTTATCTGCGACACCTTAATGGCCGGTCCTTGAAGATATTGTCTGACATTAAACCGGTCCGTGGCGCTAAAAAGCTTGGGGACCGCTGCCTTAGATACTGTAAGCAGAAATTTTGAAGGCTAAAAAAAAAAATTAAGTTGATATAAAAGTGCCAAACCTGCAGTTCCTCTAGGTGCCACTGGAGGCTGGCTCCAAAAGTGAACCAGTCTCCACTGACTCATGTTGTGCTATCCAACTTCATAGAGGAAATAAGTCTACAGCCTGGAAAAGAGAGCAGTGTTAGCACCTATAGATGGTTTGCACTTTCTTCATGATTATATGGTTGGTAATTTTTTTCATATTTCACGCATTCAGATATCTGTAAGGTCCAAGGTAGGGCACACCTGCTTACACTTACAGGTGCGCTGGCACTGGCAGCCGCTCTGAGTTGAACTAGACCTGAACTATCTGTGGTGTTGGTGCCCATTGGGCCATTTTATCTATGTAATACTACAATCTGCTGTGTAGTACAACCGGATACCTGTAAACGAGATAGGAACCATAAACTGCTGTGTGCATGACCCATTTTCTTATTTTCATCATCGAACAAGAGTAAATGCCCCACATCATCTGGGATGGTTCATAATCGTGCTTTTATGAGTCCAGCATTAAGAGAGAAGTAGGGATGGAATATAGTAATTCAGATCCTATTAGTGTAGAATCATCTGTAACTATAATTAATCCTAAAATAAAATTAATGAAATTTAATAAAAAAAACAATTCTGGGATTAATATTCCAGCCTGCTAACTCTCTGCATCACATTCCTGAACAACTGGATCTGTTTTCGACCCACATTCCTTTTCAGAGCCTTGTTCAGTCGGCGATGCACAGAGATGTCAGTGGCGTGATTGCAGGAGTGGTGCTGTGAATCTGAGATCAGCAGACGCCACGTGTGAGAACAGAACAACCAAAAAAAATGATTCTGGAAAAATTGTAATTCCCCGGTGGCTTCAGGTGATTTCCTGTTTTGATTACACTTCTGTGAGGGTTCCCGCTCAGATAAGAGGCTCCCGATGCTCACCGTAAAACAGGGAGATGAGGCGATGTGATGCGATTTACTGTTGGGCCTGATTTACACGCATACACTAAAGTAAATACAAGTACACACACACCAGCTATTCCCTCCAGAGCCCTGACTCAGCTCAGTGCGGAGTCATCCGTCTTCTGCAAGAAAGACACTCATACTTTCTCTCAAACTTCAGAGATTTCAAGGTTGATGTTAAGTATTCAAGGCGACTCTCCTTCAACCTGAGGACAGCCAGGTCGTGTCATCACAGCCAAAGTGTGCTTTTCTGGAGAATTGTAAAGACCGTCCATGCATCTAAACTACCAGACAGTTCCGGCTGAAGTCAAATGAAAAGCCTGATGGGACGGAGAAGACAAATATTGCTGTCATTGGAGCTGTCAGAGGATATAAGTGATGGCCTGCTAACTGGTCACCTGAGAGGTTTATGAGTTCTTTGTTGCAGTATAATAAATGTTCCAGTGTAGAAATGGCTTTTTTCAGTGTGTAGCCACAACCGGACGACGCGACAAATCATCATTTTTACACTAAAAGAAAGAATTTAAGAATAAATTAGATTGCTTTAATGAATAAAATGATTTTGTGCACTTTGAATTTGAATCAGAAAGACTTTATTTATCTCCAAGGGGCAATTAACATACAACATAGCAGCATAACGTTGAAGATAAGAACAATACGAACAGGCAATAAGAGTGAGATAATAAATACACAGAATATACGGTATATACAGTTTAAAATTACACAGTTTAAAATTAAAGTGACTGAGAGGTGAATAAATAACTGTAAGTGACTAAGAGTGAATAAAGTGTCGGTAGTATAAAAAGAGAATGAGAATACTTTATTAATCCCGAAGGAAATTTATGTTTCTGGTGCAGGAAATGGTCTTATCTGCTGGAGTTACAAAGCAGTGGCTTTGGGGACAAAGGTGGCTCTCCTGTGCTCTTTGTTTTCTAAATTGCATCTCTTCCTCTGTTCTCTCGTCAATCAGGAAGCTCTGTTGGCGGCTCACATGTCGTCACCCCTGACGTGCCTTTCTCTGTGGAGGACCTTACATCTGGCCATATCTCTTACGTCCAGGAGAGCCAGCTTAAACCTCAAACCAAGCAGGACATCTTCAGCGTCTACATCAGCGACGGGCTCAGTCAGACGGAAGCTTTCAGTGTGGAAATTGACATCCAGGTAAGGAAAAACTAAAAAGCTACTACTACTAAATCTTGTAGTACTATCATTATAAGTGACATTGATTAATGTATAATTAAGAATGTATTTCAAAATAAAGGAAGTTTGTTTTTCTTTGAAGATTTTGTTTCAACTCTCTTAATTTTTGAAGGTGTTTGTGTTAAATATACCGTTGCACTTTCCTTCATTTCTATGGCAGAAGTAACCACAATGACACAACGCCTTGGTTTGAGAAGCCCCATTTTGCAGTCTTAAGGCATTACTATTTTGTTTGTGTTATTTTTAGCCAAATGTGATGAAGAAGAGGGAGGACAGTTATCAGTTAGCTAGGTTAGCACAGAAATGGTTTTCTTTCTCAGCAAAATTCATTTCTAACCACAGACGTTGCTGCTTAAATAAATAAAAAACTAACTATATCCTTATTGCGTCCATGGGAATTAACAGGGTTAGTCATAGTCAAGTGCTGGTAATCAAATGCACTCGGTTAATTGATCATCAGCAAGTGTGAGCGCCTCTATAATGGTGGATATTTTGGGAGTTTGATGGTCTGTAGGTGTGTTTAGGAGGAAACACATCAGCTTATGAATCTAGGAAGAGTTTTAAGGCCATTCCCAAACGTTTCATAAGTAAACAATTGTCAGGAGTGGATATTCCAACAAATTCACCCATATGCTCAGAAATTACAAAAAACTGAGAGCTCAATCTTACACTACACAGTTAGTATGTTAAATGTTTAAGTTTATGACAGTGTTAAAGTTTACACTCTCAGAAAGACTGAACAAGAATGGCTTACTAGAAATGTTACCAGGAAAAAGCATTTTCTCTCTAAAGAGACCATCCTGGCATCACGGTTCAGGTTTGCAAAGTTGCATCTGGATGAACCACAAAATCCTTTGATCAGGGGAGACCAGAGCGGAGATGTTTGACCATGGTGCACTGCACCACGAGTGAAAACCATCACAGCATATGAGCACAAAGACCTCTTACCAACTGTCAGCTCAGTGGTGGACGGACGATAACTTGGGCTCGTTTTGGACCCAGAGGACCCTGGACATTGAGTCAGCCATGAATTCATTTGTATACCAAAGTATTTTAGAGTCAAATGTCAGGTCATCTGACTGCTGACAGCTAAAGTTTGGCTTAAAATGACTCGTCTAAAATGTCAATAATTTCAAGCACGCCTTTAAAAGCTATTGAATCGTGGTATGTACTTAGTTTTTCACAGGACTGCATAATATTCTAGGTCTGAGGTAAAGTTCACGTCCTGTCTGTCAGTTTCAAACCATTGTTTTATAAGTAACACATTTTTCAGTCTTATGCCTGTAATGCTTCATTTTGGAAACTGTTGCACTTCACCCTGTACCCCCATCAGTCCAAATCACCAAGTTTAATTAGTTTCAGTTAGATAAGTCGCCCCTGTTGATGCTTTCGTTTCTTCAAAAGAAGACGATAAAAGCTTGAAAAAGACCAAAAACACTTTTTAAAAATTGAAGCTGGTGCACACCCATAAAAGTTTGAGCTGATTAAGTGGTGTCTGTGCTGATGAAAAGAGATGAAACGAGGTCTTAACAGCTCCACGCTCTATTAGTAATTTAAAAAAAAAAAAAGAGGTCTTACTCAGCTTTTGTTTTTCTTTTTTACTGCTGTCCTTGAGCATCACAAGGCTTCCTCCAAGGAAAAACTGCTATGGCCTCAGGCTGTCCCTGTTTTTTTCTCCTTCATAAACACATAAACAAACTGATATTCCAAATCCATCACTTAAGCCTGTTTTAGGTCTTGAGTTGGATTGATGGGGTTGTCAGTGAGCTGTTAAGTTTGTTGAGTGTGTGTATTTGAACACGTGACCTGTATATAATAAATCTTTCACGGTGTGTATTAATGTAGAGGTGGTAGTATACAACCCCTGGCAAAAAATATGAAATCCCCACACCAGGAGGACTGCTTCTGCTTTATTACTTTGATGGCAATAACAAACCACAGATATGTCACAAAACCGTTATATTTAACACCTGAACATTGTGGCTGTGTGAAACAAACCAAACAGAACCACATTGTAATCTGCATTTATAAGACAAAAAATCTGAATATGCCAACGAGTCTGCAGTTAAGGGAAAGCCTGCAGACACACCACTTGGCTGACTGAAGGAAAACATCTCCCCAACAAGGGACCTGAAAAGATTATACATCTCTGGTGAAATATGCTGGTTATTCCTGGTCGCCTGTGTCTAAATTTTTGAGCGTATACAAGCAAAATGTTTGAGTAGACCTTGGAAGATGTCAAAGCATCAGGACAGAAACCAAAAATTGGACCACATCACAAATAAAAATAAAATCAGCAGGAACAGGAGTAATCTGCCATTACTTAAAATAATTTAACAGAAATTGTTTGAGATCTGCTTTGTGAAGCTGGTGTTCTGTTGGTGAGGAACAGTGTAGTTATTCCACAAATATTAAAAGATGTCTTTATTTTATTGTCTTTCAGCAGAGTAAAGAGGACAAAGAGCCGGTGGTGTCCGTCAGCAGCATCCATATAGAGGAAAACTCTGGAGTTGTCATCACCAACTCGTCTCTCAGCGTCCACGATCAGGACACACCAGAGAACGAGATCCTCTTCACTATTATCAGAATTCCCAGCTATGGTGAGCACAGACTGCATTGGCCTGTAAAGGCTGTTCTTCAACTGCACCTTTCATTGTTAAGTCTGTCTATGAGAATTCATTTTAAAGCAGCAGATTACTTTCAGCTTACTAAAAACTATTTCTTTCTGTCTATAAGTAATAACCTGTTATTATAAACTACTTTTAGCTGCTGCTCAGTTTACTATCTGTTAATAACTTAGTGCATTTGTCTAGCAGTTAGCTAACAGTTTTCCTTTGCTAATTCATACTGCTAGTTAATAAACTTAAATTTTATTGTTTTAATTATTAGGCAATTTAACTGATAGGTCTCGATTTAGAAAATGTACACAATCTTCTTCATAGCCTTAGCTAGCTTTATTGCAATTATTTATCCATTATTTTCAGCTAAAAGCTTGATTTGATTACTCACATGTAGCTAGCTGCTAACGTAGCTAACAGCTGAAGTGATTTATAGCTTTAGCAAGTTTTTTGGCTAAAACTCAGTTCATCTATATAAACTTGACATTTTTATTGCTTTTTGCTCTCTATTATAGAGTGCTCTTGACTCACCCTTCATTTCTTTTTGTTTTGCTTCCAAGAAGCAAGATTTTCTTGTATTTTTAAGTGGACTTGAACGGTACTTCTCTGGGCTTCCTAGTGGTTTTTCAAAGTTTTTTTTTGCCATTGGCTGTTTCTTCACTCATTTTCAGTACAGTCCTATTACCTGGCTGTTTTCAGAGGACTGTCTACACATAACAGAGAATTTAGCAAAGAACCAATTTTAAATTGTATCCTTAGAAATCGAAGGTTTTGGTTCAAATCATCTTCGGGACGTACGGAGGAGGCGAGAGGTACAACAGTGACTGTCTACATCTGTCCAGCTCTTTAATGATTCAGAGCTGCATTTCAGCCAGTGATGTTGGGGATTTTATCAAAATTGGTGGGATTATGAACCCAGAAAAGTGCAATTAGAACAGTCCCTTTGATCTCAGAATCAGAATACCTTATTAATCCCTGAGGAAATTATGCAATTTTACTGTTACTTAGATAAACAAACAGATGCTTTTGAGATACGTTTAGTTATTCTTCCTCTTAAAGTCCATTTGCTTATTCACCAGTTCATATGGCATCATATATGTTTTTCAAATATGAAAGCAACAGAGACGCTTCAAAAACAGAATTATGTGTTACCACAGCAGCAACCCAGCAGGTAAACATGGAAAAATATGCAGTGATGTGCAGTCAGTATATTAAAATATCTCACATACTTTAGATCTGCACACACACAAAACCTAACACAGAGCTCAGGAGAGAGTTATGTTAAGAGGTACCTGGCATGTTGATAGTAAATAGTTCTGGACGTGATAGAGATGAACAGACACACACAGAGTCATAAACACATTACTCTTATTTCCGACACCCAAACAGTTTAAAACAAGACAAACACAGCGGCCGCCCGCTGCAGCGCTGCATTCTGACTGCAGCCATTCCTCACATGACACAGCGACACAAACTCAAATCAACTGACCTCCAAACACTTTGTTTTTCTGACGCCCTCTCACCGTCCCAAATTGAATTTTCTCTCCGCCTGCCACAGTCTGGTAGACCAAAAGAAATTGCTTCACGAAAAACACATTTTTTTAAGATAAGTATACAGCACTTAGTCACAGCAAAAATGTCTTTTAACCCAATTTTAGCAAAGTTTACAAAGTCGTGAAAGACGGCGGAATATAAACCCTGTTTCACAGGATCTCATCTGTTCTTTACATGTTACGATTTTTATTTTAACGCCATAATGACCCAAAACTTAAAGGCATTCTCTCTAACTGACTGTTCTGTATTTAAGGATTTAAGGAGCTTTGTTAATGCAAAGGCAATCTCCGACTGACACTTCTGAATTCCTGGTCTTGATCATGCAAATTAGTCGTATGGATTAGATGTCCATTTGATACTAACTCGATGCTGTCTTCAACTATCACCCCTCCCATACTCCTCACCCACCCCAACAGACACCTGGTCTGGGACATCTCCCCCCCCCCACTCAGTTAAAGCACCATAAAGCAGCTGGTGAAACCAAGCGTGCCTCCGCCATAAAACCACCGGCGTGAACGGTTGATGGGACAGAGCGGGAGATGAGTGGTTTCAGGCGTGTCGATGACTCCCAGTCAGCTCGTCTTTTTAACTGGCCACCTCTCCACTGTCCACACACACACACACACCCCTACAACGATCTATTTATCTTAGAGGAAGTATGAGAGACCCCTTCAAGCCTAATAAAGATGCCAGGTTGCAGCAACACTCCAGCAAATGTGCACGCACTTGTAGACCTCGTGCTGTCGAAGCAGTCTAAGGCCAAGAGATATTTCTAAATGCACATAATTTTCAGGTAATTAGTGCCAAACAGTCTCAAACTCTATGAATTAATCTTAATGCAAATAACATGGGGATACCCCAACGATGGATTTGCACTGACAAAATAAAAGATTCATTTAAAAAAAGGCAAAATATAGAAAATCCAGTGAAAATAAATACTGCAGGGCAATAGATAATAAATTGACTGCAAGCTCTGAAAATATTTTCATAGGTTTAATATGCAAATCATTTTTTCATTTTTTACACAGCATTCCAACATTTTTTGGAAATTGGGGTTGTATTTGATTTAATTAATGATTTTTGGCTTTTTAAATCCTCCATAGAGGATTGGTGGAAGTGTTTGATTTGTTCATCTTCTACTTTTAAACAGTGCGGAAACGTTTCACTGCAGACGTTTAAAAAAAAAAGAAGAAGAAGAGGGAATGTGTGGGAGGGAATAAATGAGGGTGTACGTCTGTGTGTCCCCTCTTCACGCTGCAGGATTTGGACTTAAATCCTATTTAAACCTGGGCTTTGATTTAAGAAGCAGGGTAATTTAGAGGAATCTAAAATGTCTCATTAGGTTCTACAAAGAGCTTTCTTGTCTTTCATGTGCTGCATGAAAAACTCAAACATCCTCCATTTGACTTAGATAATCAGAGAAATTAAAAAGATGTACTTATTCAGTTACCACTCCCCCACTTACACCCACTTCACAATCTGAGCTTGGTTTATTTTTTATTCCCCTAGGCAAGCTCCGCAGGCGGCAGTTCTACTCCCAGCCACTGGAGAACGGTCGCGTCCTAACGCAGGGCTCCACATTCACCTATCAGGATGTGGTGGATCAGCTGCTGGTTTACACGCCTGAAACTGTCAGCGGGGGAGCAGACGAGATGGCCTTCACCCTCACCGATGGCATTCACACCCACACGGGCCGCCTGGAGTTCACGATGGACGTCACGAGGAGCGAGGGACCTCGAATGACCGTCAACAGAGGACTGCAGCTTCCAGCAGGTGAGAGTCAAGAAATGCAGTAATAAACGATATGTCTGTGTTTAATGAGATGTTGACTCATCTCAGGTTAAACCAGACGCCCGGGGACACCAGTCAGAATACTTTTACAATCATAAATAAACTCAGTAGTTTTTCTTTTCACGCTTATAGCCTCTTGTTTTTCTCTTCTTCCTCCTAAATCAGTTTGTTCATAGTTCCCCTGCTTAGAGTGAGAAACTACGTTAAAATAGTGTTGTTTTTATTTAAAAAAACCCCTCAGCTGATTAGTAATTATTCACATGAATGTATTATGATACACTGTAGTGCCCCATTTTTAATATTTTCCACTTTTTTCTTCCCATTTTATTTGTTATGTCCAGCTTTTCGTGTGTGGGGAAATATTTGGGTTTTTTTATGGGTTATTAAAAGACAAATTAAGGCTTGTTAAGGTTTTTGTTTCAAGAGTATTTCTCAGTCTCTGCAAGTGAGTTTAAGCAGCTCTTGTATTTTCAGTCGGAAAAAAAAAGAATCCAATCAAATAAATAAAGTCATCAAATAAATGTAAAGTAAAATCTGATCACTGACATTTCTGTACTTTTTCAGGGTCATCATCTAAGATCACAGAGCAGAATCTGAAAGGTACTGACATCGACTCAGACCACCTGAAGCTCCGGTACATCTTGACCAAAGACCCCCCAGTCGGCAAGCTGCAGCTCAACAGGAGCAGCCGAGCGGAGAGCGTTTCTGTGAGAGGTCCCATTCAGAGCTTCACTCAGGAGGACGTCAACAAAGGTGCCAGCTTTAGTTTTTATTGTTGTAACTTTGCACAGATGTCCCACAGTTTTCGGTCTTTGCTTTATCTTAGACTGTATATAAAAGATGGATGTCACCTCTAGGTTTGGAACGACTGCTTTAATCCTGCGTTTTTCCCAGTGACCAGCAGGAACCAGCAGATAAAGTGACATGATGTCTTTTGCAGGCCAACGTGGAAGTTAGCAACATATAAGGATATCGTATCAGCAAAAGAAACACGTCAGGCTACAGATGATGCTGCGATGATGTTGCCTGTTACAACAATTTCTGTAATTTAGCAATTTGTTAGCAAATTACTTAAAATGTTTTATGTTGTAGAACATAAAGTAAAAGTATCAAAGCCACTGTTATAGCCCATATTTTAAGCATCTAACCAAATGCTCATCTCCTTTGTGACAAAGGTGGTCTTGACCTGTAGTTTAAAGATTGAATGAATACAACATTATAAATTATGGGCCCTTTAATAGATTATAAAACGGGATATGCTTTCACACTTTCAGCTCAGGCGTCCGAGTCATGGTAGACTAAAGCTCTTGAGTCGAATGCAGCTGGACTGATAAATGTTGGTATGGTGTGCAGTGCAGTGAAGAGTGCTTGGATTTAATACACAGGAGAGAGCAAACAACCACTCCGCACGTGCAGAGCAAATACAGGAGAGCCTGAAGTTTCAGCTCTTCAATACAAGCCCCAGATGTGCATGTGCATGGAAAGGACAAGACAAGAGACTATTTTGAGGATATGGAGGTTCACATTTAAGACAGAGAAAGGAAGTATTTTGAGAGAGCATTAAAGGAATGTGAATGACCATCACTGAAAAAAGGTCATGTGTAATACAGTCCTGAGATCCTGTTCAGAGCAATTTAACCTCGACTGATACCTCAACGCATGCGTCCTTAAGTCACAAACATGTCCTGACGTGGCGTCTCGGGACCACCTTAGAGGTTAAATGCCCCATCAGCTGCTATAACAGGTCATTTTAACTTGGTGATGTCACAGTGGCTACAGCTAACTGTGTATGCAGTTTATTATCTTACTTCTTAGTTTTGTTGTTGGAGGTAAGATAATGGCAGAGGGGTGGGTTGAGAAGCAAGAGGTATTTATTGATGAACTCTTAACTTGCACAGCTTGATGGCAGAGTAAAAATTGCTCCAGTTTTATTGCTGCTTTCACCCAGACATGGGCAAGAATACAAAATGCAGAAAAGGTCACAGGTGGTTTGCAGTGTACATTTATCAAAATGTAATTTTAAACCACATTTCTGCTAAATTCAGTTCACTCATTGTTTGAATTACATTCAAAAACTTAGTGATAAGACAAAATAAAAGCGTAGAAGACGCATTCAAAGCTCTCAGTGCTTTCTAGTTTCGCTCACAGTAATTTAGCTCTAAGGTCGTGTGATTCATTGGAGTTTAATTATTCCCAGCAGTTACACTTTTGCATGAAGTCAGAAGCTTTGACACCGAGTGCTTGTCTCTGTCTTGCAGGCCTGCTGCAGTACAGCCACGAGAAGGGGGAGAAAGGAGGAAGCCTGTCGTTCAAGTTCAACCTGCTCGATCCGGAGGGCAACAAACTGATCGACCAGTCCTTCTTCATCAGTGTGCTCGGTAGGGTTTCCTCCACCCTCTGCAAAGCAGGGACTGAAGTGTTCTTTCATTTGGTGGAGACGAGAAGGCAATTACTGCAGATTTATCCCTCCGTCTCAGGCGTGGTTACTGATGTGATGCTGCATCCTGCATACGTCCTGAATACGAATTGTGTGCAGTCATGTTATTTATAACCCACTTTTACAGCTTGTTAGCTTTCGCATGTTAAATGAGCTCGTTTTGGGTTTTTAATCGACATTCTCAGAAATTTGTAAATTTCATTCGCTACAGTGATTTTCTTTTTATCATCACTGTAATGCAATTATTTTTGGCAATTTTTAGTCATATATAAATGACACTATTCTTTTTGAGATTGTGAGAAAAGAAAAAAAGATGCATTTTTATTTTAAGCTACGCAGACTTATTTTGCAGTTGTGTGTAGTCAACTGCCAAAGACCCATTCTGAGCCATGATAAACCTTGAAAACTCAGCTGCGCACATTTTTATTGTCACCGTTTCCATCTAAAAAGCTTCCTCTCGCTTCCTTCTGGGGATAAAACCAACTATTGCACTGGTTCAGCAGTTTGAATCCAGTGTCCACATGAGAAGCTACTGGATATTGAAGGATTGCCTTTCCCTCATGGTTGAGCAGCATCCCGACTCTCTCATATCTTTTGCAGCTCTCTTTTTAGCCTATTATTTTCTCACCTTTTTCACTTTTCTGTTTATTGCACCCTCTCAGATGTGACTACAGGGAAGCTCTCCTTCCATATCTCTTCCTGCCGTACTGCCCTCTGATGACTTCTTTGCCCTTCTCTCACTCTTTTCTATCTTTTTTTTTACATCTTTCAAACCTATATCACTTTTTCACACCTCCTGATATGAAACTGTCGTTCTCGGTCTATATAAATCTCAGCTTATTTCACCTCCTCTGCTATAGTCCATCCTTTCTCCCTTTTACCAGGATAAGAAACTGATTCTTAATACTTTGATTTCCTTTTGGATGAATTGTTTTCCCAAACGCTGCCAAAAGCCGGGTTTTACTGATAAATCTTAGCTTGACGGGGGAATTTTTTTCTTCTCTCTGCTCCTTTTCTTTTTATACTGACCTTATTTATTTTATCTTGCAGAAGACCATCTCCCTCCATCTGTAGTGGTAAACAAAGGCCTGGTGCTTGATGAAAACTCAGTGAAGAAGCTGACCACGCTGCAGCTGTCAGCCAGCGACCAGGACAGCGAGCCGGGCGAGCTCATCTACCGTGTCACCAAACAGACGAGCCTGGGGCACCTCGAGCATACTGCCAGTCCAGGTAGACCAGGCCTATATGTCAGTGTTTTTAGAAGCTAATTCCATACTGTACAGAAAGTCAGGTGTGCATGCTGTTTGTGAGGCAAAGCACAGGGAAAGGCGTGATTACATATGCACAAGGGGCTGACACAGAGGGTGCAAAAGCAAAGGTGACAGCCAAACACTAAACCAAACCAAACTTTTTCAACTGCTCGGTGAGTACTTGGCATCCTGCATGCAAACTGCAGGTGACTATGGCATTCTGATTGCTACCAAAGCAATTACACTTATGTTTTTGGTGCAGCAGACTCTGATTTCACCTGGCAACCAACACCAACCAATGGCGTTTTCCCCAAAGTTTCCAGGGGTGTGCAGCGCTGTGGTGCATTGATCACCTCTCCGGTTTGAGCCTGTCCAAAGACATGCTTGTCAATTGGTGATTCTAAAGTGCCTGTCGGTGTGATGGTAGTAGAAGTATTTTAGTGACAACAGGGTGTGGCAGCACGAGAGCTGAGCTGAGGAAACCTTCATGCATCAAATACCAAGAGAGTCAGGGGAACACCGGGGACCGACAATAAAACTAAAGCAGGGAGCTAAGAACTTAATCACAAAAACCCGACTTCACTACAATAACAAAAGAAAATGGAACCAAAAACTTTCCAAAACCAAATCTCATCACAAACTCTGTAGATGGAGACTCGTTCCCTTCTGTATATGATAACTGACTCCACACACAGACGGAGCTGTAATGAAGCTTGCTCCAGTTCCTCCATCCATTATTTCTGTTCTATTCCAGCTGCCCTCTACAAAACAGACACACTCACGCACTCTGTCTTTCTGCTTCTTGTGACACAAACAAACTTCAAATGACTGCAGCCATAACTAAAATTCTCATCTTGTGATGCAATAAAGAGAAAACAAAAAAGGAATAACTGATGCATCCTCCGATCACAGAGAGGTGATTATTAGCTTCCGTGCTGTTGAGGATTTCAGCCCCGGCTGAACGGATTCCCCACACGAGTGCTTGCAGCATGTTAACGAGCTGGATGTTAACACTGCTCCCCGATCTTCAAGCATCAGATCACCTCTGAGCCACAGAGCAGCACCGGATAATTACTGCTAGCCATTCAGCCAGTCTGTCACACCATGCTAACACGCACAGCTAGCCCACTGCCCCTATGGGAAGCTTGTCAGCATACGAGGAATGTCAAGGTAACAGCACAAAGAGATGAATGCTCCCTTTCAGCTCCCGCTCTCAAAGCCAATGTTTTCAAGGGGCTTATTAAATGACTGAGGTTATGACACACCTCTCCAGCTGAGTGTTTGCCAAAATGTTTTTGTCACTTTTTACAGAATCAAACTCAAAGTAATGTCAGTACTTCCAAGCTTTAAACGCTGCATGGTCGTACTCTCTCCCGCACTCCATATTATCCGTTGCTGATCTACACACGTCTGTTGCTGCCGCGGACGTTCCACGCTCATGAGACACTCTCACAAACAAAATCACAACGGTTTAGTAACGCAGTAATGTAGCCTGCTTACAGGAAAGTAACAGTAATCTAATTACCTTTTTTGCAATAGTAATCCCTTACTTTACTCTTTACTTAAAAAAGTAATGAGATTATGCGTTATTGCCTGTCTCTGGTCCACATACAGAAAGTATCATAGAAGGATTTAAGGAATCATGCTACATTTGACCTCTGACCTCTTGTTCATGGTTAATAAATTAAGAGTCAAAGTGACAAATTTAAAACTTTGTTGCTTACTACCATTGTTTGGAATAGATAGGAATATAGGGAATTATATATTTTTATTTAAAGACAGCATTGTGAAGAGAAAGAGAATGACCTGCTTAGTTAATAGGAAATATACTTTACTATAATATATAATATTCATGTACTTTATTATTAAACATTTAAACAATGAGAGGAATTGTACACATGTAGTATATCTGCATATCTGTATAAATAAAAAAGAATTATGTCAAGTACAGTAACGTGGGTTTCAGCAGGACAAAATAAAAGCCCTTGCTCTTGTTTTTATTTCAATACAAATTTCTTAAAGAAGGACAAAGAAAAGGAAATAAATAAATACAAAATATCACACTATTGCCCTTGAATTATTTCTAAAAACCGGACATCTGTGCAGACCACAACTAGACAGATAAGCCGATCGGATTCAGACTTAAACTAACATCAGACAGTCTCTACAACCATTAAACATCCAATATACTCAACTTCCCAGAAAGTTTTAACTTCACGTGTGAAAATAGGAATGATTTTTGCTGTGTTTTGTACCACGGTATCAGCTCAGATGTTAACCTGCATAGCATTCAGCCCATGTTTAAACAAAATGTGGCATTTTCTGCTATTCCCTGTCAGGACAAATGGAAAATGTAATTTGCTTAAATATGATGGAGCTAAAAAAAAGCTTGGTTTTCATCACTGACTGAGAATATTGGATCTGTCTCACAGCCTGCCTGTCCTGATTATAATGATGTATAAACCTTCAGCTGAGGAGTAGATGCCAAAAGCCAGGAAGACCACAGAATTGCGCTCATTTTGCTGTCAATAGATGACATGAAGAGAGCTGATGCTGAGATGTCTTTATTTCCTCGATGCGTTGTTGGCATGTTGAATGAGTTTTTACAAGTTGTAATTTTTTTTTAACTTTGTGAAATTCCCTCCCCTCTGTGGTGAGAAATAACTAAATTATTCAACAAGATGCTGGGCATCCTCTGCACACGGCCATAAACAATCAGAAGAGTCTGTTCAGTGACAGGTTGCTTCTCCCCAAGACAAGAACTAACAGACTTAAAAACTCCTTTGTCCCACACGCCATCAAACTGTTTAACTCCTCTCTGGAGGGGAGAGGGAGGGGAAACAGGAGGACAAAGGAGGGGGGAACAACTAAGCTGTAGTGCCTCTTCACCTCACTGTACAATACCTTGTGCAATACTTTTTGTAAATAGTCAACAGTGCAATAGACTCAATACTTGAAATGTGCAATTCACTTGTATTTTTATTTTTTATTCCTATTTATTCTATTTATCCCCTTTGTATATTTTATTTATATTTGTCTCTGTATTTATATATGTGTGTGTGTGTGTGTGTGTGTGTGTGTGTGTATATATATAACACTTCTGTAACTGTAACTTCGGTCGTTGCTGTGCTTTTTGGAAGTCGAATTTCCCAGAGGAACCCACCCGAGGGATTAATAAAGTTCTATCTTATCTTATCTTAAGTTAATACCTTCGCAGCGAGGTCACCTGCAGCACGAGAAATCCATTTTCATGTTATGTAATGTACCTCCGTACAATGACAGTCTGTAATGAAGTGCCTGATTTAAAATGTAACATCACCTATCGGTGAAACGAGCTTAGATTTTAGGACTCACATGCTTTCATTTCTAGTCTTTGAAACTTGTTTCTACCCATCTAGTGTTAATTCCTTCTGGGATACAAGTTATGTATATTATGCACACACACACAAACACACATGCAGCTATTGCCCATTTCTTGTTTTTATACTAAAGATGAATTATTGTTGAATAAAGACATTTTTCAAACACATGTAAAATGTGGCCAATTGTGTTTATCGTTCCCCCCCCCATCTCCCCCCAGATGATGGAGGGAATGGAAAAGGAGGTGGTGGGGGGGTGAAAAGAAGAGGGTAAAGGGAGTGTAGACGGGGCAAAAAGAGAGGGATAAGAGAGGGGAAAAAGAAGGCAAAAGAGAGAGGAGAGAAACCCCCAACAATCCCCTCTGAGCAAGCACCAGGCGACAGTGGATAGGAAAAACTCCTTTTAAAATGAAAGAAAGCTAAAGGAGAAACTTATGGCAGAACCAGGCTCAGGAGGGGGCAGTCAACTGCCGGGACTGGTCGGGGGGGTGAGGGTGAAAAAAGGATGAAGAAGGGAGGGGAGAGGAGTGGTGAAAATTAAGATGGAATAGAGGTGGAAGAAAACGAGGTTACATCAGGTGAGGAGCAGCAGTGTCCCTCCTCCAGAACCAGTGGAGGCGTTTTCCCTTCTTTTTCAGACACTGTTGCACGAGCAGTGTTTTCTGCTCGTTGAGGGTTTTCAGCTCATCGACTGTTTCTGCGTTTTCTTTCTCAAGTTTGTTGCATCGTTTCACCATGTTTTCTAATTCTTCTTGTTTTCCTTCAAGCTTGTCTTTCAGTTCTTTAACTGTTGCCTTCTCCATTCGCTTTGCTTTGTGCATATCTGTATTTCTCTGTTCTGCTTTCTTGTGCATGTCTTCTAAATGCTGGTTTCTCTTCTGGATTTCTTGAAGTCTACGCTGCAGGTCTTCGTGTGTTTTCTGTTGTTTTTGCGCCTGGATTTCAGTGTTTTTGTACTTCAAATTGTTGGAAAGTTTCTCAAGTTCTGTGTTGTTTCTCAGCATTTCATTGATGCGATGCTGCATCTCTGAGCAGTTTTTTCTTTTCTCCTTCCAGTACAGTTGTTTTGTACTTCGTTTCATTATACAATTCTTGGAGTGTTCTTCTTCTGGAGAATAAGTTTTTCTTCTTCCTGTTGTATTTTCTGTTGGTCTTTTTCTTGAAGCAACTCTTTATATCTGTGCACTGTTTTATCGAGCTTTATTTGGAGCAATCTGTGTTTTTCCTCCATCTCTTCAAGCTTGGAGTCCTTTTGTTTCTGTTTCATTTCCATTTGCTTCTTGTCTTGAAGCAACTGTTGATTTTTGTGCAGAGTTTTCTTATGCTTTACCTGCAGTGCTTTGCATTTTTCCTCCATGCCTTGGAGTTTGCTCTGCATGTCTCTCTGCTCTATGGGCTGTTGTTTCTTGTCTTGGTGGATTTCTTTAATTTTTTTCCAGAGCTTCATCAAGCTTTTCTTGGAGCTCCTGATTCTTTTTGTCTTGGAGAGCCCATTCTTTCTCCTTTCACCTTCTTTTTCTTGAAGCTGGTAGGATCATTTTTCTAATTCAGCGCTCTTTCTCTCATTTTCTTGCGCCTGATTTGTATCAGCTACCAGTTAACTGGAAGCTGATACAAATCAGGATTTAAAACCATTTTTTGTTTGTTTGTTTTTCTGTTTGACTCCTTGTTTTATTTAATATCGCAATTTATGTGATAATATTATGGTTTTGTTAAACTGTCCAATGTGAAAATGTTGGAAAATGAAATATCACAGCTGGAAATCAATGAAAATGGAAATTCAGAAGAAGTTCTGTCCTTTTCTTTATTAATGCACATCATAGATAACTATGTAATGTGTCTGTTGCACACTTTGTATGTCAGGAATAACCATAAATGCGTTCTTACGAATGGCTGCATCAGGTCTTTGCATCCACAATAAGCGAGGATAACAGAACTCCTGGGAAGTTCTTGTTTTTAAGACAGTCACCTTTAGTTTCATGCTGAGTGATGCTGGATTGTTGCAGACAAACCTGATTATGTTTCCCACTGGGTTTTAATCTTCAGAGGCAACACAGAGTAAAGAGAAGCATTATTATTTCAGTTTGACTTCAGTCTCAGTTTAGTTTTATCCCCATGTAAATTTGATAAGAGCCAAATTGAGGAAACAAACTCAGTGTGTGGTCAGAAAATGCCACGGTGGCTTTCAAACACATGTCACAACAAAATATGAAGGATGAGACATCACATGGAAACATAACGGAAACAGACGCGGAAGAATTCATCTCTGAAGTTTCTCACTTTATTGAACTGGCATTTGCCCGAGACCACCAGAACTGGTGGAATGGACACCAGAATGAACACAAAGAAAATCAAAGGTAGACAAAAATCAGTCAGGAGGGATCAGGAGAGAGCAACGGTCTGCCAAGCCAGTCCCTGTTCCAGAGTTTTGTAGTTTTGCACCTGCTGTTGCTTTAATATTAAACTAACGAGGTTGAAATAGACTCACAGTGGTTTCTGCTTCTTAATTGGACAGATTTAAGTATAACCAACTTTGTGTTATGCTGTGATCATCAAGCATAACCTATTTTTTTAGCAGTGTAAAACCATCTCATACCAAAATATGAAAGATGAAATAACAAACATAATGGACGTTTTTGGGCTTAACGACTACTTTTCTCTCTTTTGTCTCTTTAGGCACCAGGATCAGCACCTTCACACAGGCTGACCTGGCATCACGCAGCATCCAGTACGTCCACAGCAGTGAAGAAGAGAAACATGCTGACCAGTTCTCCTTCACTGTGTCCGACGGGACAAATGAGGTGAATGGCAGAAGATTTTTACGATACCTGGTAGCTTAACACATTTTGAAATTCATTCATGAAGGAGGTCTTGATGCAGATATCTACTGACTACAACAGAAGCTCTGAAATGTTATATGTTCTTCCTAAAGACAAATAACTTTGTTCCCGGTTTGGCCAAGAAATAAGTCAGCAGTCCTTGTGTGTCCAAAGAGGGACCTTTAAGCTCAAGTGCAGGGAACAACCTTAAATGGTGCAGAAAACAAGCTGTTGGCAGGAATTAAGAAAGAAAACCAGAAAGAGAAATGTTTTCTGATCACTTAAAAGCTTAGCTTAATTAAAAAACCTTAACGATGCCATAAAATTGAAAGATATGAAAGAAATCTAAAAATCTAACAAACTCTAAAGCTTGTATAACAGCAAGAAAGTGGCAGCTTCCTGTCCCGGGTCACCTCATGCATAAATCTGCCTCGCTAATCCGAACTAATGAGGATCACAAGGACTCGAGCAAACATGTGAAAAAGGTCATTTGGCCTTCACACCTGGCTGACTGCAATGTGTGGAAGCTTTGTGGCCACTGTGCTAGTTGATGAAATTGTGTAGCCCTTTTGTACTTTTGCTAACTCTGAGAAGCCTGACAACTGAGAACTACTGCATATTTATAATCAAGTGTTTTGCTTTAAGATTAGAGGGGGGGGTATTTTAATGATACCAAAGCAGAATATTGTTCTGTCCCTGCGAGGAGATGGGATTACTTGAGGGCATGCCAATTCTGTATTAATGCAGTTTGTGGTATTTGGGTTATGCCATCTGGGGTTAAACTTTTTCATCATAGTGAGACTTTTCTATTTGCTGAATTGTTGAGAAAGTTTTCGGTGGAAAGTAGGACGTTGATGACAGGATGTATTTTTGGGTACGCATATGTGTAACAGTTTCATCATCTTATTATTTGTTCTTTGTCATCAGGTTGCCCAGACTTTCTACATCACCATCAAGCCTGTGGACGACTCCCTGCCTCTTCTTCAGGTCCCTGGCATGAGGGTGCAGGAGGGTGTAAGAAAGACCATCACTGAGTTTGAGCTGAAAGCCACCGATGCGGACACAGAGGTAACACACTGGCTACATACGTTTTCTGCAAGTCTTTCACAGCTTTAATTACAGTATATGTGTGACATCATTATAAGAATCAGGTGTCACCTTCTGGGGAAGGAACGATGACAGAGATGCTTTGAGCACTTCAGAAGATCTTAAAGGAAAACAAAACAAAAAACTTTTCAAATGTGTAACTGAGGTCAAAATAAAGCATTCGAGGACTGATTTCTGCAGCATGCACACTCATGCTTCTGCTTTAATTAAGGCTAAACGAAGGCAAATGTTGCTCTCCATCCTCTGCTGCATATATTGTTAATATATAACTCATATATTGAGTTAATAGTAAGTATAAAATTTATATGAAGTAATTTCAATGAGCTCTTTTGCCTTTTTCCTTCTTTAAGCATCTGATTCGCTTTATGAGCTGCACAATATAAACAGATAATATCTTTGAAGCTTGGTATGATTCGCGAACTAATTGGCATCATGTTTGGAATGATATCAAAGCAGTACAGTTACCAGTTTAGAAAATCTGAATATTTATTTTGAGATCATTACCTAAGCTGGCTAAACTAAGCAGCCGGTTTAAGGGATAATCCAACACTGTTAATCCCATAAATCTGTAATTCTCAGTAAAAACGTGAAGATTTATTTTCTACTGCTTCACTGTAGAATTTTAGAGAATAACACCCGAAAGTGATGTTAAAGTCCGGCACTAGATAGATATTTTGAAGCTGATTCCTGAATTTGAGTTCTCACTATTTTGCATGCTTGGCTGTTTGTTGGTTGTGCAGAACAAACACGGCTCCTTATGTAGCTTCATCCTAGGGAGACATTGCAGACGATATCACTGAGCCGTCCTTCCTTTCCCTGCATTTTTCCTCCTATAACACGACCTTCCTCCAGGCGGAGTCCGTCATCTTCAGCGTCGTCCAGGCTCCTCGACATGGCACCATCGAGCGCACCATCAACGGCCAACACTACCGACAGACCAGCAGCTTCACCATGGACGACATCTACCAGAACCGCATCAGCTACAACCACGACGGCTCCAACTCGCTCAAAGACCGCTTCACCTTCACCGTGACCGACAGCACCAACCTGCTCTTCATGGTGGAGGACGACGGAAAAGAGGTGTGTGTGTGTGAGTGTATCAGTGTGTGTATAAAAGGCACCTTCTGGAGTTTTATTACAGTGGGATGATTGAAATGGCAGAGTGAGGGCATGTCTGCGAGAGTGTGCCTGCTCTGACCTTTTGTGAATTTGTGGGTGTATTCATGTGCTTCTGTCTTTGTGAGGACAGAAGCTGGGGGCTTTTGCAAAGGGCGGACACCTCCGGAAACACAGTGAAAATATTTTTGCAAAGGACATGTTTGGAAGGACAGGCTATTTCTGTAGCATGGAAGGAGCAGCTTTATGTTTGCAGCTCATTTCATCTGAATAATATTTAGAGTCCTACAGAGCGGAGACACACAAAGTTTTGTGTTATTAAATGTGCGTATTTAATTATCTGCTGCCCTGAAAACTCACATAGATTCAGTGAAGGGCCACACAATGGACAGTTTACCTAAAACACGAAAAAGTGCTGTGCTGCAACACACAGGAAATCTTTGGTCCGTATGGATGTGTCACAATCTGTCACTACCTGTGCCACCCGAATGGATTGCAGGTACAGCGTAATGCTACCAGCAGTGACACTGGCAAAAAGCAGATCTAAAATCCTGTTACTGTCATTTGCACTGAAGCAGGTGAAATAGATAAACAGTGGTTTATGTTTCCTAAATGGAAACAGTAACAATTCTGAAGTAAAACCTCAAATTCGGAGCCAGCCTCTAGTGGACATCAGAGGAACTACATTTTAGCGCTTCTCTATTCTTTAGCTGAGGAGTTGCCACTTGGGCAAACAAAAGTGCAGCACACTATGTTGTCTCTAGAAATGTATTAACCCGTCGCCACTATCGAGGATTGTAAGATGGTCCGTGAGGAGGGGCTTATTCCACGCATGTTTGCCCTGGATGCACTTTGACATCCTTGCGAGTGTTTTGTTTTCACAGCTAGACCAGAAACCATCACACAAAGGTCCCTACAACTACAGAAGGACGAATGTGTGTGCAGTGGTAATGTCAGCTTTATGGTTATGAGCAAGCCTCAGGGTGAATTGACTCCTCTGCTTGTCAGTTTTCCCCCCTCAGCTCCACCACCTGTCATTACTAATAGCCCATATGATTAAACTGAATGACAGCGTGTAGGTATTGACATCCCCGATCGCAAACACACACTTCCCAGCCTTGGGTTTATTATCTTTCCATCACCTGGGGACATTTGGCTCGACAGCCACGCGTGCTCTGCAGCTCAGTAGATGCTTCGTGGCATTATCGCTGCTGTCGTTTCGGTTTCATTCCCACTGGAGCTGCTGTGTTATTAAATAATGTATGAGTTGCTATAAACTGTGTGGACAAGCTCAGCCTTCAAATGGCACGTGTCAAAGTTGGCCTTATTAGCCTCTCTTGTGGTGATTAGTTGCTCCCTCATGCACCTCAGACAGCAGGCGGTAACTGTGCATACTGGAGTAACTTATCTGATTCAGCCTGCCATCGCTGTTGGAAGCGGCTGAATCAATAAAGTAAAACCCAGCAGAACCTTTAAATGGTTCCTAACAACATTTTGAGCTTTCAAAACTTTGTTCAATGAGAATGACTTCAAGTGGAACCTACAGTGAAGTCTGTGCATGTCTCTAGCACAGCTTTTTGCAACCTGATATTGCATAAAGAAGAACAATTTACTCCAAAGTCTGAAGGCGTATTTTAATAGCTGGGTGTCTAAGTTTAGTGTTTTTGTGCTTTCTTTGAGCTTAAACACTTATTTAATATGTTTAAGTTTGTGTTCCTGAGCTCCAGCGTCTCCCTGTCTGTGCTCCGTCTCGTTCATGTGCTTCTGTCTTCTGTGCTTCACTGTCTGCGATCATGCTCGAGCTCGTCTCCAGAGTCAATTATCTTCTGTTTGTTTCCTGCTTCATTTTAAAGGTCAAGGATGCCTTTGAGTAGTCACTTTTTCTTAGAAAGGTTTTTAACTGAGTGAAGCGAAGTAAGCGCGTGGCAGCCATAATAAGAGCTGGTCGAATTGTCTAAATACTGAGAAAAGATGATTCAACTCACCTTCATTATCTCCTTTGGCAGGAGAAGATCCCATAATTGACAGTGATGCACCATTCGACCATCATTTAAAGCAATCAATACACAAAACTGACAAAAAGCGCTGATCATATAATTATGTTAATTATGTGTGTTTTTCCGTTTCCATAATCTGTTGATATATTTAGAATTTTCAGCCTGTTAAACTCACAGCTGAACTCTGAACATCACACTGCTGTAATAAACTCTGTTCATGTCGAGTTGTGTGAAGAATTACTGTAAGCGCTCTAATTCCAGATTATGAGAGTATTATGGTAATTAATCAAAGTACATTTGAGGTTTGCTATAGTTCAGTTTGTATTGGTCATGTCTGTTGTATTGCCAGACACGAGTATTATCATTAATTAAGTTTTACTTTGGATCAGCTGGGATGAGCGATACATGCAGGGGAGTTTGTTTTAGTTGAGTAGAAATCCTGAACAAGGAGGAGCTCAGAAGTTTCACTGGATCAGTCGCCAGCAGGAAAACACAAGAAAGTTAGACACGCTGTCCTTTTAACACTGTAGTTTTTACTACTTGTTAAAATTCACTTAAACCATGTTTGCGGTCTTTAAAAATTGTTTTTAATTTCTTTCATTTTTGGGTTTTCCAGATAGTGACAGCCGCTCCCCAGAAGTTCAAGATAGATATCCTGCCAGTTGATGATGGAACGCCGTTAATTTTCACCAACCTGGGACTGCAGTGGCTGGAGTACATGGATAACAAGGTACGATAACGATGCAGGGACACATTTTTATTTTTCCATCTGATCATGAGTAAAATGAATGTGGGGTTTGATTAAAAGAGAACAGATCCATAAAAATGTCGAATGTCAAGGTCAAGCTCATCTTCTCGGGCACGTTCAACTGTCCAATGTAATCTCTTAGAGAGAAGAAATGATTGAACAAAAATGCCACAAACCTGCTATTACGTTACCAGTAAGACTGATGTTTACATCCATAGCATCAGTGGCAGACTGGTCTGCTTTGTGGCTGGAGATGATGAAGTAAATGACCTCCCTCAGACAATAAGCACACGCAGTTTCACTTGCATTCTATTACATATGCACACCAGAGGAGAGACAACCATATGCATGACGGGCAAAAACAAGGCTTGAGACTACATGTTCATATGATCCATAAAGTTTCAAAAATTAAGTTTAAGGATGTTAAAGATGTCTGTAATGTTTTGACACACTGAAGAGATCCAGTGCACGTGTCAGAGGTGAGAGTAGAGGAAGACATCGATTCCAGGGAGTAATGTGGGAGAAACCGCAGCCCCGAGGTGTGCAAGAACAAAAGGTCTTTAATTCATTAAACTTTTTACCCCCCCAGCTGTAAAAAGCCGATACGGCACGCAGGCAGTTGGCATGGATGCCCAGATTTGTGAATACGATGACTTGAAGATGAACCAGTTTTGGGTTTTCATATTGATACCATAGATACCTCTAGTACTATTCACGCAAAAATCAGTGACCTTGATCTCAAGGTCAAGGTCTGACGCCGAGTCTTGTGACTCGAGACTGCATCACAGTGTGTGGTGTGGAATAACAAATTTAGCTTGACTATCTGAGCGTGGCTGCTGCTGCTACTAACCAGCAAACCGAAATGCAGCATGTAGCGGTGCACTGATTGAGGGGACACTGACCCCTGTGTAAAAAAACTGGCACACACCAAAGCAAATTTGGACAGCAGAAGTCGCTGATGTGTGCTGTAGCTTCTGACTGAAGTGAGGAGATGGACAGAAATAGCCAAAGATTTAGATTTCAGGTAGTGGGCATTTGCTATTGTACACACTACATGCACAAAACCTGGTGTCCTTCCCATATTTATTAAATCCAGGTCCCACAGTGGTGATAATAAATTCTGCAGAAATCCAAGTTAGTAGGCATTTAGGAAACAAATCTAATTAAACTATTTGTGATGTTTAATAGCCGTAAAGTGAGAACAGCGGACACTGAAGAGAACTTTTTCTAATTTATTACCTTTAATTGGACACCAGCAGAGGACGGAGACATCAGGATAATTCAGATGTGTTTAAATGAGCTGCATGTTTGCTCAGCAGAACTCTCTCTGAGCAAATTATGTTTTAAAAAGTGCCAGCACACCCTGCTCTGCCTGAATATTCTCCAGCAGAGTAAATGTGCCTGTGTGAAGTGCGAAGGAGAAGCTCCATCACTGTTTGTTCTGAAATTAGCCCCTCCACCTCCACCTGCTGGCTTGCACACCTCATCGCAATGCAGCGCACAGGTTTGTTTGGTAGGCACTGTAAATATGTCACATCGTTCATTTATTCTCAGCCTTTGCTGTGTTTGCGCTGCAGGTAATTAAGTCCTGGGTGTTTTATCACTGAGCCAAATTATCATACTGTTACACTCCAGTATCTTCTCCTGAGTGCTGGAGGGGAAAGCAAAACCTGACCATTACCAATTGATCATATAGGCAGGAGACCTTTGGTCAAAGAAAATTATTCCATCTGAACTCATTAATATTTGGAGGTGCAGCTGTGTTCTGGGATATCCTAGACTTCCATGTGCAAACATGGATCGCCTGAGGTTGAGAAAGGAGCAAGAAGGTGGTCCCATGATAGTGCAGTTTTTGTTATGGCCTGCAGGGGGAGGCAATTTCAAAACAATTTCTTACTGAGTTTGATTTAATACAGGGGTGTTGAACTCCAGGCCTCGAGGGCCGGTGTCCTGCAGGTTTTAGACATCACCTTGGGTCAACACACCTGAATCAAATGATTAGTTCATTAGCAAGTTTCTGGAGAACTTCAAGACATGTTGAGGAGGTCATTTATCCATTTAAATCAGCTGTGTTGGATCAAGGAAACATCTAAAACCTGTAGGACACCGGCCCTCGAGGCCTGGAGTTCAACACCTGTGATTTAATACAACACGATGTTTCGGTTGCTAATTGTGGTCCTCTTTAGTCATTTAGGTGAAGCGGGGCATGCATTACAGCATCGTTGCCCTGCCTCTAACATAGGAGCGTGCAATCAAAATGTGGAAAGTGTTCAGAGTTATAAATATCTCACTTTTGATTCAAAGATGATTTTCAAAGCAAACTGTGAAGCTGTGTGCAGGAAGGAGCACCAGCAGCTCTCGTGTTTAAGAAGGCTTTCTTGTTTCCACATTGATAAAACCATGATGGTTTTATTTCTTCGTGCTTTTATTGAATCTGTTTTGTCCTTTTAGTTGTTGTGGTTTGGATAGTTATCTGAAAAGAGCAGAAACTCTGTGGTCTAACAGGTTGACTGATGAACCACAGCTGAAGTTCCCTGTCCACCAGACAGTTGCAGCGGTTGGCTGGTTTCATTTTTCTTTACACAGTGAGATTTGTTTTTCTTCCTCCCAGACAAAGGCTTCTGGTCCCAAACTGTAAAACGACAAGGTTTAAAAAGTCACTTTTGTGGATTACATGATGGCCAAAATTAGTATAAATTTTTGTTGTCAGTATTTTTTGCTCTGCTTTTTTGTTTTCTGTTGTTTCTTCAATTCACGAGACCAAATCTACCTACGGTTAAAAATAAAATAACCTGAACCTGAAAATGTTCAAATCAAGGATTTCCAGAACTGTAGTTCCCAACCCAGCATCCACGTAGAAGTTACTGGCAAATCTAAAAAGAAGGTTGGTTGCAAAGTAGTTTGCAGAAGAAACGGCTTAAAAAAAAACACAGCTGAACTTTGTTTGTTGGATACATTGAAACGTATTTGTAATAATCATAAATGAAACATCTTTAAAATATACGAGACACACCAAAAAACTTTTTAAGCCATCACATCACCTTCTGTGGTGATGTTCCAGATGTGCATGCTGGTGGTTTTAAACTTTGGAAAACTTGTAAAGACGACGTAGAGATCAGTCTAAAGTCCTTCATCCAACTAAGAGTCAAATAACAACAGTTTGGATGCTAATCTGTACTTAAGTGGGGAGATCAGTGTGTACAATAGCATTTCCCAATAATTTATCCAAACTCACTGGAACAATTAGCGAGTTTATAACCCACATAAACCAGATGCTGTCCATTAACAGAATAGAAAAGTTAACTACTTTGCCCTTCAGAGGAGGGGCTCTTCAAAATTTTGTTGGCTGAATGTCAATGTCGAGATCAGATACAGAAGCAAACACGTTTTTTAGTTGGTGTTGTGATGTTGGATATGCTGATTTCTGTTTTTTGAGCCAGTAGTGAAGCGACGCTTCTTAACAGCGGTATTTTTGCTATGATAGCTACATCAGGGAAGCTGAAATTGAAAAGAAAAGCTTCCTGCTCAGCTGAATCACAGTGTGACATTGTGAATGAAATCCCCAGTAATGAATTCTTGCACTGTGAGATGATTTCTGTGCAGTGAAAACTGAAAAACAGGAAATTTGAGTCAATCCTGTCTGATGTCTGTCAGGCCACCAATCTGATCACCAAGAAGGAGCTGCTGACCATGGACCCGGACACAGATGATGGACAGCTGGTTTATGAGATCACCACAGAGCCAAAGCACGGCTTCCTGGAGAGCAAGCTGAAACCTGGGAACCCCATTACCACATTCACACAAGGTACCGAAGCTCTCTCTGTTGCCTTTATATTTACAGCAGTAACAGTTTAACTTATTAGACAACCCATCCCTCTTAACTTCTCCTCCTCAGACAGCTTCGATCCTTGTCCAAAGAAAGACTCAGTTCATCAAATTTATCCAGAGAGTCTGTGTTTAAAGTGGTGACACTTTTGCAACTCTCTGTGGCATGTTGGAACCAATCAGGGCCAAATCCTGATTGGTCCAGAAGCTGATATCCACACGATTGTGCTTATCCACTAAAGTGTTCTCAAATATATTTATATCAAAGAAAATTTCCATCAGCTCAACACAGGTTGAGCAAAAGAGTGGGTGCAGTTTTGCTTTTCCCCTCCTTCTGTGAGCTTTGATGTTTTTTTACTTTTCCTGCTTCAAATATTCATAAAAAATTAGGATAATTTTCCTTTTTTGTGTCATACTGAATACTAATAAACCATGTACTACATGTGCATTTTAAAAACTCACATCAATGGGCTGATGGTGTACGATATTAAAAGGAAATGAAGGCTACTTTTTGATATGCGGGATGGTTATCTTATCAGGTTAGTGTGGGATCACCGCAGTCATAGTTGGGATATACTGTGTAAAGCTGCAGTTAGTGCCAGTTTACGTTTCCAAATCAAACCCTTATGACTCTTTAAAATGAAGCCATGGCTTTCTGACTCCCTTCAAGTTCAATCTTTTTTCTCTTCTGAGATAGTTTCATTTGAAGGACTTTTTAATGCCTGAGGATTAGCTATGCCTCAGAGCAGTTGGGACTCACATATTGGAAACCCGCTGCTCCTGGGCTTTCCTTCTAAACTCCCTCAACGGATGACATAAACCACAAAGACTTCTCTATCAGTGTATAGAGAGCCACCTGTTTCCTTCACTGCACCAGTTCAGTGTTGCATCGGTGCCCTCTTCTGTTCATCCCGCATCCTTCGTGCCGCTGCAGAGAAAACTCGGTGCCATTTTGTCTTCACAGTGAGAAGGAGGGACAAAAGCTTGACCCCACATTCTTCGCTCTGATCATTTCTCCGCTGAACGACACCACCTATCTGCTGTATTTCCCGTTGCACACGTTTACTCAGCTAATTTGCAGTTTAAATCAGCAGTGCTCTCATTATGAGCCTGCTTATGTTCACCTCAAGGCTGCAGACGAGGATCAGTGTCAGCCTGCTGTTGTAAAATGTTGATCCTCCAGGCTGCAGAGAGCAAGTATAAACAGCCACTTTGATGTGTCGCATGCTCAATTTGAAGCTTGTAAACATCATTTTCTTAATGATAATAAATTTCCAATAAGTGAAATAACCATTAGCCTGAGCACGAGAGATGGAGGCAATATGAATAAATAAAACAGATGAGATTTCTAGTAATCAACATCATCCCGACTGTGAGCATTTGCTCCCATATTCTGCCAAATGCTTGTACGCAATCTAAAAATTATGTTTGAGATATTACTATTCTGGATATTAATGCATAATTTAGTACTGTCTTCATCTCTGTGGTGTTTATGCTGAGCTTCCTGAAGGTCATTTGGCCAATTTTGAAGCAGCTGGGCTCACATCTAAGTGTTTCCCTTTCTACAACCTTCTGTGGAAGGTGTAAATGAGCAGAAACCCAGAGCCAATAATAACTTTCACATTCATTTCCAGGCTATTTTATTTCTCCAAGTACTGTGAATTGGCCCAAGGCTGCAAATTATGGAAGTGATATTTTCCAAGAAATGCCTTCTTTGCAAAAGATTTTCACTATTAAGATTCAATCAGTCTTTTTTGGGTGTCCCCCTCCTCACAGTAAATTTGTGTGCAAGCATAAAAATCAGCACTAATTGTCTTTAAAGACCATCGTGTGAATTTGGCTCTCCTGCTGATTTAAAAACCTGCTGCAGTGCTTTGTGACATTTCTGGCATATTTAAAACATTATTTTCATCACATTTTGAACCCGTGTGGTCGTTTTTGACTGACTCCCATCAGACCTGATCTGAGTCAGTTCACTTCTTAGTAATGGTATTTTACGCTGCCTCCTTCTGAGGCAGCGTTGAGCTCAACTTCAGGGTGAGGCTCTAAGACATTCAGCGGGATCTCACCTGGGTATCTTTCCTTTAGAGATTATCAGTGCACACCTAACTCAAAGGAAATTATAAGCAAGACCCAGAAACCAGAGAGCTTATACTTTATGTCTCATCTGGCCTGAGATCTCCTTGGGATCCTCTGGAGGATCAGAAAAGCATTGCTGGGTGGAAGAAAACATGACGGTAACAAAGTAAGAAATCGAGCCAAACGGCTACTGAAACATGAAGTGATTGAAACATAAAAAACAATTGGTAGACATGAATGAACTGATGAAGAAGCATTAATAGAAGCACTAATACTAAAAACCCCAAACAGAGAAATAAATTTAGACTAATGTGGCTGTTTTTCTTTGTAGCCGATATCAATCTGGGTCTGATCCGGTACGTGCTTCATCAGGAGAACGTCCAGGAAACCATGGACAACTTCAAGTTCCTGGTCTAAGACAGTAAACCAAATGTGGTCAGTGACAATGTCTTCCACATCCAGTGGTCCCTCATCAGCTTTGAGCACAAAAGGTCTGCACCATTTCAAAGAAATATACATATTTTATAAAGATTATCCGTTGGACACCCACCCTTTTACCTTCCTACTTCTTCTATTGGCACCACAGCTACAATGTGAGTGAGAAGGCCGGCATAGTGGCGGTGACCGTGAAGCGAACCGGTAATCTCAACCAGTACGCCATCGTGCTCTGCCGCACTGAACAGGGCAGCGCCACCTCCACGAGCAGCGTCGGATCCAGACCTGGACAGCAGGACTACGTGGAATATGCTGGGCAGGTAGAAACTCGATATTCCACGTTTAAAAAATGAACATTTCTCTTTTAATTGATTTTATTTCTCTCCTGTGAGTTTGTGTTCTTCATTTAGTCTGGAAACCAGTAAATGCTGCTAAAATCTTATTTATCTTTGTAACAACAAAATAATCCAAGGTTAGGTCTTACTTTCCTGTTCATGAACTTGTGGACCACAGCATCAAGCATAAAAACAGATCCACGGCTTCGAGCAGTTTTTGACCTTAACATCTTGGGAGTAACGTGAACCTGGAATCTTTTTGCATTTTCATCAGTTTTAAGTGGAGTACAACAGGAACGTAATGTTTGTACTACAAACATCCTATTTCAGAGGAAGAAAATCAGTGGTCCTAATATGGAACCCTGAGGTACTCCTTTGTGTACATGGAGGTTTGAGGAGGAAAAAGATTCAGTAAAGTGGGCACACTTTTGCTTTACTTGACATTCAGTGACGTGTATCATCTATAACTAGCCTATGTTAAGTTAAGGTTTTGTAATCACTTCTTTAATGCCTCCTTCTCATTGTTTTCCAGGTGCAGTTTGATGAGCGTGAGGACACAAAGGTGTGCACTATAGTCATTAACGACGACAAGGTGTTTGAGGGGATCGAGAGCTTCCATGTGGAGCTCAGCATGCCCGTGTACGCGCTGCTGGGTGGAAACACGCGCGCTGTCGTCAACATCAACGACACAGAAGACGAACCCACTTTGCAGTTTGACAAGAAGATTTACCATGTCAATGAAAGCTCAGGCTTAATCCATGCTCCCATTGAAAGGAAAGGTACACACTGCAGAGGAGTTTCTAACATTTCATGTTCCACGAATTTTCTCATAATTTCTTTCTTTTCATTTTCACTTTAGTTCCTGCACACACTGTGTGACCTTGTTGTCTCTCTTCATTTCTGCTCAGGTGATACCTCCAGCACAGTCTCTGCTCTCTGCTACACCGTAGCCAAGTCAGCACAGGGCAGCAGCCTCCACGCTCTGGAGTCCGGCTCTGACTACAAGAGCCGCGGCATGACCACCGACAACCGAGTGATCTTCGGTCCTGGAGTCAGCATGTCCACCTGTGATGTTAAGCTCATCGATGACAGCGAGTACGAACTGTCCGAGGAGTTCGAGCTGGTGCTTTCAGACACCTCCGATAACGCACGCATGGGCGACGTGTCGGTGGCCAAGGTCATTATTGATGGACCCAACGATGCATCGACTGTTTCTCTTGGAAACGCCACGTTTACTTTCAGCGAAGATGCTGGTATGAGCCTTTTTCGTGCATCCACCAGCGTAATGTCTTTATGAATTCATATTTCTTATTGCGTAATTAAATTAAATTTAAGTAAAAAAAATTAAATGTTTCAAACGGCTAATAGCTTCCTATAAAAAACTAGTGCACTGGTAGCTAGCACTTCACAATAATCATTAGCAATGAATGATAGATTAGTAGTTAATTAAACTTTAGTTACACATATTTATTATTAGCATTCTAACTAGTAGTAATCATTTTTTTTGACTGTATAAATGATCTATAAACAAACATTAATGTTAGTATGATAGATATTTTAAGAGTGTAAGAGTTGGCACTTGGGTTGGCATAAAACCTGTGAACCCACTCACTGCGTAGTTTCACTTTCATCACAAATGATAACAAATAAAAAACCCAACTAGGCTTCAAGGAAACTTAAAGAAGTCCAGACGCTTTTCTTTCCAAGCCCCTTAGACTACGATGACCTGGATGACTGAGAACCTTCACAGACAAACTTTTATCACGTGTGAATGTTGGAGATGATCACTGCTCCACTCTCCAGAAACACTGAGAGGTTATGCAGCCAAAATAGATGCTATTGCCCGAGTTGAAAATTAAGCAAATAAATATAAAGTACAGGTGTAACTAGTTAAAAACAGCACAAAGCCAAAGTACATTTAAAACAACACAGTCAAGGTACAGTCTAAATAATACAGACTGACAGAGTGGCATGGCAGCTCAAAGCAGCTCTGAATAATAAGCTCTGCTTTGCTGCTCATTTTAAGCTGGTGGTGTGATTGATGGTGCGGCTTGATTGAAGCAGGGATTGGTGTACCAGAACAATCAAGCACAGTGACAGTCTGGGAGCTGGAGGAGATGGCAGAAAGCGGAAGTAGAAGCTCCAGTCCTGGACAGGGCCTAAACAGGCTACGAAACACAAGCAGATATAAAATAGAAGAGAGAAGACCACTTTAGGATCATGTTAGGACTTAGGTGGAAAACTGGTGTCACTGGTTTCACTGGTAATCCATCTGCATATCCTGGCAGCAGCTTTAAATGAAGCCTTTGAAACCTTAATCAAACAACAATAACGTCTAAGGTCATCGTTAAGAAATACATAATGTAAAAATGTTATATGGAATGTCATCAGAACATAATTTTTATCATCAGTACGTCATGAATAATTTATAAAATAATTATTTGATACACATTTATTACCATACATTATAATATTAGGTGTTTGTACACATGACAGTATTTACAATGATTTAATATTTTAAAAAATTACATAATTTATAAGTAATGGTTATATTTTCTTTATTACTTTTTTATATGAGTTGTTTGAAGTGATGCCTATTCTTATAGCTCTCCATTAGGAATTTAGGGCATTTCCAATAGTTGTTAGAAAGTAGTCTTTGTATGGGAGGTTTCATAATGGATACATTTAATGATATTAGTGTAACCAGTTTACGTGCATCATGTTTTGTGGAAACATTTCTCATCGTCAGTTAGATCACTGCACTCTGTGATATTTTACTTGTTTCATTTATTTAGGAACATTGGACGTGTTTTGGAGCATGACACAGAATAGATTGTTTCCTCTCTTATAATTAGCATCACTGACAGCTACACTGCGCCTCATCTTTCTGCTGAACTTCTTCCACTTCTTTCTTTTTCTCCTTCTTCTCGCTGGCGTAGCTTTGATCTTTGATACAAAGGTATCTTCCCCACAGTGTTGAACAGACAGTATCATTAGTTGCAGCTAAAAGAAGCTGCGAGATTCAGTTTCTGTGTCACTTTGTTCTTAGATCAGGATTTAAATTACTTTCTATGTAAAGATCAAAACAACTTTGTAAATTAGAGTTATTAATATCTTATAACCCCTCAAAAACACAGCAACTTCCCACATTTCACATTTTTTTACCTTGCATTTCACTTTTCCCTCTCTCAGGCACAATTGAAATACCAGTGCTGCGTCATGGCAGCGACCTGTCCTCGCTGACCTCTGTGTGGTGCGCCACCCGACCTTCAGACCCTCCATCAGCCAGCCCCGGGGTCGACTACATTCCCAGCTCCAAGAAAGTGGAATTCAAACCTGGAAAAACTGACGAGGTGAGGACAGACTTCTCACCTACAGTCGAATTCTATAGTTTATATTTTAAGAATGAAACAGTTATGTTGTTTCTCTTGTTCTACATGTTCTGTGTGATGGGTGATTAAAAAAAACATCCATCATCCTTTTTTTTAATGCACCCTCACACTGCAGTCAGTTAACTTCAGGTAGGTCAACTTTTGTCCAACTTTAGGAGTGGCGATGATTTTGCTACAACAGTGAAAACAGCACGGAGACCCCAGCACAGATGTCACAGTTATGTTATCGTCCCAAACAAAAACACTTGAGCCAGCTGTGCAATGGGCTATCAGATAATTAATAAACAGGATGGAGGACAGTCGGGGATGCTGGGTTAAAAAAGCAGCTTGTAGACTGTGAGCAGATAAAGCAGCTTGAACTGGATACGCTGTATGAAGTTTTGCCTCTGGGATGCGTAGAACGGTGTCAGCACTTGTACACAGCTGGATCTGAGTTAATTCTTCAACACTGACATCTTTACGTACAGTAGATGAACATTTTTTTATAACATCATCAGCCGAGCTCACCAAGTTTCTACTGCAGCTACCAGGAAGGTGTTTTTATTCCTCGATAAATAACAGATTCACCCGTATAACCCTTGCAAATCATTTAATCTGACCTCCCTTTTTTAAACAGACGTGCAGTTTAACCATCATGGATGACATCCAGAACCCGTCCATCGAGGGGTCTGAGTCCTTCGTGGTGTTCCTCAGTTCTCCTCAGGGTGCTGTCCTCCAAGAGCCCTATGAAGCCAACGTCATCATCGCGGACACGTTCCAGGACAGTACGTCCTCACAGAACAATCGCAGGCTTTAATACACATGTGTCATGTCAAACACCCTTCATTGATCAGATGTTGGTCGCTCTCTCTCAGTTCCTAACATGCAGTTTGAGAAGAGCTCCTACACCACGAAGGAGAAGGATAACCTTCTCCACATCCCCATCATCCGGACCGGCGACCTCTCCTTCAAGTCATCGGTGCGCTGTTTCACCCGGACCATGTCCGCCATGGTGATGGACGACTTTGAGGAGAGAAGGAATGCAGATGAGTCGCGCATCACTTTCCTCAAAGGAGAGAAGGTAAAATGTTGAGTCAAAATGTGACCTGATGTTTGTGTCCTTGTTCTCAGACTCTGCTCATCAGGGTGCTTCGATTGTGCATTTTCCAGGTGAAAAACTGCACAGTTCACATCATTGACGACTCAGTGTTCGAGCCTGAGGAGGAGTTTCAGGTGCATCTCGGTACACCGCTCAGTGACCACTGGAGCGGCGCCATGGTGGGAGCCAATGATATTGTCACTGTAACCATCACCAATGATGAAGATGGTAAGCAGGCGCTTGATCGCCATGTGATTCACATTAAACAGGATTTACTGATATGCTGTCAGAGAATAATGATAGGTTTTATATCATAAAAAGAGCTACATATATACATTTTACATCCTTTATCTGATACTAACATGAAAGAAGCTGAGGACTTTTATTTTGAAAAAACATTCCCACTTTTTTTATTTTTATTTTTTGGGGAATATTGAAATGGTTCCTGAACAAAACTCTCAAAACTAAGTTGTGAATTACTGGGTGATGGGTTTATATAGATTTAATAACCAATGAAAACGTCGTCACCATTCCTTTTGTTTCCTGTTGACTGCATATTTGAGGTATATCATAGTCTACTTGCACTTTTTGAACTATGCGTCACTAATTTTTTCAAGTGTGTGACCCCTCAGCCTAATTGCTGATGTTAGAATAACTGAAGCCTGGTATGGATAAAATATCCTGAGTATGTTGAACTTGCTCCTGATTTCCAAACTAATTTTAAGATAATGTTCCTCGTTTTTTCTTTTGGTCAACTTCTTTTTTTTTTCTTTTTTTTTTTCTTTTTTTTTTGTGTGTCCCGTTTGGATCTTTAGCCATCAGAATTGTTGTCTTAAGGCCAAGAAAGATGCCAAGCGGATTTATTTTACCAAGTGGATCATCATGGCCTTGCCATATTGGTCCATTTGATTGACCTTTATTATAATTATGAATTTATTTTATTTTCAGTTGCTACAAACGGGACAGACATGACTGGGGGATAGGACAGGGAGAAAGAATGAAAGAAAGAGAGGGAGAGAAAGAAAACCAGAGGGGAGAAGAGACGGTGAGAAAGGGGAAAGAAAAACAAACAAAACACCTGGATCACCTGTATGGAGAAAAAAAAACAGAATAGAAAACAAACAAAAAAGAGCAACATAATAAATACAGCACCATCACAATAAACTAGCTAGCAGTAGATATCAGTAGATACTAAATAATAAACGATATTGTGCAACACGCAAGATAGACAGCGCACAATGTGCTTTGAGGCAGCAGCCAAGAAAGGTGTAGTCCTCGTCTGTGAACACCCGTGTGTACACCTGTGTGGATCAGCATGCTTGTATTCCAAAGGTCAACTTTTGGTCAACTTCAACAAATAATGTTTAAAAATCCTCCCGAAGCACAGATGTATGTGACACGAATTGATTCCCTGACAGGCTCATTTTTAATTATCGCCTGGTGCCTGATGTTTGTATTTATTTATTTCCATCAAAAAAAAAGAAAACGAGTAAAACCTTAATGGAGGTGGGTTTTATTATACCGCTGTTCTATAAGTTTTAATTGGATGCACCTGTTATTTTGGAAGCTGATTAAAAGTTTTATATGTGCAAATGATTGACAGTCAGACTTCTCCCGTTCCTCCAGCTCCCACCATTGAGTTCGAGCAGGCGTCCTTTCAGGTGAGAGAGCCTCCCGGTCCAGATGGCATCGAAGTGCTCAACATCAAAGTGATCCGCAGAGGAGATCTGGACCGAACGTCCAAGATCCGTTGCAGCACCCGGGATGGATCGGCCCAATCTGGAGTCGACTACAATCCCAAGAGTCGAGTGCTTAAATTCACCCCGGGTAAGTGCTGAAAATGCTCCTCGTTGGGACTTGGGAAGAGTGTTAGTGGGATGATTTTACTGGGAGTAAATATGTTTTTTTTTTCTCCATAGGCATGGACCACATCCTCTTTAAAGTGGAGATTTTGTCCAATGAGGACAGAGAGTGGCACGAGTCCTTCTCATTGGTCCTTGGGCCTGATGACCCAGTGGAGGCAGTGCTTGGGGAGATCACAATGGCCACAGTGACCATTCTGGATCAGGAGGCGGCAGGAAGTCTCATCCTACCTGCCACGCCTATTGTAAGGAACCTTGGAGGATACATGAAGCAGGAGCAGTAGAATAGCAGAAGTGGAGGATATGTTCAGCCTTTAGGAGAACTTTAGCATTCAGCTGAGAACTTAATCTTTTGTCTATTTTCTGCAGCACTTAGAGAACCTGTCACTTGAAACGTCTCCACTCCTGGCAAAAGCACATCTCTCCCCTAATACATATTCAGAGAACTCCAAAAAAGCAGCAGCAAACGTGGGCAGCATTTTCCCTCAGGCACTTGTTTATAGGCTTTTACATTTCTTATGCATTTACCAGAACCACTTGCAATGAATATATCTATTCAGCTGCCATTAAAATATTATATGGTGGGTGATTTTACCCCAAACGACTTTTTAGGAGGAATCTCATCTCATACTGTGTTTTGTACGCCAGCCCCTTGAAATGTAAAAGCTGAACTCCTCTCATTTACACGATCTCCCACCCTCCTTCCTGCTCAGGTGGTCTCTCTCGCTGATTACGATCATGTCCAGGAGGTGATCAAAGAGGGCAGCAAGAAGACTCCCTCTCCAGGTTACCCTCTGGTGTGTGTCACACCCTGTGACCCTCACTACCCCAAGTACTCTGTGATGAAGGAGCGCTGTGAGGAGGCGGGAATCAACCAGACCCAAGTTCACTTCTCGTGGGAAGTGGCGGCTCCCACTGACACCAGCGGCGCCCGATCCCCCTTTGAGACGGTCACAGATACAACCCCGTATACTAGCGTCAACCATATGGTGAGTTAAACTAAGGAGTCAAATAAATCGGAAATTAAGAGGCGAATACATTAGGTTGTTATTTAATAGGATTTATTGGCAGTAAGACAATAAAATTATGTTTAAAAATTTTCCCCTGTGTGTGGAAACTCTCGTGTCTCTCAGGTTCTGGACAGCATTTATTTCAGCCGGCGCTTCCACGTTCGCTGCGTGGCTCAGGCCAGAGACAAAGCTGGACACCTGGGAACACCGCTGAGGAGCAACATCGCCACCATCGGCACAGAGGGCTCCATCTGCCACACACCCGTCACCACGGGCACCGCCAGAGGCTTCCAGGCTCAATCCTTTATCGCCACACTCAAATACTTAGACGTCAAGCACAAAGAGCACCCCAACCGGTCCGTAGCGGCTTTTTAAACCAGATAAGCATCTTCACCAAGAGTTTATGCTAATTTCTGCTCTTCTCTGTATGTCCCGGTTTAGGATCCACATCTCAGTCCAGATCCCCCATCAGGATGGAATGCTCCCCCTGGTTTCCACCATGCCGCTGCACAACCTTCACTTCCTGCTGTCAGAGTCGATCTACAGGCAGCAGCACGTCTGCTCCAACCTGGTCACCCTCAAAGACCTTCAGGGGATCGCCGGTCAGTCACACAAACACAGACCTCCTCACAGCTGGAAATTTCATCTTCAGGAGGCTGCAGTGTGATTAGATCCACATTTGAACCATTTACAGTATCTAGGGCTCACGTTTGAATTACCACCATATTAAAATTCTTTAATTTTCTGCTGCAGTCAGCTTCATCTTCTCGTGGTTTAATATTTTGTAGGCAGCCAATTTTAATCAATGCTTGCAAGATTTCCTGATCGATTTAAAAAATAATTATTAAACCAGACGTGTAGTTTTCTAACTTTTCTTTGACAACACTCTTCCTCAGAGTCGGGCTTCCTCGATGATGTATCGTATGACAGCATCTCCCTGGGGCCCGGCTACGACCGCCCCTACCAGTTCAACCCCAACGTCCGCGAGGGCAAGAGCCTCCAGTTCTATAAGCACCTCAACCTGAAGAGCTGCATCTGGACCTTCGATGCCTACTACGACATGACAGAACTCATCGACGTGTGCGGGGGCTCAGTCACCGCGGACTTCCAGGTGCGTAGGACGGTCAAAGGCAGAGCTTTTAAAACAGTCGCCCTTCACAATGTTTTCAGTCTTCTTGATAAATTGAATCAGTTGTTATGGAAGAGTTATTTATGTGTGCAGAAACGTGCAAAAACAAAAAAAATCGATTTTAAAAATCAGTTATAAAACTCAGTGGCAGCAAAGGTGAAGAAGGTGAAATGGGGGAGATAGAGGGGGAAAAAGGTTACTCATAAAGGAATCTAAAAGCGTAACACAAAAACAAGAAGAATACAAGAAGACCACTGGGAGCAGAAAACAGATGTCTTGACTAAACTATCCCCAGACTGCACATCATCGACTTCGCTCCTCACGTCTTAGTCCCTCCCTCCAGAGACCCAAGTGAAGGAGGCGATCAAGGAGCTTCATTTTCAGTAACCTATGACATTTCACACAGCTGCCAGTGCAGCTGTAGTTTGGTTTTTATATTTAAATGGAAAAACACCCCTGCAGAGGACACACCTGTGCATTCTTGATTGTTTAAACCCATATCATTCTCAATAAAACATAGAAAACACATCGCATGTTTAAATTGACACATTTCACTACTTTATGGAAAACTTAAGCTCATTTTGATTTTGATGTCAGCAACACACCTCGAAAAAGTTGAGACAGGAGCAACAGAAGGCTGGGAAGTGATTTTGATTTGCTGGCAACATGTCAGTAACAGACTGGGTGTAAAAAGAACATCACAGGACGTTTCTAATGAGTAAAGATGGGCAGAGGTTCAACAATCTGCAAAAAAAAAACCTCCCAAAAAACTGTGGAACAATTTTCATAATTTCCTCAACATAAAACTGCAAGCACATTGAATATCATCATCTACAGTTCATACTATTAAAAGATTTAAAGAAGTGTCTGTGTGCACAAATGCAGGTTAAAGCACTTCGATGGGTTTATATTTCTCCTCAGTCCTCAATGTCGGACTGATTGATTTTCAGGTTACAGGCGGGAGAACAGAGGAGATGAGGAGGCACAGATAAAGGCATTTGACATGAGAAAGGTCTAAAATATGCACAGGAGTGATTGCAGGATAGGGTACATGTAGACAGCCCCAGAAACAGAACCTGGGACCGTGACTGTGTTGGGATGTGGACGTCCATCATGTAATCATAGTGCATCTATTTGATGGTGAAATAATGCTCTGTACTGTGTGTAAAGTCCTCACAAACAGAAGAAAGTTCTCTGTGACCCTCTGAGAGAATTAACATTAAAGGCTGCTGCTATTCTTCCAGGTTCGGGACTCTGCTCAGTCCTTCCTGACGGTGCAGGTTCCTCTCTATGTCTCCTACATCTACGTCACAGCCCCGAGAGGCTGGGCCTCTCTGGAGCATCACACCGAGATGGAGTTCTCTTTCTTCTATGACACCGTGCTCTGGAGGACAGGTCATGAGTTTATGTCTATGAACTCTGCACACCTTATTATTGTCCACAGTCCTGGATGTAAACATATAGCGGGATGTGTTTTGGTTTCACATTGTAGTTTTGCTTTCATTGTGCAGGGTAACAATGTTTATTTCCTTTCTGAAAAATGGGATAATGATGAAAATGCATTGTAGAAATAAATCATTTAAGATTTAAGACTGTTTCCAAGTATCCAAGTTCTTATTCAAGAAATTATTAGTGATGTACTTCTGCTCTAATTTAGGTTTTCTTTGGCTGGCTTTTCATGTCTGCAGGTATCCAGACTGACAGCGTCCTCTCAGCCAGACTGCAGATCATCAGGATCTATATCAGGGAAGACGGTCGGCTGGTAATTGAGTTTAAAACTCACGCCAAATTCAGAGGTCAGTCCACAAACACACGTTCTAAGAGCACTGCATAGAATTATTATGTCTGCCTTAATATTGTTATTGATACAAGAAATGGAAGCTAATGAGAGAGCAGTCTGTGATCGAGGTAAATCAATGTAAATCCATCTTTTATTACAGCAATGAGGAGGCCACTGAGAGAGGAAATTAAACTGACAATTTAAGGTTTTCAGTTTTATCCCACAGTTCTACACAGTTCTAGCCTTTATGGTCAAACATTTGTTATTTTTAAATTTAGCTTCAGGTTTTCGCTGTGTTTGTAGAACTGCATTCAGAGGGCTTTACTGTGCCTGTTCAAATGGTATTGCGGTGCCTTTAGACCGCAAAGCCTTATGAGGTGTGCAAAAATAGGATGCAGGATATATTCTTCTTCTTCTTTCTTTTTTTTACACTAAAAATCAAACCCCCCCCTGCTGTTATTCTCCCTCCAGGTCAGTTTGTGCTTGAGCACCACACCCTGCCGGGCCACAAGTCCCGCCTCATGGCCCCCGACCACCTCGGAGGCATCGAGTTTGACATCCAGCTGCTGTGGAGCGCTCAAACCTTTGACTCACCGTACCAGCTGTGGAGGGCTACCAGCTCCTACAGCAGGTCAGTACATTCATTCATAACCAGCCTATAGGCTCAGGTCGTGTTGACCTCCCATGATGATGGGATAGTAATAATTTTGTGTTTTCTTGAACAGGAAGGACTATTCTGGAGAGTACACAGTCTTCTTGGTCCCCTGCACTGTTCAGCCAACTCAGCCGTGGATCGATCCCGGTGACAAACAGCTGTCCTGCACAGCTCACGCTCCAGAGAAGTACGACCAAACAGCTGCAGACATTTTCTCAAATTAGTTCTCTTATTTAAATCCAACAAGATTCCAAACTAATTTCATAGAGATTTACTGCATAAGGAGCTTGAACAAAATTTTTTCCCCACAGGTTTCTGGTGCCGATTGCCTTCCAACAAACCAACAGGCCTGTTCCTGTGGTTTACTCGCTCAACACGGAGTTCCAGCTGTGCAACAATGAGAAGGTGTTCATGATGGACCCGGCTACTGCTGATGTGTCGATGGCTGAGATGGACTACAAAGGAGCGTTCTCCATGGGTACATATATATACATATATATATATATATGTAAAAGTCATTCCACGAAAAATGAGTCTGACCACCTCAGAATCAGCTGTTTTTGTTTTATTTTATTATTAATATTAATAAATAATGAATATTTATTGTACTAATTTGGGGTTTTTTTATACAGTAAGAGGCATTTATCTTTAAAATGTAAACAACATGCTGATCTGTTTTTGTGTTTTTTTTAATATTCAATAGTGGACATGATTACTAATTTAACAAAATATATTTCCTCATATTACTCATACTTTTCCGTTACTATTATATACAGAAACATGTTTTCATTATGTAATAAAACAATCAAATTTTGTTTACTGTATTTTACAATATTGTATGAACCGAGTCACTCTAATTCCCTAAAGTAAACGCTTCAGTACACAGCAGAAAACCTGTCCCTCTGCTGCCCCCTGCAGGTCAGACTCTGTACGGCAGGGTTTTGTGGAACCCTGAGCAGAACCTGAACGCAGCCTACAAACTGCAGCTGGAGAAGGTTTACCTGTGCACTGGCAGGGATGGATATGTTCCCTTCTTCGACCCCACGGGGACTCTGTACAACGAGGGGCCGCAGTACGGCTGCATTCAACCCAACAAACACCTCAAACATCGCTTCCTGCTGCTGGTACAGATTTATTAAAGTTTTCTGATTTGAAGAAAGAGACTACAGTGTTTCTGGACATGTGCTATCATTTCTTCTCTTCATGTTTCCTCTGCAGGATCGTAAACAGCCCGATGTCTGTGACAGATTTTTCCACGACGTTCCTTTCGAGGCTCACTTTGCCTCAGACATCCCAGAGCTGCAGTCCATGACGGCCATGCCAGGTGTAGACGGCTTCACGATGAAGGTTGATGCGCTCTACAAGGTGTGTGGAATCAGAAACAGCACATGTGGTACAGCGCTGTCTAGCACAGCAATAGTGTGTTTGTGTGTATGTGTATATATATCTGATGTGAGAAGTAGCTGTTAATATGCTGTTAAGTTAATATGTAAGTTTGATTACAAGAAAGTAATAAAGATTTAGTCCAGACAGTAAAGACTTCTTGTTCAATGAGCCACAGCAGCTTTGAACTTTTGGAGATGCTTAAAATAGTTACTTTGATAAAATCTCAATCAGTAACAAGAAGTATGGCAGATAGACCTTTTTGATATGGCTATGAAAGATCAGTTATATTGTAACAGAATACGTGAAATCTGTGGGCAAGTGATGAAAGTTTGATATCAAAAGCTGGTAAATATAAATTTCTTGAAATGCTGAAGTCTGACAGTTTAGCGTTCCTTAAGCTTTTGCATTCATAAACAGTGACCCGCATACAGAACAGGAATTCTTATCCACTGTTCAGATATCTTAGCTTGACCAACGTGTAGAAGGAGGCTCGCAACATTCACAAAAAGAGTGGGTGTGGGAACTGCAGTAGACTTAGAGACTTTTTATTGTCATTGTGCAGTTTCTTGCACAGCGAAATTGGGTAGCTGGACCACAAAGGTGCAAAAGTAAGAAGAAGAGAAACCAATATACAACAAAGGGGGAAGAATATATAATAAATAAAAAAAATAAAAAGCAGTGTATATGTATACATATATGTGAGTGAAACTATATACATGGTGTATGTGTAAGAAACATTGAAACAGACTGGGACCCACATACTTGCACATGAGCCAAAAATATTGCACAGACCATGAACGCCACAGCTGCTCTGCACCAATCCAACATAACTCACTACCCTAAGTTTTACCACAGTGCTGCAAACAGTGTAGCCTGCACTGAGCTGCCTAGTGTTTACATGCAACCTGTGAAAAACAAAAAATTAGTATACTTAAAAATAATTTGGCAACATATCATGTATGGAAACAATATCTTGTCAAAAAAGCTCTAAAATGAATGATAAAATTATCCAGTTCATCAAATGTCACTGAGTTGTTCTTACCTTGAAATTTAACCTCTTATTTCTCTCCTGTCCTGTCTTTCTTACATCGTTCTGAGTGAAGTTAGCGCTCACACTTTTCTCTCCTTGTGAAAAACAGCAGCAGACACATTTTATGACCGATGTCACACAAATAGTTTGTTTTTGCTAATATATGTTAAGCTATCTTTAGAGTTTCATTTGAAATTACCTGCCACATAAAAAACATTACACTCTTTGCACTCACTCCTCTTCTGTAGGTCTAGTTAGATGCATCTCTCTCATCTTGTTGTGTGTCATAATCACCAGTGCATCAATAGGATTGTCTTTGTTATCCTGCCCCTCTCAGTTAGTTTGAAGCCCATTTAATTTAATTCATGTTGATGTTTGAAGCTGTGCAGTGCTGGGAAATAAAAACGTCCCTCAATGTGTTAAACTTAAAATAACGAGCCTGTGTTAAAAATGTAAGGAGTAGATAGTTTGAGATATTTGTTTTTAAAGTGTAAGTAAAAAGTTGTCAAAAAATAAAGACTCAAAGTATGCAGACCTGGAAATTTTACTTAAGTACAGTAATGAAGTATTTGTACATTGTTACTTCCCACCTCTGGGGCGCCGTAGACCAGCTGGATGGGTCCAGATTTATTGATCTGCATATTCTACATAATAATTCGTGAACACTGAATTTACTTTACAACAAACTGTGCAGCTAACATGATCCTCTCTTTCTGGGGATTGACAGGTGGAGGCGGGGCACCAGTGGTACCTGCAGGTAATTTATGTGATCGGCCCCGAGTCGCGGTCCAACCCCAGGATTCAGCGCTCTGTGACGTATCAGCTCAGCCGTTCTAAACGTGACCTGGTGGATCGCAGCGGCCGGCTGACGCTTGACGAGTCGCTCATCTACGACAACGAAGGAGATCAAATAAAGAACGGCACCAACATGAAGTCGCTCTACCTGGAAGCCGGGCCCTCCCCCACCTTTAACGCCCATGTGGGCAGCTCCGTGGGGGGAGGTGTGGCCGCCATCACCCTGCTGGTCCTGGTCCTGCTGGCCTCCTGCTTCTTGTTCCGCCGCTGCCGACGGTTGGCCAAGAAGAAGAGCAAGAAGAAGGAACCAAAAATCTACGAGGAGTATCCGCTCAACACCAAAGTGGAGGTGTGCATGGACAAGTGTGTGGAGAAGAACTTCGGCACCAAGCACTGCACGGTGAGAAACATCAACGTCCTGAACCGCAACCAGGAGGCCAACAGCAAGGCCAAGGTCAAACAGGTCAACCTGGAGGTCAAACTCCACAACAACCTCAACGACGGCACTGAGGTCTGAAACGCGTGACGAGGAAGGCGAGGAAAAGGTGAAAGTGGAATTTAAAAAAAGGTATTTTCTAAAAGAAAGTTTGTACTTAATGGAATGAGAGGTTAATGTATTTTTATACCACGTTGAAAAAGGGAAGAGTGTGACGCGCAGGCGACTGGGCTACCTCAGGAATCCATAAAACACACAGCTGTGTGAAACAGCCAAAACATCTGCATCTGATCAGCCAAACTTCACCTCAAACTGTGTTCATTTCATTACTGTGTTACTTGACATTTGCAACCTTTTTAGCACCAAAACGGTGAGCCGTAGCTCAGACACTGGTGATTGTTTTTGTAAGAAAAAAAAACACATTAAAAAAAACTCTTTCTGCTGCATTTATTCACGTCACTGCTATTCATGTCCCTGCTGTGGAGGGGGAGCCAGTGTAGGAGTCCTCCTTCAGATGAACGATGGGATCAGAAAGTCCTAGAACAGGCCTTTTAAATGTCTCCCTTTCAAGATCATCTTCTGGAGCATAGCCAAATCTTTATTTTAAAATTGCTCCCCGAGCTCCTGCTACATCACTACGTGCTGTTCATGTATTTCCTGATGGATGGATCCTCCACCCTTGGGTGGATGTGGGCATCGTGCGCCTGCATTTCTGCCGTGTTCTCTAGAAATGCAGCATGGTTGGAAAATTGTTGGAATCCATTGACTGTAGGTCAAATATCAATGACCCGTCTGCCGGTCGACCAGGAAAAAGAATAGACAGTCAATGAGAAAAGTGCTTCTGTTCCAAACCATAAACTGTCAGTGCTGCAGTCCCGGATGCTCATGCAACTACCCCAACTTCACAGTAAGACTACAACTTTGTGATGAGTAGCAGTAGTGCTAGCAGCCCTGTTGTTGAGGAAAAGAGTGCCTGATTGTTGAATACATTCACCATTTTCCACATACACACAGTTCAAACAGTCAGCTCCTGCCATGAAGAGCTGTTTTTCTTTAAATGCAAAGGAACGTAATAAAAACCCAGCTCTCGTCACCAGCAGCAGGTTTTCCAGAAACACTTCCCACTTCCTCCTGCTGGTCTTGAGGCGTTCCTGAGCTGGATCTCTCCAATTAGTTTTGGGCGTGCCCAGTAAACCTCCAATAGTTGGTAGGCAGTCTCCAAACCTCCTCAGCTTCTCCTCTGGTCTGAACCACATCGCACATATCAGGAGTTAAATCATCTGTTTCATCATCAGATGATCATCAAAAGGCTTCACAAAGACACAAAGAGAGCGGCTTGTGTCAGGACGCCTGTCAGTTATTGTGGCCACGCCCTTAATTCCAATATCCAAAAACACACAAAATAATTGGCATCTTATTATAAATGTAAACTACCAATAGAAGCAAGGCTGAAAATGTGCTTTTAATGCTGTTAAGGTGGGCATTTTTGCATGGAGGTCGATGGGTTTGACTCGCTTTTGGAGCCATCATCAAGACTCCAGGCCATCCCATCCTGCCCTGGCTCCATGAAGGGGCCTCAGTTTTCCATCTCATGGCAGAGGTTTACCGTCTTTGAATTATCTGCTTCACTGAGGGATTTTTGAATTCTATACCTGAGGATAACAAGTTTATTTGTGTTCAAATCAGGGCTTCTCTAGAAGATGACCTTTAATGTGACAAATTTAAAGCAATGTTTTCATGTTTTGGGGTTTTTTGGCTTAAAAGCTGGAACTTTCTGGTCCCCCCTTGTATTACTAGTGTTGCTCAGTGATTCTGCAGATGAATTAAACATCAAAATTCTGGCTCCACGAAAAAGAAACGTCCTTCAGAGAAACCTCTACACGAGCTACAGCTGCTGTTAAAGTGTTTGGCACGTCCGGTGTGCTGCTATCGCCCGAGAATGAATGAGTGTAAATAACAAAAATGAATGACAACCTTTTCAAGTGCAATTATGCCATCTCTTTTGTTATTTCTGCCTTCATTAGCAGGATTTGCATTTAAAAAAATAAACCTGTTTTTAAGCCTTACTTAGAGACATTTGTACTGTCACGTTGCTCAACACCAGTTCTTAATTTTTGAGTTTGTACTGTGCTCTGACAGCTGCCAATATTAAGTGCCATGCAGTATTTTTCCTCATGAATTTCAGAATAAATCACCCAAAGTTTTTGTTTTTTTCTGTGACAGTGTACGTAGATTTTCACTGATCCCGTCCACACGATCGACTGCTTCAGCCTTACTGTTGTCCTAATGAAAATAATCACTTATAGGAAATACGTGTCTACCTGCCTTTGTTCTGCCCAAAGACACAGAATCCATTTTCTCACATCGCTCAGATAATTATTTGTATTCATTTATGTACTTTTATGTTACCCTCCTGTGATGTATTATGTTACCACTCAGCTACTGATGTACCTGTATTATTTTTTTAAGTGTATGACACTGGTTCGAGTGCACTGCTGAAGAAAAACACGTTTGTTCTCATGTGATGCGTCTTTCTCGCTGATCCCACCTCCTGTCATCTTCCCACTGTGTGCCTATCAAACTACACGGGAGTGGGGAATTATGGGAATGACATTATGTTTTTGGTGCTATCATTTTGTGGAAAATGACAACAATGCTATCAATACTGATGCCTGTATTTGGTGCCTTTTTTTAGTAATAAAAAATAATCTGAAATTCAGCAAGTTTTTGATTTAACTTTTATTTATTACTATTAGATTCTGCTAATGAACCATAAATTTAAAGATTAAACCACATTTTGTTCTTGGACTCTGCTTGAGTAGCTTAGCATGATTCACAGTTCATAATAATCCATTATACAAAGGCCAGTTCATCCTCTGTCGGAAACAAGCCATCTTACCTCCTTTCTGTTTAAGGCAGGGATCCAATGCAGTTGACTTTATGAGCCACATACAGCTACTTGATTTTAAGATAAGCTATTCCTCAATAACATTTTAAAACCTAAAAACTGCAAAGTATTTCAGTTGTTTGAGTATGAATGAGTTTAACAACATGTTTGTTATAAAACTGGTGATGAAAATAATTGCAACTGTAAAAATGTGTTTGAGTTCTGTTCCTCTGTTGGCCAACACTTTCAGAAATCAATGCAAAAAGTTAGGAGCTAGAGTTAGGAGCAGGTCATGAATTCACAAAAAAAGAGTCCCATTACTTACTTACTTTGTAAGTAATGGGATCTGGTATTAAATGAAGTACAAATAATTAAGAAAAACGTCCCTCTTTTGCAGTTTAGTGGTTTATAATTTACTTATGGTCGCAAAGAAGAAAGTAAAAATCCTCCTTTATAATTAGATAAATACAAACTCAAATGAACAACAACACATGAGCCTATACTATTAACTTATATACTTAACAAAGATTAAGCTTAAATTCTTGGAGAACCACTTTTAGCAGCAGTAAGTTGAAGTAGTTGTTTTCTGAGTGACTTTATGAGTCTCTCACATAATTGTGGAGGAACTTGGCTCACTTTTCTGTACAACATTGGTTCAGCTCATTGATGTTTGCAGGCCCTGATTTATGCACAACTCTCTCACTGTCCCATCACAGCATTTCACTGGGGTTGAGGACACAGTGTATTTATATATTGTTCACCTGAGGTTGTATTTAAATAATTTTAGAACCTGTTGAGGTCCAGATTTTCCACTTAATGAAGCTGAATTTTCTTTTTTCATGACAGCACTACTGGTGCAGCGTTTCAGGCCATGCACAACCTCTTCATAAGTGAGGCTGCTGTAAAAGAGACACAAGTGTGATTTGCAGTTTTTACATTTCCCAAAATGATCCAGTGGGCTGAACCTTTATGTCAGGCCAGTCCTGGGCTCCGTTCTGTATATTTGACCACCATGCTTTAAGCCACGTTTCTTCTCATTGGCCCTCATAAACCACAGGTTTGAACAGCATGTGCTCAAAGCACTGTCTGCCTGCAATCACCATGTTAGAAATTCAAACTGAGTGTTTAAGGCAAACCTTTGGCTCATAGGGATTTACTTGTGTTTGTGTATATACTGACATCATTATGAGCGCCCACCACTGGAACAGTAAGTTTGTGACAAATAAGGACAGAGATGGCAGCAATTACCTGCTGTGACATATTTTTAGTCAATAAAGATGAAGTGAGTTTTACTGATGTTCGCCAGGTTTGTCTTAGCATGTAGAAATGTCATTAAATTTACTTGAGTGACTTTAAAAGAGTTTGAAATCGAAAAGGAAAATATATCCTTTATTTTTTTTTAAACACTTCACCAAATAACTTCATACTTGTATGAGAAGGAGGTCGGCTGTATAAGAATAACAGCAGCCTCTTATTTATTACTCTCCAAATTCAACACCAGCAGGACCCTGATGACAGCGGCCTGCACACCAGAGGCAAACACCCGTCTACTCACCAAAGACACTGGGTTAGATCTCACCGTGTACTCTACTCTGCAGCTGTCTTTCTTTCTTATTCTGCTTCCTGCTTCTAGGATATTGTGCAATTTTGTTTGATTGTTTTTTATAGTAATTTATTATTTTTGCAGATTTTAAAAAGCTCAAACAGAAAAAGTATAAAAGAAGAAAAAGACCTCCATGATGTAAAGATCCCTTTAAACCAGCTGCTGCTTCCTCCTTTGTCTTTTTAAGATTGTAGTTTTCTTACTGTGTTATTTGTTATGCTCCACGTTTAATGAATAAACATCCCAGTGCTGCTAAACCAGTTACTCCAGTGGAGATAGGTTAAACTAGTTCCCACTGTGGGAGTTTTCAAATTGACCAAAAAATCTGACCAAACAGATAAAGACTAAAACTTTTTTTTTTCTGTATTTTACTTTGCAAAGTCATGATATCATTTAGGCAAATTATTAGGTTCAATATTAAAGATAGTTTGTTGGTTTATTTAGAAGGCTTTCTGCTGCAGATCATGAAGTGTACAAGTAGTCCCTGAAGGCATCACCTGACTGTAGGCCAATGACTGTAAAACTGTGCAGTCACTTGTAGAGATTGGGAGTGGCCGGTTTGCTTTTCAGGTAGCTCGTTGTTTTTTGCAGGTAACCAGGAGGTGCAGCAGGTAAATTTTCTGGTTCAGAGAGAAATCTAGGTGAGCTTTTTCTCATTTATTTATGGTCTTTCATTGCAGCACATTAGACACTGTTCATTTAGAGTTGATTAGAGATGGTGACTTCTCTCCTGAACTCCTTATTAGTCTTACAGTTTATCTCCATTTCCAGTCTTTATCTTAATCAGTTTGCTCAGTGTCCTGCTGGAGCTGCTTCTCTGTAAACTGTGTGACTCCAGTAATAAGAAGTATCACAGGCTGAAGGGTTTATTTGCTTTCTGTTTAGCAGATATTCATATAGACAAGCCCAGATGTGACAACAGGGCAATGGTTTTCAATCATATGCTTTACTGAGGTATCGCAGCAAACATGAGAAAATAAGAACACCCCACAAAGACTCCAATATCCTGTATTTTCAGGGACTGATGGATTAATAGGTGAATTTTACAGAATAGTGCATAAGCTCATTGTACATAAAATGTTCACGTTTAAGCCAATGTTTAACGCTACAGCATATAAAGACAGTTAGTGAATGTGCTGTTGCTGTTTTGCAGACAAATTATCTGCAGACATCATGGGATCTTTATGGGTAAGACATGTCCTGTGTTTTTTATCATCATTATTATTATTTCAGTAAGGGTTTGACTTATTTAACGTGCTCTGCAGGATGACTTGGAAAGCCTCGTGGATGCTCCTTCCTCTTTCTCAGCAAAAGTAGGTCAAACTAAGCCTTTACCCTCGCGTCAGGTGTCACCGAAGGGCTTATGATTACAGAAATTACATAAAAGAGCAAAATAAATGCTGACAGGTGAATGTATCTGTGCTCTTCAGAGTGGAGAGCGAGGAACCATCAAGCCCAAAGCAAACTTTAATGCAGAGCAGGATGCTGCAGCTCTGAAAAAGGCCCTTGAAGGACTTGGTACGAATGCACACAGTCATGTTTCCGTCATTTGAAAGTACTATCAATACATTTTTGATAAAGTAAACTTTACAAATTGAGGTGATTATTAGATTAAACCTGAAGGTTGCTAGCACAGTTAACACGCTGCGTTCCTTGTTCCTTTTATTGTGTTTATCAGTCTGACTCTTTGCTTTTCATTTGTCTCAGGCACGAATGAGAAGATTGTGATTGAGATTCTGACCACCAGAAGCAGCGCTCAGAGACAGCTCATCTGTAAAGCTTATGAAAAGGCCACCAGCAGAGTACGAAAACAAATCTGTTTCCTTTATTAAGACTGCACCTGCATCTTATTCTGAAGGAACAGGCTAAGAAATAGTTCATCGATGTCAATGTTCATTAAAAAAAGAAATGATAATGAAAAGAGTTGTAGAACAGCGGGGGTTAAAGAAATTGGACCTCACTGTTTTTGGAAATGCAAACATCAGGCAGCTTCTGCATTCTTATAATAACATGAATGCTGTCTGCCTGATGGCATGTGTACCTCTGTGTTGAACACAAATAGTTCCTTTTTCATGACAGGTGAATGTCATGCTTTATGTGTTTAGCCAGATAAGTCTCTGTTTAGCTTACAGGGTGGAGATCTGTGGGTATTTACATGGGTGTGGTTTAATGCTGCAGGATCGTGTGTGCTAGTGTCTGAAAACTCACTGGGCTGTGTTTAACTCACAGACATTAGTGAAGGACCTGAAAGGGGACACCAGCGGGAACTTTGAGGACCTGCTCGTGGCGCTCGTCACTCCTCCTGCTGAGTACGACTGCCATGAAGTAATGCGGGCCATGAAGGTGACATTTCTCAATGAATTCTGCCTTGAAGTTGTTTTCTAGCTGACCAGAGTGCAGCCATCAAGCACATTTTGATGGGCTCAAAAATAACTGGACAAACTAACATCATTTTTAAATTAAGAATTATTTTTAATACTTGGATTAAAATCCTTTGCAATAAATGCCTACCTGGAGTCTAGAATCCATGCACATCCATAAACTGCATTCCTCTGCTCTACTGAGTTGGCATCAGGTGACTGACTTGGCCATTGAAGAGTATCTCGTTTCTCTCGGGTTGCTTTTGCCTTTCGCTCCGGGTCATTATCCATTTGCACTGTGAAGCTCAGTGGGATCAGTTTTGCAGCGTTTGTTTGAATCTGAGCAGAGAGTGCAACCCTGTAGACATCAGACATTAATAAACACCACTGTTTATTCAAAGGTGCAACATTTTCACCAACATGGTTCAGAGATGATATGGTACGCTCTGACCACGAGCTGTTTCACTCATCCATGCTTTTCTTTTCAGTTTATCTCGGTTTCATTATCTAAATACAGTTATGTCCATACATATTTGCTCTTTTTTTTTTTTACCTGTTTACTGAAAGATCTTTCAATTATATTTCTATAATGGACATGGACATAATGTGTAGACCCTCAGCTTTTGTTTAGGGATCTGGATGTCCACAGAAGACACCAGTGGTGGATGATCGCAGAATCATTTCAGTGGTGAAGAGAAACCCCTTTACAACATTGAGGCAAGTGAACAGCACTCTCTAGGAGGTCAGCGTATCGATATCCAGTGTACCATAAAGAGAAGACAGCATGAAAGTAAATACAGAGTGTTCGCTGCAAGGTGCAAGCCACTCATAACCCTGAAGAATAGAAAGGCTAGACTGGAGTAATAAACATCTAAAATAGCCAGCAGAGATCTGGAAAAACATTCTTTGGAAAGATGAAACCAAGATCAACCTCTACCAGAGTGATGGCATGGAACCGCTCATGATCCAAAGCACGAGCTGGTTTGGTTTGGGCGTGCACAGCTCCCAGTGGCACTGAGACACCAGTGTTTATCGATGACACCAAATGAAGTCATTTGAGCGCCTAGTTCTCTCCCATCTCAAGACCCTCACGGCCCCCCTCCTGGACCCCCTGCAGTTTGCATATAGAGCCAACAGGTCTGTAGACGACGCCATCAACTTGGCCCTACACTTCATCCTGCAGCATCTGGACTCCCCAGGAACCTACGCCAGGATCCTGTTTGTGGACTTCAGCTCTGCCTTCAACACCATCCTTCCAGACCATCTCCGAGACAAGCTTTCCCAGATGAATGTGCCTGATCCCATCTGCCGGTGGATCACTGACTTCCTGACGGACAGGAAGCAGCACGTGAGGCTGGGGAAGAATGTCTCGGACTCCCGGACCATCAGCACCGGCTCCCCTCAGGGCTGTGTTCTTTCTCCTCTGCTCTTCTCCCTGTACACCAACTGCTGCACCTCCACCCACCAGTCTGTCAAGCTAATCAAGTTCGCAGATGACACCACCGTTATTGGGCTCATCTCTGACGGGGATGAGTCTGCCTACAGGAGGGAGGTTGAACGTCTGGTGTCTTGGTGCAGCCACAATAACCTGGTGCTGAATGCCCAGAAGACAGTGGAGATTATTGTGGACTTCAGGAAGCACACAGCCCCACTCCCCCCCATCATCCTGACTGACACCCCCATCACCTCTGTGGACTCATTCCGCTTCCTGGGTACCACCATCACCCAGGACCTGAAGTGGGAGCCCACCATCACCTCCGTCATCAAGAAAGCCCAGCAAAGGATGTACTTCCTGAGGCAGCTGAAGAAATTCAACCTGCCAACACGGACGATGATGCAGTTCTACACTGCAATCATCGAGTCCATCCTCACCTCCTCCATCACCGTGTGGTACGCTGGAGCCACTATCAGGGACAAACAGAGACTGCAGCGTGTTGTGCGCTCTGCTGAGAAGGTGATTGGCTGCAGACTCCCATCTCTGCAGGACCTGTACACCTCCAGGACACTGCGGCGTGCAGCTCGGATCTCAGCTGACCCTTCTCACCCTGGACACAGTCTGTTTGACCTGCTCCCCTCAGGCAGGAGGCTCCGGTCCATTCGCACCAGAACCTCTCGCCATAAGAACAGTTTCTTCCCCTCTGCTGTCGGACACATGAACAATAACCACATGACTGTCCCCGCCACTGACACATGACCCTACGCTGTGTCACTGCATCATTTCATGTCTGGCACTGATCACCACCTGCACTCATGTATATATCTTTCTACGTAGCACTCATAATTCTTATTCTCATGTATATATCTCATGTATATCTCATGCACATATCTTTCTTTCTACATAGCACTTTAATTCTTATTGTCTGCACTGAAGCACCGCAGCAATTTCCTAATGTTGTAAACCTCAACATCTGGCAATAAACCCATTCTGATTCTGATTCTGATTCTGATGTGACACAGGACAAAAGCAGCCTCAGAAGAAGAACTCTGAGGTGTTCAGAAACTTGCTGTCTGTTCAAATCCAACTAAATGCAGTGAAACTGACTGGGCGGCGTTTCATAATACAGATGAACAATGGCCCAAAACATACAGCCAGAGCAACCCAGGAGTTTATTGAAGCAAAGAAGTCTTAACTTCTTAACCCAACTCAGCATTTCACTTGTTAAAGACTAAACTTCAGGCAAAGAGGCCCACAAACAAATAGCAACTGAAAGTTGCTGCAGTAAAGGCCTGTTGGGCATTAAAAAGGAGGAAATGTGTGTTCAAGACTTCAGGCTGTCATTGCGATTGATATAAAACCTCTTGATCGTAGACTCTGACAATAATCCACCTGCCTCCTTGAGTTTCTGTGACGTGTTTTTTGTGTTAGATGTTGCAAAGTTGCTGTTTTGCGGCTTTATTTTGGTTTCCTTCACTTGCATCCACATCCCTTTGTGCTTTATATTGAGAGTTTCAGTGAAAAGTACTTGTTACTTCTTGTTACTTCTTTAAAAACCTTTGGACTTATCGGTACTGAAATTCATTGATTGCTTTCTTGATTGACTGATATGTAGGACTAAAGAGTAAAGAATACACTGTAGCTGAGTAATACTGCGTGTTGTTGCAGGGAGCTGGAACCAAAGACAAAGTCTTGATTGAAATCTTTGCCTCCAGATCTAACCAACAAATTAAAGATCTCAGTGACGTCTATTTCAAAGGTAAAAGTTACGTTTGATACTTTTTTTTTTTTGGCAATTAATTTAAAACTAATATGTTTTTAGTCACAAGAACAAAATATACCTTACCCATGCTGGACAGCAGCAAAATAATCTACCACAGACATTAGTCTGCTTTGTGATAGTTTTTCTAACATCAGCATCGTCTATCGTATCTTCCCTCCCCAGAAACCAAAAAGCAGTTGACAGCTGCCCTGGAGAGTGAAGTTTCGGGAGACTATTCCAAAGCGCTGCTCCTCCTGGCTCTGGTTTGTTACACGAGAAGCAAACGCAATTCAAGAGTTTTATGTATTAAGACGTTTTTTTTTTTTAAATCATCTGGTCTTTTTAAAATTAATTAGCTAAAGCTCAGATGAACAGCAACATATTCCACAATGTCATTATTTATGTGACAAACTTGAACAATACTGAACTGTGAAACGCTAAGTAGACCACATGATTCAGTGGCTTTAGCACCAATAACCTGAAGTAATTTCAATTGCATTGGTGTCTAGACTTGACTGGGCCATTACAGCAGCTTGATTCTTTTCTGCAAAACAGAAACTGCAAAACAAGCTCAAATCATCAGAAATCCACCACCATGCTTAACAGTTGGTATGAGGTGTTTGTGCTCACATGATGCATTTGGATTTGTCCTGATGTGGTGCTGTGCAATATGGACAAGCATCTGCACTTTGGTCTTGTCCGTCAAAAGGACATCGTTCCAGAAATCTTGTGTTTTGTTCAGGTGGTGTTCAGCAAGCCTAAGCCGTGTCGTGATGTAGTCCTGTAGAGTCTGAGACGTAGTTCTTCAGTCTCTGTGAGCATCACAGTCAGACCTCAGGGTGAAATCGCTGAATCATCCAGCCCTGGGAAGAATGTGGCATTTGTCTGAGAGCTGAAGGCCAACAAACTGCCAAAACTTCTGCTTGCAGGAGGAGGTGCTCGCACTGGCTGATGACAAATTAATCAAGCGATTTTTATTAGCACTACCTGGCTTCTAATTTCCTCTTTGCTCCTATGGGAACAGGTTTTCACAGGACGGCATATCCTCCATCCAAATCCTCTATGCAAATATTTGTACATTTTCTATGAAGCCATAAAGACCTTGAAAATATTGCTCCCACAGCCGCTTTGTCTCCTTTAGTCAAATCATCTGTAAAACATCTGCCATCTTGTTTGCATGCATCAGTCTTTGGAAAGCGTCCAGACTTCATTTCTACATTTTTGTTTCACAAACGGGATTTACTCGCCCCGTACGATTCTCCTCCTCGTTTCATACGCGATGAGTAATCACCACGATGTCATCCGCATTGTACGGCACGCTTGGAGCACTTTTGGACAGAAATGAAATCTTTGCTCGTGCACCGTCATTCATTTTGCAAACTTGCTGCTCCGGTTCTGCAGTTTCTTCTTGTAATCAGTTCTCTTTTCTTGGAACTCAGCAGCTTGGGTGGAACGTTGCTCCATTTTTCTGTTAAGTTTCCACATTCTTCATTCGTGGATATCACATCTATCTGAAACAGCTAAAGTAGCAAAATATGTGAACAAAATATGTGAGCCATGAAATAAAAGTAACAGAAGATTTAAAAGAAACAAGTCCCCTGAACCTAAAAGTCATCACTCAGACAGACGAACGATGAAATGGTTCAAACTGATTTTGCTTTTGTTCTCGTTTTCAGGGTAAGCGGGATGAGAGCACCACAGTGGATGTTAATAAGGCAAGAGAAGACGCCAAGGTGGGGTATTCTTCATGTGTGTCATACGTGCTGTTCTCTTTATGTCATGTATGTATTTAAAGCTTTGTTTGTATTTCTGCTCAGACTCTTTACAATGCCGGGGAGAAGAAGTGGGGCACCGACGAATCTAAATTCATTGAAATCCTTTGCAAAAAAAGCATTCCTCACCTGAGACAAAGTATGTCACATCGTGTGTTTTATAAAGGCTTTTTTCCCCCAATAAGAAACAATAATAAAGCGATTTGGTTCTTTTTATGCAGCTGTGATTGAATACAAGAACATCAGTGGAAAGACCCTGCAGCAAAGCATTGAAGGGGAGATGTCAGGAGACCTGGAGAACCTGCTCGTGGCTGTTGGTAAGCTGATCTGCAGGGTCGGGGTTAGTGGTTAGTTAAAAATATGTGGACAAACTCATGTAGAAACTCAGTATGGTGGTGTCCAAATACACACAGTGGAAAAATGTTGCAGCAGCTTTAAATCTTAACGATTCTCCTTTTATTCATCTGGTAGCTCTCAGTTACGTCAGTACTTTAACATTTTCTGTTTATTTTTGGGTTATGAGTTTAATTTGGATTTACTTTTATACGTTTTCCCCCTCAGTACACTTTGTAGTTCTCTCTTTGACATTCTTTCTAGTTTATTCAGCATCATTACGGTGCCTTAAAATGTGAGCAAGGTCAGCTGTGGGAGGTTTTTTCAGCATAATTTGTAAAATGTTTAAAACTCTTGATTTAGATTTTTTTTATTCTGTTCAAACCTTTTAATTCCTTTTCCAGTGAAATGTGTGAAGAGCGTACCAGGTTACTTTGCAGAACTCCTGCATGAGAGCATGAAGGTGATTACACTGTTTTTAATTTAAGTTACAACACAAGTTTTGTCCTGCAGTCACTATTGTTTCACACTAATTCCATCTGGTGCATTTACCAATTTATCAAGTATCATATAAAAAGTATGCACATGTGACTAATAGACTATCAGACATGTGTTTTATTACCAAACAGTATTATTCGGCATTTAAAGTGGATCTGTTCTGCTTATTTTATTATCTGGGTAACATTGCATAAGTTAAAAATAATCCTTTCATACCTTACACCCTCGTGGAGCGGCTGCGCTTTGGTGTCAGTTTGGCCTCTCGTGTCTCTGTTTGTGCTGGCAGGGTTCAGAGCACATATGTGGTTGTACAGGAGCTCAGAGATTCCCTGATCCTTAAACAGCTTTCCAGAGACTTTGTGGAAAAACCGTTTTGAGTCCTTCTCCTGTTGTACAAGCGCTCATGCAGAGTTTTTCATTTCGAGTTTCCAGTATAAGGTGTGATGGGGTTGTGGTAACTTGATAGTTGGTGCACAACACAACCAGCATGTTGACCTTAAACCACTCACCCAGCCACTCAGTTCATCCTTTGATCATCTTTTTTAGCTCCTTGCCTTTTATGGCCACCCACCCTTTAAACAGGCCTGTTAATCTCCTTTTAGTTTGTGGAAAAAACACACAGTATGATCTCAAATGGGCCGGACCAGTAAAACACAATAAAAAGAATAAAAATAAAATACACAAACTAATGTTACAGAGAGAACGTAATTAGTTTTGGATTCATTTACCACCTTGTGCTTAAATATATTTTGTAAGTTAACTGAATGAATCTCGTATTCAGGGTGCAGGAACTGATGAGTCCACTCTGAACCGGATCATGGTGAGCCGGTCTGAGATCGACCTGCTGGACATCAGAGCCGAGTTCAAGAAACTCTACAAACACTCGCTGCTCTCTGCCATTCAGGTGAGAAATGAGATTTTTAACTTTTAGTGCCACTTTTTCAGTTTTTTACTCTGAATTCTATTGATTCAATAAATGAAGTCTGAATAAAGCCACCTGATGCTACCATAGCCACGCTGAACTGGGTTCACTCCAGTACAGCTCATCTCAGGGATCCACAGTTTGCAGCAACATAAATTGATAATAAATTCGAGCACGATCAGAGGCCTTCTATGCACTCTGAAGCTAAACTTGATTGAGCTTGATCCGTCTCATACTGGCCTCTGTTAATTCACTCTTTGAGGTTTAACACGTCATCAGACTTTGAAGTTTAATTTCACTGACGTACAGTAACGGCAGCTCGGGTCTCTTTGGAGAATCACTCTGATATCTGCAAACCAAAATATTTTTGAATAATTAAATGAGTCTGGAGGCCCTCAGAGACACACAAAGAGAGTACTGACACAAAATGACTCATCTGCTGGATCACTGGAGAAATCAGAAAGTGTTGCAACAGTTCTTCACGTCAGATTCCAAAAGTCCGAGAAAGAGCGACATCTTAATTCATTGGAGATTAAAAGAGACGCCACCTACAAGTTGTATCATCAGAGCCAAATATAAAGACAGCTGATGTTTCTATGCCAGTAAATTATGCAGTTAAGTTTTCATGAAGCCGCTTGTGTTTTATTTGATGCAAGCCATGCGCGCATCATGAATATCTTTCTCTGATTTTCTGGTTGGAGTCACATAAAAAGCAGGAGATGCTCCGGAGCACAAGGACTGAACAGGCAGCCGACTGTGGCTCACATCTGTCTGTGTTATCCAGGTCATGGAGGTCTTAAGAGCCTGAAAAAGAAAGCAGCTGGACTGCTTCGCCACAAAAGGTGGTATTTAACCCCTCATGTAGATTTTCCTCTTCCGAGGTTCTCGTCGACCTATTGATATTGATCATGTGCGTCATCGCGTGAGCCAAGGTGTGAAAAAGGTCGCGGGTCAATACTATCACTGGGGTTAAGGCCTGATTGAGATTTCTGCAGGAAATCTTAGTAAAGCCTGGTGCTGAGCAGGCCACACATTATTTGTTGGCTCCATCAACCCCAAATATGGTTACGTTTCTCACATCAGGTTGTGTGGAAGCTTTCAGCTTTCCCACTCAAATATAATTCAGGCATATGGGCGAAACCATGGTGATGTCTTACCCCGCCCTGTCATGTGACCTATTGAGGTCACCTGAGGCACGGTGTGAGTGTGTAGTGTCTGCAAAGGGATCTTAAGATTACATCATCCTGTTGACGTGGCTCATCTATATTTATCTTACATCTGTGCTTTTATGGACTGGCTGTTGTGTTTCTCCTGTGTAGTTTCGCCTAAGGTGACCTCAAAAGGTCACATGATGTGGTGGAGCAAGGTCTTACAGTGGTTTGACCCTTAACCCCCAGCAAAGATAATGACCCAGGTCTTTTTTCACAGCTTGGCTCATGTGATGATCAATATTAGGTAAATGACCGCCTCTCTCGGGGATTAAATACCTGGGACACGCTGCTGTTTGTGTTTAGAACTGACGAAGCTTCGTGGGTAAGAAGTGAAACATCTTCACAAACTTAAAGCAGTCCAGTTGCCTCCTTTGCAAGCTTCACTACTGCTCATATAATTTTACTGCTTCATGAAACAAATAAAGCATGAGAGGCATGTTTTATTTTATGTTTTTTGCTTTATATGTTTTATTTTATTTTATATGTTTTATTTTTATATGTTTTGTTTTTGTTTTATATGTTTTATTTTTATCCTCTGTTTTGAGATGCAAGCGTATCTCAAAACAGAGAGATGCAGGGAGTGAGTCCACACATGTAGTGATGCTTTCTCAGATGTATATTAAATCTGTTACTGGATTTCAAAGAACTTGTATGTATAAAATATATATACATACAATATAATATATATAATGTATAAAAATGAGTACATAAGATTAGACTGTTTGGCCAAAACGCAAGACATGACATGAGGAAAAACAGGTTGTAACCAGGTAAAATCCTTGGCCGGTCATTTCTCTATCATGTTAAAAAAAAATACAGCAGAAGACGATTTGGCCTGTAAGGAGTTCCTGGAGGAGTTGAGGCTTCTTCTGACACACCAAGTGTTACTTGGCCCAGATACTTAAAAAACAGACCAGTTTTACAGTTTCCTGAGAAAGCATTTTTTTCACACTTTTTCACACTTTGCGCTGTGACTGTAATATTACTGGATACATTTGCTGTCAATTCTGGTCAGAATTAAATAGTGACGATATGTTTTTAACTTTTTTAACTACTTAACAACTCCCAGCTTGACCTGGATTTTGGCAGTTGATCAACTTCTTCCTGTCAGATCCCCCCAAACTTTATATGCTATCTTTGAGATACTCTACAGAGTTTCTGTAGAACACCTAAGGACAGTCAGATTTGAGTTCATCTTCTCCTGGAGCTGGAGAGGCACCAGGAAGTGCCTCAAGTTGCTGCAGTTCATCATTTCCTAATATTTCCCTGTTCCTCCTGCTAAGAAGTCGTCCTATATCATGATGATTCCACCACCATGCTTCACTGCAGAAAAGTGTTATAATTTTTTTAATGCAGTGTTTTCTCTGACACCGCTGTCCCCCTGAAAACACAGAGAGCTTGAGACAGGCCAGTCAGGGTCATTATTGCCCCCTTATATGAAATTATATAACAAATGGATCTATTAATGCAAAATCTCTAAGGCCGAAATGTGTGCGAGAGTTGATTTGAAAGTCTTCTGAAACTGTTTTTATTCATCATGTGGTTACATTGGACACTTTTCTGATGCCCTGGCACATGTTAAGAAGTTAAAGGTGGTCTGTTTTGCCTGCTTCACCAACATATTTTACTTTTTTTGGACTGTACTAGAGTAGTTTGCCATGATTCAGAGATTAAAATAATCCAGTATAATATCTTGTCCTGGGCCCCTCAGTTCACCCTCTGCCTGAAGCTGTTTTAGCTCCTCTGTCTTTAAGACGATCGTTCCTTTAAGCTTATTTATTCTGATTTGAAGGTTTGAACAACAGGTGGGTGGAGTTTCTGTTCTTGCAATCAAAGTTTTGGCTCACAGGCATTGCTGCACATTCACTGATCTCGCTGACACAAAAAACAGAACAAAAGTGTGGTACAAAAAAAAACTGCAGTGGTCCAGACCGAACGTGGGATGTGCTTTTGGATGCTTGACTCTTTGCTTGTGTTGATGTGTCCTCCAGTCAGATCTGTCGGGCGACCAGTGTGAGTGTGTGAAGGCCATCTGTGGAGGAGACGATTAACAGAGCGTCCACCTGAAGACGAGAAGAAACCCGCTTTCTCCTTCACGCTTGTGTCATTCACGCCTGCCTCTCTTTTCTGTTTATCTGTGTAACCCTGTTTCTTAAATTTGCACACGGAGAAGGATGTAATAAAAATAAAGATTTAGTGGTGCAGTTTCTCTGTCTTATTGATAAACTGGCCACATGTAGAATATTTAATCCAATTTGCAGATATTTCCATTGCAGCAGTTTTTAGCATACATTAAAATGTGCATCCTTTCTGAAATCTTTGAAATTAATCAAATATAAATGGCTCCTCTGTGCTGTAACTCTTAAACTATAACTGAATGAATAATAAAGCAGTTAATTAAGGGAAAGTAATAAATATCAGCTCATAACGGGTTTGGAATTGTTTTCTTGGCGTCTTTGAGATCTGAATATTTACTCACAAATAAAATCACTGTGGAAAATGAGTACTTTATAGTACTCAATGAATACTTTAAAGCAAAAAGTGTCAACTTTAAAAAAAAATAAATGTTATATTTCTACATAAGTAGCTTAATAGTGCACAAGTTCTACAATCAAAATGCTTTTAAAGTACCTAAAGTCACTCATTTCTTAGAGTGGCACTGCTAAGATGACAGACAATAGGATGGGCATGTATGTAAATTACAATTCTTGTGATTATGCAAGAGGAAAAGCAGATGTAGTATTATATTGTTTTAGTGTGGGTCAAAAGGAAGTAACATATTTATCATTATCTTGCACAGCAAAGAATTTTCTATCCCTTTGAACAATTTCATCTTGCTAAAAGGGGCAACAAAAGTCAGGAAACACAAAAGCTCCAGTATCTGATCATTTTACTGGATAGAAAATAGAGAATGCGTTAATGAGCATAGCAGTGATCGGGAATTGCTTTCAAAGTGCAAATTTGTAAGAATCAGGTGGTGGACCTGTTTCTGCAGCAAACCGAATATACTCATCATCATTCTACAGGGGAGGTATTGATGTATTTACTATTCCAGCATGTCATGTACAGGGTAAAGGAGAAACATCTCAGTGAATTTATTAAGGAAGAGCAAGTGGGCAGGGAAAAATAACAAATAAAAAAAATCAATCTTCCAGATTTGCAGCGGCCTTCAGTTTAATGATGCAGGATGACCTTGTGGTGAGAGAGAAAATAAAGCTTGTCGTAGTGAACTCAGGCTGCGGTTACAAAACAGAACTGTGAAATTTAGCTGTAACAAATGCAAAGAGGTTCATGCCTACATATCATTTCTATGCTTCATGAATGAAACCTCCACGAACAAAAACTGTTTAAAGTAGGATTAAAACACAGCTGTGATTCCTTTGGATCAAAGTAAGACTTCTTTAGGGGTCCCCAAAAATTCTTATATACAAAAAGATTGGCTGTATTGAGTTGAATCGCTGTCTATGGAATTCTCAGTTTAAACATCTGGAAAGTTCCCATCAGTACTGACAGGCTTATAGAGTTTTTACAGCAACATATGCTGCCGTCCCGGCAGTGTGTTTTTCAGGACAGGCCTTGCATGTTTCAGAAAGTCAGTGCTAAATCACTTACTGAGTACAACAGCATGGCGACACAGTAGAAGAGTCCCGGTGATGAACAGACCTGCCTGCAGTCCAGACCTTTCACCAGGTGACAACATTTGGAGCATCATTAAAAAAGAATATCTAACACTGTTGAGCAACTGGAAGCTATAATATTTGCATGTAAAACAAGCCATCAAATTAGAAAAAAGCGGTAAAATATGACAACACGCATCCGCTTTTCAGTGTAGGTTTCTACACAGTGAAAAGTCTCTAACCGTAGGGGAAGTGTTTTTTAGTTGTAGTACTTGATCCCTGACTTTCTGTTTTTTAAGTGATTTATTCCGGATTATGATGAAACTGTTGCAACACTCAGTGAATAATGTTTTTTGTTTTTCTCGAGTCAGTCCGATGTACAATAATGGTTTCAGTGTACATCTGATATTTTTACCCTTCACAAGAATAATTTCTGGTGTATTTATAGTGTCAGTTTTCATAAGAAACATATTTTTGACCCGTGCTGACATCTAGTGTTCAAACAGGACATGATTTTTCTGCCTGAGGATACAGTAACGTCACTGCCATGAAGTTTGATGATGCTGGTGGTCCATCATTTTCAGGGTTAAATCATTTTTTCAATTCAAGGTTCATCTCATCCTGGTGCTAATGAGGAAAAACATCTCCCTAAAGTTTACCTGCATTTAGGGTTTAAGACTTTGCACAGGTGCATTTTAAACAGCCCAGCAGCAGTGTTGCAGGTACAGTAACACTGCAGTTAATCAGACAGCAGACCAGACACTCTAACAGAGATTCAGCAGTTGCTATGCAGAATCAGTATGATGGGCTTATGGTTACCTTTTCATAGATATCAGCACATTATGGAGTAAAAGGAAATAACAGGGCAAATGAACTGGTTCTTATGTGGTGCTTTTCTGCTCAAGCACTCACACACTTTGTGCAACATGTCCCATTAACAAACATTCATGCAAACACTTTCTTTTACATTTAGGTGCTTTTCTGTCTTACATCCACACACATTCACACTCCTGAATGCATCAGGAGCAACTCGGGCTCCGTATCTTGCCCAATGATACTTTGGCATGCAGACTAGAGCAGCCAGGGATCGAACCTCGAACTAGCTCTACTTCCTGAGCCACAGCTACCCCAAAAATGTGGTTGCAAAGGAGGTATAATGAGGCAGCCAAAGAAGGAAAACTGGGAAAAGCTATGGATGGGAGAAACGAGAGGATGATGGTTTTACAGGAAAAGAAAAGAAAATAGAAGAAGAAACAGGAGAGGATGACAGAAAGGACTGGGATACATCACGACTCAAATTCACGACACAGTGGTTAAAACAATTAATCGTTCATAGCAGGAAAACACCAAACAGGTAATTGCAATGGGAGTATTGTTGAAATGATGAAACCAGGGAACATGTTATATGTCAGAAATATGAAGGTGAGAGAAGGTAGCTGATCCAAAACCAAAAACTCAGTGTAATCAAAGTTAAAACAGATCTTATCGATTTACTGCAATGGAAATTCAGAAATCAAAGTTATCAGGTCATATTTAGTTATAAAAGCTGGTTTGAAGTTATTTATTTATTTAGTTTTGTTTTTTGAGCGACATTGTGGCCTCCAGTCCCTACCAGTTGGTGGCGCTAATGCACCAAAGTTAACAAGAGGAAGAAGAGGAAGAAGAAGCCCTGGGTGGGTGCGTGGTCGGTGTGTGTGTGCGAGCACGAGCGGAAACGGCGTTTGTTGTTCTTCCCTCTGTTTCCGAGACGTTCAGGGTCTAAACGGGTTCAACAGCCGCGTCTGCATGTCGCTGCCAATTCCCGCAATAACCCGTCTTCTACCGCCCCCGAATGAAGGTAATGTCAGGTCTCACTTTGTTTCTGTGCTGCTGCCACCTTCTCCGTGCTCTCCCGGGTTTAATTTAGCACTTAAATCCGCTCGTATTCGTGCCAAGTGCTCTCCCCCGCAGTCCGCCTCGGTGGCTGCCCGGGCGGCTCGCGCCTCACAGCCGCTAGCCAAACAAATCCAGCGGCGTGCTCGGAGAGCGCTGCAGGTTTAGCCGTGTTTGGGCTTAGTGTTGGAGCTGTTTGAGTATGCGGAGCTGTGGAATATCTTGGCGTGTGCACAGCCAGAGGGCGTGTTTACCTCGCTGTCAGGTGTGACAGCTGGAGGGCTGAACTCCTCCTGAACGGGCCCGACCGTGTCACTTCTGACATTATGGCTATGTTTGGATACTCAGCTGTTGGAGCAGTTGCAATCGCTGTATTAAAAAAAATGAAATAAAATAAATAAGAACTCCTCACTCCCTGAAAGGTGTTTTTTGACATACTGTTTTGGTTGTGTGCGATAACATCTGGAGCCTAAACTATTGAAATCCCCTCCAGCTTGTGATAGAGTGACGGCTCTCTGCTGGAGCTGCAGATTCGTGCCTGTCTCCATGTGCTTGTGATATGAATCGATGCCAGCAAGCTTTATATCTGTCACTGCTCACTTGTGACCTGGTATTAGTGTGTAAACAGGTTATGTAAGTCCTTCTCCAAACTTATTCCCCTCTGCCAACCCTCACGGCAGCTGCTGCATAATAGCCCTGCGCCTTCGCCTTTTCGGCTTTGCATACTTTTCATGTTGACATACACGCTGCTCAAAAGTTATCAAGTGTTGTGCATGCATAGCTTTGCTGACTGCAGCGGAGTTTAAATAACATGCACGCTCCTGCTTCAAGCAGCGGTCAGCCAAGGTTATTAAAGCAAACTGAAACTAAACTAAGTGTGCAAAAACATTTTAGTTAACCGACACAAAAACAGAAACTGGATGAAAGTAGAATAAAACAGGGTTTATCTACACTTTTGTTTCATTTAGGCAGGGTTTTGCATTGTAATGTGGTCATATAAAATCAGCCAAAGGTCCCATCTGACCCCCTCAGAATCAGCTGCTTTTAATTGCATAGTATATTTAATGAAGCTATACAAAATGTTACCTTCACAATTTGAACATCTTACCAAGTGACAGCCCCTGGAAATTCAGGGGTGGATGGAAATTTGGCTTTATTTACTCACCAGAACTTACTAAGTGCAGGAGATACCCCGCAGGCAGATTTATTTTACACCTTTTACACCTGTCAGAGTGTCACAGTCTAAAGCCAAATTTTGTGTTATTACAACATATTTGCTTCTATAAATTTGAACATCGGGTTATGTGTTATGTCATAGTTTAATTCTGCAGTGCATAATTAAACTATGCATCACCGTAGTGATGCATAACTGCATCAGTTTCGTGTCAGTGACATAGAGGAACAGAAAAAAGGCACCCTGGATATTTGAACTTTGAAGTTTTCTGCTAATTCATTGGAGAAAACCTAAAAAAAAAAAGTGCGTTTTGTTTCAACTCTGAAGGGTCATGCCACCATGTGGGACGGGAGGCTATACTGGAAAATTATTTTGGCACAGAAGTAACCGCGGTTAGGGAAGCACCTGGTTTAGAAAATGTAAAAAGGAGACCTGTCTTATGCTTTAACCAGCCACTTATGGTAATATTTGTTTCTCCTCGCGTGAACTAAAACTGCCAGAGTCTGTAGGGAAGGGAGTTTATTGTTTGTGAGCACAGAAGCCAGATAAAGAATTTAACTCTGCAAGCAGTTTCTGTAGTGTTGTTGTGTCCGAGAAGAACCTGCAGGAGTTGTTGTTTAATTCAGTGCGAGTATTTAACTGAACTTTGAGCCATTTTAATCAAACTTTGAGATGATTCCAAAACGGAAATCTCTGTGAATCATTTTTTTTTTTAAGCCAAGTGGTCCATGGATACATGTGATGACATATATTAAAAACATGGGTATTT